TGAATTATTTTTCCTTATTTTTCATAGCATAATCATGTATGGTGAGGAGTGGGGAAGGGGGGAGGGGGAGTATAATACTCGTAATCATAAATGTATTTGCTTTTCATTTGTTTTCAGGCCAAAAAAGGAAGAAAAACTACTCAATTTTCTTTCTCTCTCTGTCTCTCTGGCGCATTCTCCCACCCCCTCTCTCACGCATTGTGTGCAAGCTGCATGTACAATCGGTGGAAATCTTTGTGCGGTTCTGCGGTGCTTCTCCGCTGCGTCTCTGCTTTCATTATGAGCCATTAACACAAGCTGGCGACAAGCGACGACGACGATGAAAGCTGGTCCACAATGAGTGCAGAGAATGGCCCAGGGAATATTGGTGGGTGGAATGGGGCAGGGGAATGCGAGCTTTGCACTCGAAACTAATGCGCCATATTTAATGTTTCCCCTTCTCCTTTCCATTCCATTCACCTTACATACATACACACGTACATATATGCAGCACTTGCTCTTCGAGTGTGAGGGTATACTGTTTCCGAGCCAAATGCATGTTGGAGTCAGACGGAAACTGATGTAGCTTTACTTCGATTGGGCAGCGAAACACAAAGATTAATTATACGTACCATTGCGCTCTCTATCGATCACAGTAGCATCTGTTGTTACACCAACTAAACTTACTCTAAGTACAGGGTATCCCTATTGTCGTGGCGCTTGGCTCTAGTTTGCTCTCTTGGTTTTATGATGCTGCTCCGCTTGCTGAGTTTGCTGCTCTACTACTATCTACTCCCTCTGCTGCTGCTGCTGCTGCTGCTGCTGCTTTGGGACACCGCTTCCTTTTTCTTCTTCTTTATTCTCCTGCTTCTGCTGCTCTCCTGTCCTTCCTCCCTTTCTGGCATTGCTGCTGCTGCTGCGGCTACTGCCGCAGCTCTGCCTTCTTATCTTTTATTGCGCTGCTACTGCGCTGCCACTGGTCTTAGGAGGGCAAACAATGGCAATGGCAACTATTGCAGCTGCAGCGGTGTCCTACTCTCCCTCTCTCATTTTCTTTCTCTCGGCTTGAGGTTATTTCTATCCCTTTTTTGTTTGGTTTTATGTTTGTCTATGCTGCTGATGGTGGCTCTCTTTTCGCTGTGTAGTCGAAATGCAAACCCAAATTGTACCCGTTGCAAATGCTGTTTTTGAAAAATTTAATTTGCATTGAAATGCTTCGCACATTTCTTTTATCCTCTCCTTTCCCACTGCTGCTCTCGCTCTCTCTTTCTCTGTCAGCTAAAGTCAAGTGAAAACTTTTTACGCTCCAGCTTGACATCCACATCGTTTTTCTCCTCTCCTCCACCTCTTTGCTTGAAGTTTTTCTGTTGTGCTCGTTGATTTTTGGCTGTTTTTTGGCCCTCTTTAATTAATTTTGCATTCTGCTGCAGCTGACAAGCAATTCCCGCCCATCCATTGGCAAAATGTGCGTTCGCCACGTTCTCTTTTGGCAATTAACTAAATGTTGCGTGCACATTGTGTGATGGGGTGGTGGTGGGGTTCACACAGAGATTTCAAGCTAAAAGCAAAGATGATAAGGCACAAAGCAGAGCTCAACATAAAAAGAAACCCTGGCACTGGGTAGTGCGCCATGAAAGGGTATACACAAAAATAATATGTCGAATGAAACTACGAAATACGATAGGCGAAAAACTACTCAAAGAGGATTACTAATACATTTTATGGTGGTGCGTGGGACTGGGCCTGTTACCTGTCAAAAGCAAAAGCCAAATGATGAAAGTAAATGCCAAATCACAGCATCAGGCAGAAGAGTCTCTCCCTCTCTCTCCTCCCTGTCACTCAGTCAGCTTGTCAGTCACTCAATCAGCGCAAGTAGAGCATTTCCCATTACGAGTGCGAGTTACAACAAACAAGAGAGAACCAGATAAAGCGGCAAAGATACACCACAGGGAGCAAAGGCAGCACCTTTGACAGCTGGAAACCACTTAAATTATGTTCCCGCAGCGAACAGGGTTCGCCAGCCCCGCCCGATCCCTTATGTCAATTTTCTGCGTAGGTACCTAGGCCCAGCCTTAAGCAATTGACAGAAACTGAAGTCACTTTTTAAACAGGCGAAATCTGCCATCATTTAAGGACTTGCTCAGTAATTGCTGGATCAAAGTGGAACCAGGTGGCCAGGGCAACTTTGCCCGGGATGTGTTTCCGTATTCATCAATGACGGTATCTTGTAACTTGTTGCTATGTATCTGTATCAAGTGGACAAATGAAATAATGCCTAACAATTGTTTACTTTTACGAGCAACTGCAGGCGCACTGCTTTTAAAGTCGCTCAAGAGAGAGCCCCCAGCACATAAGAAGAGAATAAGCAGTGGAAAAGAGTAATGGCAGCGCAGCCTAATTAAGAGATCAAGCGTCACATCTCCTCCATCATACTCGCTGCAATGCCTAATGAAGTGTTTGGACGCTAAACAGTCACTTACTGTGTTTGAGGCAGCACTGGAAGCAGTGCCACAAGCTTTCCCCGTCCCACATGCCAGCTCGCCTGTGGCAGAGCCAGGAGCGGACGCAGACGCAGATGGAGGGTGCGTCCCGCGGAGGAGGCAAGAACTTTTGTCAGACAAACGCGTGTAAATAGCAAAAGTTTTGCTCGCATGATGTTGGCCAACCCAAAACAGAACACAACTGTTCGCTTAACTTGGGGGCTGGAAGCTAAAATCATTTAATTGCAGTTCAGCGGGGATAAGGGATAAGCAGCAAAGGGGGTGGGGGGTGGGCGGATAAATGGTTATGCTGCTGACAAAACAAAGACAACAACAGCATTGCATGTTGGTGGCTCTTAATTGCTTAAACAAGTAGCTAACTAAGCGAGCAAGGGGGAGCTCCCCCAGAAGAGAGCAGTGACCTGCGGAAAGGATATGTACATATGTATGCCACTGCTACTACTTTGATCCCTAATTAATGAGGTCAGAACCATGCCCACTTCAGTGGAAACGGGGCGTTGCCATTCACCGACCGACTTTCGCTGTATTCAATGCAAAGCAATTTATTCCATCTTTCTATTTGGAAGCGGAGCAAGCAAACCTACCCAAAAAATAGCCCCAAGGCCTAAGAAAAACAGGGTCCGGCTCCTAAAGCAAATTCTCTTTTGAACTCCTTTTTTATATGAAGAATATTTTTCCCAGAATGCAGGGCAACATTTAAGTAGAATATACAGGGAAAATCAAAAGTTTTAATGGGGTAATATTTGATTGTACGAAAGCAGTGTACACTCCTTCAAATGTGACAAAAAAGTATGTGAATTTTGTAGACACTCTTGTTTTATATTGATAACTAAATATATGCAATACCTATACAAAAATAAAAATATGTATGTACATGTATTATAACTTATCAAACAATTACTCAAACGTAGTGCCATTTATTAGCCTTTAAATTTCATTTCCTTGGCTATTTTCTATGTAGGGTATCTCAGCTTTTCCTAAGCGAATTTTCTACTCCACTTGCTCCACATCTTCTGGCTTTTTGGCCTGCCTATGCATTTGGCAGTGTAATTTTTCAACTTTTTGCCAGAAAATGTCAGAAAGCAGCCAACATGCAATTTATGTTGTTTTCTCAAGATTATTCATACAAAAAGTACAGTATTGCACTCTCTCCCTCTCTCTCTCTCTCTCTCTCTTTTGTTCTCTGTCTCCCTTTCGTGCGCCCTCTCTCTCCCTGTGCGTTGTCAATGCAGAAAGAGCTGCGCCTGCAGTTTTCTAATAAATTTTTGTGCTGATTTTGCTTTTAAAACGCGAATGTCCAGAGTTCAAATTGCAGACCATTTTGGTAGGGTGGCCAGCCAGGGAAGGATGTTGAATGCTTGAAGGGGAGCTGGTTGGGGGTGGTTTGGGGCAGAACATGCCTAACTACATGTAATTTTACGCGCAACTTAACTTGTAAACTGGCAGCAAACCAATGCCGCTGGCCAGCAACTCCAAACAATAGTCCCTTCCCCACCCTAACCTTCACTCACTCCCCCATTAACAGAGAACAAAGCTCACACACCCACACACACACTCACCTGTATAAGCCTGTATAAATGTTTGGCGTACATGGCGGATGTGTAATATGGCTGCTTGTGATGCATTAGGGGTAGCTTTGATTTCTGGAATTAAAGATTAAAATCTCCACACACAAAAGCGCCTCCTGTGGATTGCCGCAACATCAAAAACAATGCCCAAGCCCAGTTAAGTCCCCTCCCAAAATGACGTATGGGTATTATGATCACTTGTTAAGCATACGCCCCGTTGCGCATTAAGATGGAATTATGTACTGGAATTTCGTCAAAATAGCAAACAGCAAAGCAACGCAGAGCAGAGCGAAGCGAACGAGTTGAACAAATGAATGGGATTCAATTACTAAAATCCGAGAATGGCTTTTAATTTGGTTATTCGTTGAAGGAATTTAATTGAAATATTGCAACACATCTATGCATATATAATTTAAAATCCATTGCTTGAATGCATTTCACATAATGCATGCAAATTCTCAACAGAAGTTTATAAATATAATCAGATTATGTGGGTGTCAAAAAATTAAAAATTTTAATGGGTATATCTGTGGTAAGAGACGCACAGATATCGCTTTAAATATTTATATTTACATTAGGCATAAATTAGATGAGAATAAACTTTAGAGCTACTTACTTGTGGTAGCCTTAGCAGCCCACGCTCTCCTTCCTATTGTTCTAGTAAATCGCAGAGCCTTGGGGTAGCCTTAGGAAAGTTTTACATCCTTTCATCGGCTTTGCTGCCATTAACATATTGTTATTCCGATAAGTTCTCTCTCTGCAGGAACAACGTAGAACCTTCGCTCCCTTGCTTTCCCTCCGGTGGGGGGCGCGGGATGCCATTCCTCGATTAATTGCTTCTGAGGGAAAGGACCATTATGCAGGGCCATGGCTCCAACTAATTTACATTGTCCTGCCTCTCACTCACTCACTCACTTGTTCTTTCTCTCTCTCTTGCCCTCTACTGTTGCAGATACGACTACGAGACTCTACTGCAAAATTCCACGTTCTGCCTGGTGCCACGCGGCCGTCGCTTGGGTTCGTTTCGGTAAGCCAAAAAAACAGAAAAATACTAAAAAAAAAAAACAATTTTCATTTTACATTTTTCACAATTGCATTTTTCGTGTACTATATTTTTATTGTTGTTGTTACTTTTGTTTTTTTTGCAGATTTCTCGAAGCCCTGCAGGCGGGCTGCATCCCCGTGCTATTGTCCAATGCCTGGGTGTTGCCTTTTGAATCGAAAATCGATTGGAAACAGGCCGCCATTTGGGCCGATGAGCGGCTCCTGCTGCAGGTGAGCGAAAACGTTGAAGGGAATGCAAATCCGAAATACACTGAGGGAAAATTGGAACATGTAGAATAAAGTTTCAGTATTTCGATTAGGGAGTGCAATTTTTTAAATTTCTTTTCCTCTATCAAGGATTACAATGCAGAGAAGTAAACATTTCCGATTGCCTGAATTACTATATTATATAGTAGCTAGTGGCACTAAGGAATAATCTTCAGAAGGAAAAATCGATGTTTGATTCGCTTAAAGTTGAAAAAAAAAGCCCCCGAGGAGGCTCTGAGGCGTTTCGCTCAGTGCACAAAATTCCCATCCATATCCCATACAATATAAACTTCAGTTATGGGCCTCTATATCGTATATAAAATATTGAAAGTACATCTTTACCTCTCCTCACACCACCCTTCCCCGCTGTGTGTGTGTGTGTGTGGCTGCCGTTGTGCCAGTTTTTGGAGTCATTTGGCCAAAGCGATTTCATTTGGTGGCTCTGTCTAAAAAAAAGTTTTCATTGTTTATTTGTGTTGTGGGTGTGAAGAGGGGGACAAGGGTGGACAAGGGTGGACAAGGGTGTTGCATCACCCCCATATACTCGTACAAAGTCGTATCTTTTATGGCGGTGCGGGGCGGTGCCATGCGGGCGGAGGGCACTTGGAAATGTCCAGCCATTTTGGCATTGATGAATATTCTGCACCAAGGATTTGTTACGAAGTGTGCACCTGTTACCATGTCCAGGGCCACCGAAAGGAGCAGCCAATCGATGCAAATCACTTGCAGGAAAAAAACACAGCAAAAGTACTTGCAAAATTTGCATTCATTTGAACCTGAAATCACTTTAAGCAACCTTTGAAACCCCTCCAATTTCACCCAATTAAGATCTTTAAATGCTTTTTCTTTCAATGATGCCGATATGTTACTTTATGTGACACTTTGCAAGTGTCGTAAGACGCTTGTCCTGTCCGCCAGAGAGCCATTTGAGGCCCACTCAGCGCGTGAAGCAGCCGCATGGACATTGTGGACAGTTTTGTGCAATCCGAAGACGAAAGATTTTGCAATCAGAGCCGTTGAGTGGCCGACAACTGCTTGTCCGAGTGTCCTTCGCACACCTGTCCGTTCATCTTCCTCAAAGGACTCGTTTACCCTGATCCACCCACCCCGGCTGCCTATCAGTCTGTTTGCACTGCTGCTGCTCCATTTGTTTGCCTGCCAGTGTCCTTTTTCTTTAAGCCTTCTCCGCCTGGAAGTGCTCGACTGTGTCTGCGTCTGCGTCTCAGTCTGCTCCCGTCGCACTTTATTCGCGACAAAGACTTGGCACATTGTTTGCCAATTGCCCTCTTACTCTTCATTCTCTCTCTTTCCCTCATTCTTTTGCCTCTCATCCTTTTTTGCAGTCCAACTTCCTGTCTGCGTCTCCGTTGCCGGTCACGTCCCCATGCATTGGCATGTTTGCCTTTATAGTTTATTGGCAGGAAATGCAATTAATTAAGTTAACTTGAGCAGGAAGCCCAACCAGCCCGACTCTACTCCGACGCTTTAAACGTTTTAACTTTGCTTGCAGGTGTATGGGCTGCGGGGGCTGGTCCAAAGCATTTGCCTTGGCCATAATTATGATGGATGGGCACCCCTGGGCGATGCAATGGCAGGTGGAGATGCCCTGCTTGGTCTTTGGTTATGTCCTTGGGCCAATTAAGGCCTGTGCATTGCAAATGAATGCATCAATTAAGCTGACATTATGCATACGCACCATGTACTCACACTCACACTCTCTCTCTCTCTCTCTCTCTTTATCTCTATATTACAGGTGCCCGATATCGTGCGCTCCATCTCAGCGGAAAGGATCTTTGCCCTGCGACAGCAAACCCAAGTCCTGTGGGAACGCTACTTTGGTTCCATCGAGAAAATCGTCTTCACAACCTTCGAGGTGAGTCTCTCCCCCCCTCCGTAAGCATACATGTGTGGGTATCTACAGTGCCACACACTGCCATGCTCCTATAATCGTATGTGGTTGTTGGGGCTGCTGTGGCACGGTCGCTGTCTGCGGGTCTGTGGTACTTCGCAAGTTGTTGCGGCTTCTTTGGGGTTTCAGGGTCTCAATCGACAAGAAACAAGTAACGAGAATGTTCTTGGCTCCACTTATGGGTGCATGTGTGTGTGTGTGTGTGTGCTCTTCTTGGAAAACTCCTGCTGTTGGGAAAACTAATGCCTGCCTGCCTGGCTGCCTGCTAAGGGCCGAAGTATGCAACAACTTTGAACACAGTGCGTGCTGTAATTAAGCGAACCGAACTTTGCGCTTACTTGTTCGACGACGAGCAGTTCTCATAGTTGTGATGTCGGAGCATACTTTTCCATGGCATTGAATACGAATACTCTTACAGAAATGATGTCGTGGGGGAATCAGCAAGTGAATAGTAGAATTTATGCTACATGTCGCTGGCTCCAATGATTTTCACTGACTGATTTCTAATTGTTTGCCCTGAAAGATGAAATCTGAAAGTATCTTTTCATTTTCCACTGAAATCGAACTTAGTTTTGTTGTTGGCTGGGTGGCATACTCTCCGCACAGACTGTCTGTGATTTGTTTAGGCGACAGCCGCCTATCAACAACTGAAAATGTATCTATAAGATACGAAATACATATGTACATATCGATGGTAGGGTAGGGTGGCTTAAGTTGTGTGATCTCATATCAATAAACAAGTAGATAAAATCCATTCGACTAGCTGATACCCTGTATTTTAATATTCAAGAGAATTAAATGTGAGAAATATTTTATAAATGGTTCAAGAAATTGCCGAATTTTAAATCATAATTATCCAATTTAATTGATGCGTTTTATAGCAACATAAAAAATCGAACTCCTGATGTGTACCCACTGTTTGCGACAAACTAGCGACAAACAACAACTAGCGGGGAGGCAGCAAAGTTTATCTGCCCACAAATGCCAGCAGAAATTCTCGTGTTTCTCAATAGAGGAAAACGAGGAAAACGAGCTACAGTAGCAGAGGAGCAGCAACAGCAGCAGCAGCAAGAAGAGAAGTTGGGAAGAAGATATAGTTGAGGAGAGTAAAAGGGTGTGGTGTGTGGTGTGCGGTGTGTGGGGTAGGGGGGGGTGGATAATGTGAGTGGGTTAAAGACCAAAGTTGAAGGAGATTGGGACGAAACACACGCGAAAAGCAAACTAAACCGCCATCACTGGAGACCACTTTTCAACACTCAAATTGACACACAGACAGAGATAGACATAAGCATGCACGTGCGGGAGTGGTAGAGGGAGAGAAAATGGCAGGGAGAATGCAAAGGGAAGCAGAGAAAGTCCAACGGAAACTGGAGCTATGAGTCCCAGGACGTATCTCGTTTTTCGCGTTTGTGGCAAATCTTTTCGGCGCTGAAACACGCATACACACACACACATACATCATGAGAGAGAGAGAGAGAGAGAGCGCCTGTAGAGCAAGAGGGAGATGGAGCTGCATGTTAACCCTTGACGAGCGACAACACGAAAATGTCCTCATGCCTGTCATTCCGCGTCATGACAAAAACCGCAGCCCGAATGCCGACGGTGGCAGGCGCGAGGAGACAGCGGGAATAGAGTGCAGCCTGAAATCCATGCCAGGCATCCGCCCCCTGCATCGCCTATCCCTCCCTCTTTTGGGCTATAATCAATTCACAGTTACATTAAAGAGGGAGAGGGAGAGGGGGAGGGGCAAAGGCAAGCAGTGTGTGCATGTTACCAGATTAAACACAAATATTTTCCCTGGTCATGAGGCAATTAACCAAGAAACCAAGACATGGCCAACAAAGGACATGCACGCCGCACGTCGCACGCACTCACTGCTACACGCCCTTCTGGCCACACCCCTTTCATGGCCAGCTCTCAATTTATTATTATTGGGCCAAGTATTGCTGGAACAGCAGCTGGATGGCATTTCTTAATTGATTTTCGATCGAGTTGAAGCTCAAAATGAACCAAGAACCAAGAAAGGGAACACACAGCACCGGGGAGTAGGCAAATGGAGGGAGCTGCCAGGCCAAGATTTATGATATTTAGCCCACTGAAATGAAGTGAAACCAACCAGTTGAAATGGATGGCCGGAGCTAGATTTTATCCTCCGTTGTTTTATTTGTTTTCTCTCGTGCAACGAACCTTCCACAGGAACTAACACTATGAAGCCATCATTCCTTATGAGTTTACTATTCGTTCTACTACAGGGTTGTTATTATCGAAGGGATTACGCAGGGGAAGGTACTACCCAAATACTCGTGCTTCCCTGCGCCCTTAAGTTACCGTTACTTTGTGTCTGAGTTGGGCAAAGGTCATGTTCTGCCAGACTGTTTCTTATTTTTTTATTAGACTGAGAAAAAGAACCAACAGTACTCTTTATTGTTAGGCCAAAGGATAATATCTTTTGAAAAAGGTTTTTAAATGTTTCAGCTCCACTAAAGTACCATTGGAAAAGTATAAGTAAGCAGGAATCGACAGACTGCTGCCTTTCATTCTATTTCTTGTGTATTTATTTCCCAACAAAAGATTTGTTCAAACAAACATTTGATTCGCATTATTCCGCTCCATTGGGGGTAATTCTTTATGAATAGATTTCAAATCAGTGTCCCGTTTGCCTTTCTTCTCCTCCTGCCACAACCACCTACACATGCTCGACCAAAACTCATGCCACACGTGCCCCGCTCTGTATGCAACAGTATTTTTTTTCTACAATTTACCCTTTGGCTTGCATTTGATTTATGATTCGCGATTAAAGTAATGATTTGTGGGCATCGACACGCAGACAGACAGACAGACAGACAGATCTAGAAAGAGAGGGACAGAGACAGGCAGAGGCAAAGGCAGTGGCAGAGGCAGGGCCACCTGCTGAGGTGTGGCAAGTGCATCACGTAATGGCAGCCAGACCGCTCGCCCGCAAATAGCTTTGCTTCAGGGCTCCTTTGACCCACATTCCGCATATGCAGATGGCCAAGAACGCAGCCAAGCTCCGGCTACTGCCCCATCCTCTAATGTGCTGTGTGTGTGTGTGTGTGTTCATCTCTCTTTGAAATACTTGTGGATGCCACATACATATTTCTAGGGAACATAAATTCCAGGCTTCGGCATGGCAATGCAAGAAAGGAAATTCCTTTATAATTTGTTTTTATTAATTTTGAAATTTTCCCAAAAGCAGGAGGCTTCCTCTTTACCCCCCACCCCCTCTCTCTTTTCTTGTTTACGCCACTCAAGGGTACTGTGTGGACGTGGGAGACGGGATGGGGGGGGGGATGTTGCTAATAATCTTTTCTTCTGGGACACGTATGAATATGAATAGGAGAAGGAGAAGGGACTGTGTGGAATCCTTTTCCATTTTGGCCTACACTTAAGACCCGTTCATGCGGCAAATTGATTTAGGCATAAACAAGCCCAGAACACTTTTAACCCTCTTGCCACACACACACACACACAACTACAACACATTAACAAAAATAAGAAAGGAATTGTCAGTGTCGAGGGTCGAAGCCGTTGATACCCTAGCAGATTCATCGTTTCTCTGGCTCTTGGATGAAATATTATGTGATACGATTATGATTAGATTTTCTGGAAAACCAGAAGTGAAATGTTTATCATTTGGTTGGAGCATATTCGATGGCGGCCTTTTGGGGTATTTTATTCTAGAATTTAATGGTGGCACTCCCAATGGGTTTCGGGTAACAAAAGCTCTTCATACCCTCTGGAAGAGTATGACGAGTACGCAAATAATTTCCCGACGTCTCCTCTTCTGTGCCTCCCCTTCCTTCCTGGGCGTTCAACCGCATGTGACCCACCCGACCAGCCGGTGTCAGTTTTTTTGGGTTCTCTTTTAAGGGGCTAAAGGACGCCCAGACGGTCTATTAAAGTCAACAAACTGAGAAAACATACAACAAAAGCAGCAGCAAAGCATTTTGCTTTTTCTTTTGTTTGCTCTCTCTTCGGTGCGACTCCTGAGCGAGCAAACAGCAAAGGTGAGGAGAGTATCAAAGCATGAGGGAGGCGTAAACGAGGGACAAAGAGAGCGACAGAGCGAACGACCGAGTGAGAGAGAGAGGTTATTAGAAGGCTAGCGGGTTAGACGGAAAAACAAATTAAGCGGTTATTTGGTTTGTTAGACGCGCTCAAAAGAAGCAGGCTAGCTAGCTCTCTTCCTCTCCCTCGTTCGCTCTTCCACATCTTGTCGTTGTCCCTCGGGGCTGGGGTGGACTGTGTTCTGTTGTGGGTTGTGTCCTAGAGGATTACACACTTTTGAAACTGCAGAATGGGAAGCATAATTTCGAATTGTCTGGCTCTAAATAAGTCATCAACTTCTGGCTAATTATGTTGCTTGGCTGTTTGCTAATTTGTGTTTCGGTATGCGTATCCTTTGGAAATAGTCTGCGAGCGTCGAGAGAATACGCAGCAGCGCAATGCCCAATGATCCGGCCCATAAATGTCCAGTGGCACTCCTCTTATTGTAGTCCGAGAGTTCTGCTTTAGTTTGTTTGAGGGGCTTTTGTTCAATTGGAGGCGAGCGGACATGGGCTTCTGGATACCCATCCGCTGGATGGTTACGCATTGTGAGGCTGTGGCCTCCCCAACTCTACCAAACTCGTGGCCATCCAGAAAGAGAATTCTTAGCTTGAGAATGGGCATTGAAAAAGCTTTCCAATATTTTCCGGCAGGGAGACGGACTCTTTGGTATGTCGCTTCATCTACCGAAAGATACTCTCTCCTCTCCCAGCTAAGAGATCTCATCCGCAGACTTTCTGCCCCAGGCAGCCCCAGTCTTCTATATGACCCACCCAGAGAAATTCGTGGGAGGGATGTATGGTGATTAAAGCAAATGTACCCATGCATATCATTTCAACTACGACACGATATGGTCATGTGGGCTATGTCCTTTCTTTCCAGGCTGTATATGTTGCTGCTTATTTCATGGGAATATACGAGTAAATATTTCTCTATATTTGCCTTTAATTGATAACCTTTTACCTGAGAACATTTAATATTCCATTGAAATTCCCCAGAGCAAAGTTTTGAATAGTTTTCCCCACTCATTTTCAGCATTTGGCAGCTCCTTCAATTATTTTAATTAATAAATCAAGAGTTGAATCTGAAGTAAAACCGCAGCACAACTTTTTGCTGGCCCTTCATCAAAAACGAAGGACCTAGCAACCAGTCGTGTGTGTGTGTGTGTGTGTGTGTGTGTATGGATAAATGGAAATTTTATGCGGCTGATCCCCAGGATTTGCATAATTTTATTGTGTGTTGAACTTTCGACCGAAAGCCCATCTGCAATACTCAATCGAGGTGGGAGACCTACCGGCTTGTGCCGTAGTCCCGGGCCCCTTCCGGACACACAAAATCCCTGCCACAAAAAGGTCACTCAAAGTCCACTTACCGAATTTACATCGGGCCTAAAATCTTGGCCCGAGCCCAAAAGTCCACAAATACATACATACATATGTATGAATGTTTGATAGTGTGTGTGTGTGTGTGTGTGGGGTTTAAGGGGTACGCTGGATGTGTGGATGTGACCGATAAGCGTGTGGCATGCACTTAAGTTGCACAGGGGAGCCGCAGAGAAAGTTCGCAAATGGCCACAAACATTCTCAGCAAAACAGAATAAACCACAATAAGCCAAAAGCTCAGGACACCCTGCTCTGGAATAGTCTGCTTACATACATATGCACATACACACGCATGGCTCTGCATTCGCAAAAGTACATTGGCGGTCACAATAATAGTGACTGCCACTTGAAGGGCATCTTTTATTAGCACATTTAAAAGATCTCCTGGCTCTTAGCTGTTAGTTGTTAGCTGTAGAAAATTGTTAGACATATTACGGGTATTTTTACATCTCCCGGGGCTTTTCGAACTCACAAAGATGCTGAAATTTCAGTAGTTCCTAGCTAGTATTTTTACATTTATGGTAAAGTGCTCAGATCTCGGTCTTCTCGGAGAAGCTGAACGCCTTAGGAACAAATTTTAGTTATAGAAAAATAATTTAGGTTTTAGACCTTACCTTCAAAATATTAAATTAAAGATAGGAACATTTGTTCAATATACTATTATTTTTTTTTATTTATTTATCTTAAGTCATCAGAAAATGATTTAATCTGTGATTAAACATGCCATCATTTTGAACGCAGTTGTACATGGGCTGCGAGTCTGTATGTTTCTGTGTGTGTGTTTGGGACACTTTGTTTATGGCAGTGCGTACCGTGGGCTTGTGGCTTTCTGCTTGCAACAAAATATGTGGCATACTTTCAGGCAGCTGTCGGAAAAAAACCCATTTCCACTGCACTCTTCTGTTTGTTACTTGTGTGTGGGGGCTGGCTGGCTCTATTTCCCTCTATTATGTCTTGCCGAGATTTGCATTGCAGGACGCACACAGATCCTGGACACAGACACACCCACTCGCACCACGACCACGCAGGAGCAGCGAGCAACGAGCCGAGGCGGAGAAGGAGCTACAATGGGAATGCAGGAATGGGAGCAAAAACAACTTATTACTTTGCCTAATCCTATTATGCGCATGCAAACGTGCGCCAAGAAGAAGGGAACAAAAAACTTTCTCCTCGGTGAAACTACTTTGAAGTCGGAACTGTCTCTCACCTCCCAGCCACTTCCATCCACTTCCACCCACTACTACCCACTCACCTTCTCTGTTGCTCTTTGGGCTGTTCCTATTCATCGCATTCAATCGTGCACTCACTCAAGCGCCGCTAAGTTGTCTCAGTGGTGCGCTGCTTATGCACTGCAAGAAATATCGGGGAAATAGAGAAACCAATTTAAACTTGTTCTTGCTGCAGTCGCTTCTTAAGCTAACAGCACACTGCGATATGAAATGTGGCTAAGAAAGTGCTCCATTCACAGCCAATATTACTCTGAATTTCCATGATCGAAATAACAGAGAAACCGAGAAGGGACACATTGAGGATCTAAACTTCATATTCAGCTTATAGAATTATCATTATTTTCTGCTGTTTCTATGGAGGAAGCTTAAAATTGTTGGCAACTTTTTCCGCTTTTTACCGCTGCCTGCAATTGCAGCTGCAGCTGCATTTTGTTGGACTCTGTCCAGGGATCCGACCCAATTTACGTTCGAGCTGTGAAGTTGCTAAACTTTTTGAGCTAACATTCTGTTTGGGCCACTTTCCACTAGCCCAGCAGCTCGTCAGCCAGGTGGCCAGGTGGCTGGCTTCTCGTACGGCCTTGATGTAGTTAATTTCCTCCACTTACCTGTCCATTATGGCCAGGACGGGTCGTCCAGTGGCAGTGGCGCTGGCTTTAGCTGGTGCCTGCGCCTTGGTGAGATAGCTGAAAATGCCGCGACAGCAGCTCAAGAAGTTTGCTGGACTCGCAAATCCCTTTTTGGTCTAAGCCGATTAGGCTGCTACTGCTGCTGCTGCCAGCCTCCTGGTCTGGCCAACTTGCAGATAGTTTTGTTGGCCGCTGCGCGTTCATTGATTTTCTCGCAGTTTTTTTTGGTGGTTTTGTTTTTTTTTTTTTTGTTTTCTTTATCAACATTTATTTTGTATTTGTGTGTGTTTTAATTTTTACCGAAATGCAAATTCATTACCTAAGCGTAAACATAACATAAAGAGTCGGGGATTACGTTCGTTACTTAAGCGTAGGAAACATATAGAGTGGACGCCAGTGGACGACAAATGTGGGATGGAAATCTCCCGTCAAAAAGGCACGCAGTGGGGGCCAGGCCAGGCCAAGTTTAATTTTTGTTGTTGTACATTTCTGATATGCATGTCAAGCAGTTTTCTTTCTATTCCATTGTCAGATCTCTCTTTTAGATCTGTGTGTGTGGATGAATGTGGTGGTGGCAATGTGGTGGGGGATGCTTCTCTTCTCCGTCTCTGCTTCTGCTTCTGCTTCTGTTGTTTTTGTTGTTGTTGTTTGGGGTGGTCTCCGAAGTCTGTGAGTCTCTGCGGTGAGTGTGGGGTTTGAGTTGGAGCTGCAGCTGTGGACAGATCCAATCCGATTCGAGTTCCATTTTTGTTTTCTTTTTAGAAGAGCAGGGAGAAGAGACTTCTTACGCCAGTGGAGCCAGCTCCGGAACCGAGGGTAAACCCTGTGCTCGGCGTCCCACTGCTGCGGTGCCGCGAGACGTGGCTGGAAACGTTAGCACGGACACGGTCGTAGCTGGCAACATCCTGCAAGCAAAGGAAACGAAATTAGCCAACGGATTCTGCAGGGGAGAGGGTGGGAGGTATTGCGTACTGGTCGAGCACAAACTCGAGATGTCTGCAGGGGCGGCAGATGTCGCAAGTGGCGCACGTGTTGTATATCGACAAGACTCTCACCTCTTTGTCGGCGTTGGCCAGGACGGAGCGCATCGAGGTGGCCACCGGCCACTTCTTCTTCATCACCAGATTGTTGGGGGGATCGTGGGCGGTGCCGGCATCCACCGACCAAATGGTGACACTGGCCCCACCCAGCACCTTCGAGCCGCGCGAGAACTTGAAGGCCAGCTCCTCGTCCCCGGCGATGCGGGTCAGCTGCCAGCCGGTGAGATTGATCTCCTCGGTGCCCTTGTTGTGCAGCTTGATGAACCGTCCCTCGACATCGGCCTCGATGATCTCCAGGTCACCCTTGGCGGCGGCATTGACCGAGTACTCGGACAGTGTCCGGTCCTCGCTCTCGTCGATCACCGTGCGGCGCCGCTTGACGGCACTCGAGCCGGAGATGCCAGGCGTGGCCGAGCGACGGCCGCTGGGTGTGACGCGTCCCGATCGCGAGCCACCGCTGGCACTCAGATGGGTGCCATTGCTGCTGGAGATGCCCGAGTCGGTGCCGGTGCGGCCGGGGGACTCGATGTTCAGGCGACGCTCCTCGCCGCACAGCAACTTGTCGTAGGCGGCGATCTCCAGGTCCAGGGACACCTTGATGTCCATCAGATCCTGGTACTCCTGCAGCTGGTGGGCCATCTCGTCGCGCATGCGCTGCAGCTCGGCCTCCAGCGAGGCGATGTACTGGTTGTGGCGCTGCCTCTCCGTGTCCAGGAGGTTCTCCAGCTCCCTGATGCGAGCCTACAGAAAAAGAGACAGAGAGAGATATGCCAATTAGTAATCGAAAAAATTGACTAAACTTTCGGCAGCACTCACATTGAGACCAGCATTGGTGGTCTCCAGGTCCTGCAGCTTGCCATTGAGGCCGTCGATCTTGGTGCGCATCAGACGAACCTCCTCGGTGGCATGGGCCGATCCCTGGGCAGCCCTGGAGACGGCGGCCTTCAGGTTCTGGATCTCGTTGTCGTACAGCTGTTCGATCTCCTCGCGATTGACGCGCATCTGGCCCTCGTACTGGTCGCGCAGCTCCTGGAGGGATTGCTGCAGCTTAGCCTCGTACTGGCGCGACAGACGGCCGTCGATCTCGCTGATCTCGATCTGGCGACGTGACCGCGTCTCGGTCAGCTCCTGCGAGTGCACCTGATCCTTGAAGGCCAGCTCCTCGCGCAGGCTCTGGTTCTGGTTCTCCAGGTCGACCCTGGCGAGCGTCTCGGCCTCCAGCTGCTTGCGCAGATCGTCCAACTGGCGACGCAGGCGTTCATTCTCGAGAGCAAGCTCCTTCGCCTGATCCTCGAACTTCTTGCGATCGGCCAGGGCCTGGTTGTATTTGCCGTTCACTTCGTTGTAGCGAGATTCGTACAGGCGGGCATTGTTCTCCGCCACATTGGCCTCCTTCGTCTTCTTCTCGAGTCTGTGTGGGGGGTGGGCGGCAAAACAAAAAGGGGGAACAATTATTCATGGGCTCTCTTTCTCATTTATCTATCTACATGTGCTCGCTGGATGACGTCACTTAATTGACTCACATTCCCATTCCCCTTAACAAAAAGCTCACTCTATGCTCTGGCTCTCTCTCTCCCTCTCCCTCCCTCTTTATATATGCATTATTCATTAGACGTATCCAAATTCGAAATTTGCTTGGAAACCCGTTCAACGATCTCCATCTTCCATTTTTTATATCGAACATCACAGATATTTCGTCGCTATTTGCTTGCCTTGAGAGCGTCACATGCCATTAGCATAAAGTAGCCCATCAACCCCTCCCCCCCCCTTGGCTATTTCTGACCACCTCTTTTGGGCCCCTAGCCCCCCCATACCACTCTCCTGTTGATTTATGGTATGTTCTTTTATTTGCAAGAATATTTAGCTAAAAAACAAAACTTATTTATTGCCCCACGAAAATATCATAGAAAAATTCCACACATAATCCGCAACGTTTGCTCCGAAAACGTGGTCGGCACGTTTTGTATGACTTAATATAGGAATAATTGTCATTGCCACAGCAATTTGAATTTCCATTAATCATTAAAAAAATACTTTACAAATAAATGCAATACCTTGTAAGGCAAACACCATCAGCCTCTAGTCTCACATTTCATTTTACACGGTTTCTGTTCCGTTTTGGTTCTACGAATGTACGTACATCCCATGTACAGATCCCCCTCCGGGTAGATATATCTACATAAACAATTTCCTCAGCTAATCAAGGCAAAATAATGTTGTAAAAACGGGGAGGGAATACTGCTCGTAAACATGAAAACAAAATAGATTCAAGGTTCTTTGGTTTGTGCTCTACTTTTTCCCTGTTCCATTGGTTTTTTCGTTCTGGCAGCTTTTCTGTGCGTGTTGAAGTTTCATTTCCTTTCCACTCTTTCATTCCATTCCTACCGCTGGCTAGAGGAATTTATTAAAAACAAATTTAAACGAACAATATATATTTTTGTTGGAATTTTCGGGAAAATGTTTTACTCTAAGCAAAAAAAAACAAATCATTTTTTAAATACTATAGATCTGATATCTTTGGAAACACCTGGTCATATCTAATCAGATTCTGTGTGCAATATCGAACAAAACATTTTTGTGGCACACCTCAAAACCCAAAAGCTTACAGATTCCAGTTTTGACCAATATTTATCACTACTTATGAGTATTTTCCCTACCCTCTGGCATGGCACCGAACTACATTATCAGCTGTTGGCAAACACAAACAGCAATCTGGTGGCTAATAGGAATTAAAAAAGCTTTGGACCCAACACACACATTGCACGGCCACTAAATACCAAAAATAAATATTGCCTGATAACGCAAAACGCAAACGACGCGAAACGGAAACCTCGAAAATGGAAAATATCTACATTTGTTGACATCAGAGTGCCCGAACCGGTATTACATGGATATTTTGGGAAACTGCGTGCGATGCTATGACATCATAATCGAAAGACATTAGGTCTTGTAACCTTCCATTCAGCTTTACGACGCTGTGCCGAATACCTTGTAATCCAGGCGTAAAGGGGTATATCCACCAAGCGTATGCTTATGTACTGCTTCTGTTGATTAGATATTAATTGAAACTATACATACATACAGCTATGATCTGTGCAAATAGCAATAGCATAGCTAAGCCACCCCCGCAATCTGCTAACTATTACAGGCTGTAGGGGGGATAAGACCAACAGGTATCCCTTAGTCGAATTCATCGACTTATTTGATTTGCATAAAATGCGTAGAGAGTTCTAGAGCACAAAATAAACAAAGAGCAGGTAGGCAGTCCAGCCAGCGATAAAGAACTTGAGAGAGAGATAGAGACAGAGAGAGCGCGCGTGAGAGAGACCAGACCAGACCAGAGTGAGACGTTCGTTGCGCTGCCATGTGCGGTGCGGCGCTTTCGAAATGAAATGTGCTTTTGGCATGACATCATCGGCCTCGCTCTGTCTCTAGCCCTCTCTCTCTCGCTCTGTGGCACAGTACACAGTAGAAGCCATGACATCACTGGCTGATAATACGCAGTGGGCCCTCCTCCCCCCCTACCCACTCAAGACATACCACCCCTACCTCATCGGTTATTACCTGGGCTTCAAGTCGTCGTTCTCCTCCCACAAGCGCTTGATATCGATCTCCAGTTTGGCCTTCTCCTTGGCCGTTTCATCGAGCAGCTTGCGGGCGGCGGCCAGCTCCTTCTCGTAGACGGCCTTCAGATTGGAGGTCTCCCTGTTGACGGTGTCCTGCGAGAGATGCAGCTCCTGTGTGAGGCGACTGTTCTCATTCTCCAGGTTGCGCATGCGATCGATGTAGCAGGCCAGGCGATCGTTCAGGTGCTGCAGCTCCTCCTTCTCCTGGATGCGAGTGGTGCGCGTGGGCGAAGTGGGGCTTGTGGCCCCCAAGCGCGAGGAGGTGGATGCTCCACCCACCGGCGTGGAGGTGGAGGCGCGCGAGACGCGTGTGTTGAGGGTGACGCGGCGAGCGGACATCTTTAGGGTTTTTTGGGCTTTTGGGGCGAGGAACGTTATTTAAGTACGGAAGTTAGCGCTAATCTTCTGCTATCGCCTCTAATATTATTCCACTTTCTGCTTAGAGTTCTCTGAGTTCTTTCTCTTGGATTGTACGTCCGTTTGCTTGGACTGCTGAATATTGACTGTGACGACTGGGCCCCGAGCGACGCCGAACGAGGCCCGATGTCGATGCGACGTCTCTCGGCCATCATCGACGGAATTAGTCGTCGTAGTCGACCGCATAAAAAATAAAAACACGAATGTGTGTGCTCGCTCTCTCTCTGTCTGCCAGTCGATTGCTCTCACCTTTTGGCTTTATTGTTATTATTGTGTCGCTTTCTTCGCCTCCTCTGCTTCGCCTTTCCATTCGCATTTCTGTCTTTGATGTACAGCTGTTTGTGTTTGCTGGAGCCGCAAATAGAAACCAAAGGCAGAGAGCAACCACATACATATGTATGTGCATACGAGTATGTAACTCAGCAAGACCAAACACAATTATTGCCGGCACCAGAAAACCAAACCCTCTTCCTAGCCCTTTCGGTTGAAGGGGAAGCAGAGAATGGGGAGCATTCTTTTAATTCTTTTAATGCACTCCATTCAGTCCATTCACTCCACTCCACTTCAATGACAGTTCGATTTCAAGGTTAATGAACGACGCAATTTTGTTGCGTGGCATTAAATCAATAGAGATGGCAATGGGAAAGACACTCTCCAAGGAGACACTGCCAGTGCCTTTCTGTGTGATTATTTGTTATATTTTATATACAAAATATACTTTAAAAATAAGTACAAATGGTTTATCACTGGTCGAATGGTTTTAGGTATGGTATGATACATACATATGTTTCCCATACATTTCCATTAAATTATGAAATGTTTAATGCCCGCCCACACTAGTTAATGGCCCTTATGCGCGATAGGAGCGCTGGGAAATTGACCACAGTGCACTCCCACATCATCAATTCCACTTCATTTGGCTCCATATGCACATGTCCATTATATTGATCAGCCGCAATTATGGCCCAAATAGAGTCCCAGCGTGTCCCAAATTTCGGAATACCAAGGGACTGGTGTGGCAGGCGCCCACCCATAGTTCAGTTCACATACAGAATGGGGGGGGGGGGCTACCTCAGTGTAATGTCAACTTGTCATAGCTCAAATATATATTGACGCCAACTGCTTCTGTGGGTGGTGAGGGGGGTGGGAGGCACTAGGAATGCCAACAGTCATAATAATAAATAACCAGAGATAGAGCGGGATGGATAGAGTTAGTTAGCTTTTGGCTTTTTACTTTTTGCTCGCTCTCTTTTTCTGTGGCAATTTCTAGCTTTTATTTGCAAAAGTAAATAGCCGGCAAAACAACATTTTATTTTACCCACGAGATTAAACGATACGGAGCGGAGAGAGAGAGAGTGAGAGAGAGAGCGAGAGAGAGACATGCCATGGGAGCTTTTGGGATTCTCTCACGCTTCTCCCGCTCCCACAACACAATGAAGAGTGCAGAAAATATGTGAACTTGTCATGCAATGTGCACGCCTGTGACGTCATCTAAGCTTAAACGGAATGGCAACAACATTCCCAGAGTGAGAAAGAAATACGCGCGACTAAGAGGGTTATATGCATGTGCACATATGTACACTGACCTCCAAAAAGCAGCCCCTTCTCGGTGACGTCACCAAATTATTTTTAGTCATGCCGTCGCCTTCACCGCCTTCCTTCCGTTTGTCCATCGTTTCGTTCGCATTTGAATAAGTTTGAGTTTGAGTATTTCTTTAATGCTTCGATACTCCCATCTTTTCGGCTTATGCTACTTATGATTCGCCAGCGCTTTTGAGAGCTAATTAGGTTTAATTAACGTGCCCAATTGTGTGCCCGAAAAACGAGCGCCAGAACCTAAACCGATGCTAAATTGTTTTTCTTCCTCTGCTTCTGCTTTTCTGTTTTTCCTCTCTAGGCATTCTTGGCGACTCGCTTTTTGTTTCGCTTTCCGCGTGTTCTGTCTTGGCATTCGGATTTCTCCATTCCATTGCGGAGTACATATTTCTCTTTTGCTACATCAATTTGTCGCTTGATGAATTATGGAGGGTGGGGGGGGCTTTACGATTACAAATTGATAAGAATTATTCCAGTGCCCTGTGGGGAAAATGAGCTTGTAAAACGCAACTTTTCATTACAAAGTCTCATGTGGAAAATTGGAGCATCCCCTAATTGAATTATTTAATGAGAAAACAGACTTTTCCTTTTTTTTAAAGCTTCGTGTTTCGTGTTCAACTTTTTACCTGTAACCTGCAATAATTGGCCCAAGGGACATACAGCTTTAGTTATGTATATAAACATCCTCGTTAAAACCCATCAATAGTTTCGAGTGGGTACCCTTCACAAACAAAACTTTACTTTTGAGCTAAGACTCCTTCGGTAAAGCGGAAAGCACCTTAAAAGCCCTGCTTCCTTCTCATTTTCCACAACTTTCACACACAAAACTTTGTTAGTGCAGACTCTTAAAGAGTTAAACGCACATCAATAGCAATTAGTAGAGCCGTTGTACAGGGGGTATGAAATATGTATTTCTTTCTCACTTTGATTCCGAATGACTTTTGATAAAACAAAAAAAGAAACAACGACAAATAAATAAACAGAGAGAAGGTCTCCCCGGGGGGCTGTTTGGTTGTTGATTTGAGCCAACTTTTAGCATAAATATTTATTCAGTATTTATTTGCCTTTATTTGCGTTTTGTTACATTTGCTTGCCATACTTTTTATCTGCAGGCTGTCTCTATTGGTGTGTCACCTGTCACCCCCCTGCACCTTTCAATGTTCGAAATACAGAAATACAGTGCACAACTACTCGTACATACATACGTATGTACATATGTATGTATGTATATGCAAAATATTTTCACAAACAGAAAAACAAATTTAAGTCTACCTTCTCTCCCTCTCCCTCTCCCTCTTCCTCTTTATATTTGCCCATCTATCGCTCGCTTTTTCGCTCTTTCGCTGTGTAGTCTAAACTTGTTTGCCTGTGCTGTACGTATTCTTTGTACATATTTTTTATTTTATTTTGTTTGATTTTATTTTCGGTTGTTTAACGAATTTGTCAAAGCCGCTTCACAACTCCCTGGCGCAGTTGCTGCTGCCTCTGCTGCTGCTTCTGTTCATTATTTTCGCTGTTCGGAGCGACGACAACGACAAACGAAGTTTGCCAACAATAATGACATCATCGTCAGCTTAAAGTTTCTTGAAGTCATGGCAAATGACGCTATAAGATGAATGAACGATGAAAGACCCAAAAAAAAAGAAAAGCGACTATCAAGAATATTGTGATGAGGTGTAAGAAAAAACGAGTGGAGAACCTTGCAAGGTGCCAATGTTAAAAATCAAAAGGATAAAATCAGTTTGAAAAGTTTTTATTTATTTTTATAATTTATTTTCGGGAATTATTCATAGATAAACCGCTTAACTTTACTCTATAAATAGCACTTTAATCTATAGGTCCACACATACGTACATATATGATACAATGAACTTCATTATAATCCAGCACCCGCCCCGCCACTCATGCTTTCGACAGCACAACTGCCAGTTAATTAACATTCGCACAAAAATTTCAAATCGTTTAATTTGTGAAATAAAAACAAGTCTGAAATAAAAAAGAGAACAAAATGTGCCACAAAAGAAACACGAACAATTAAAACAAAATTAAAAAACAAACTGAGTTTGCCTTTTGGTTAGCAAATTTGTAGCTGTTTCCCAAAAATATGTATATACATGGTGGGCCCCTCCCCCCGGGGGGGGGGCGGGCGGGGGGGGGGGGGCCGGGGGGGGGGGGGGGGGCGGGGGGGGGGGGGGGGGGGCCGTATGTAAAGTATTTGCTCTTTTGTTTTGTTGTTGTGGAACGCGTTTCTTTATTGTAGATATATTTTTTTATATTCTATAGAAATATGATTTGCTTTGTATTTCTTCTTATTTTTGTGGCTTTTTGGATTTGATTTTTAATTACCAACAGTTTTGTGGAGTTTCCTAATGGAATTGATGGATGATGGTCAACACTTGTTGCGCATACGCCATGTGGTCGTGCGAATAGTTTTTCTGGTACTATACACATACTTTTGCATAGAGAATAAAGCATTAAAAACATTAAATATTATATATACTATGTTCAATAACAACATTCGAGTCGATATCCAAAGCTATGTTCATTTTTTTGTCATAGATAAAAATGATTGAGCACAAATCTTAAAAATTCTATTGGTTTATTTGTGCCTATACTCCTGTCGGTATATAGTACAACAGTCCTACCATCTTTTATTCGATTGGAGTTATCCGGCTTATACGAACGATCTGCCAAGCCTTTCTTTCAGTCCTTTTTTTTCATTTGCATGTTCTGCTGCAGATTCTTCGTCGACAAGTTTAACGTCTCGTAATTTTTAAGCAAATAAAGTTGTATGGGGAAAAGTTAGTGGAAAGCATTTGCATATCATTTTTACATCCGTTCTCGCTCTCTGTCTCTCCAACTCTCATTCTCTGTCTCTCTTTTGCTACTTGCATAAGTTAATTTCATGTTTGTCTTCTACCGAACCCTCAGCCTTCCTGCATGTCCTCCACTTGCTTTGAAGTGTTTTGGGTGCCACTGAGTGTAGCTTTTGGCCTGGCTAAGAGGGAGTATTTTATGTATGCAGCTGCTGTTGCAGCACACACCCACACACAAACAGCCACTCACATGCTAGTGGCAAGTCGCTTTACCCGAAAAGTATGCTAAGAAAAATAGCTGATACTCGTATTACCATGGGGAGATGGCAACATTTTCGAAATAGAAGCTGAACTCATTCTCCGTTTGCGAAAAACCATTCGAAACATCTTCAAAGAAGAGCGTCGGATAGTAATTTGCTAAATCTGTTTCTCTAAACCGCATTAATTTTAAGACAAAAAATCAAACAAACAAACAATCTGCAACGTACCTTTACAAGTGTCCCTTTTCACCCAATTCGATTGCTCGATTGCTATTACCTAGTCCGTGTCGTAGGTGCCTGATGCTGAAGGCGATTTAATTAAAATTGCATTGCAGCAATGGAAAAAACCCTGATCAAGAAAACTGCCTGCGCATAAACGAGTGGGAGCCAGAAAGAGTGGAAGACAGCTTGGCAAAAGAAGTTCTCTGCTTTCGCATGCAATTAATTTCCAGCAAGTTTCTGTAACACGAGCATGAATAAGTATGCGTACATATGTATGTATGTGTGTACATGTCTGCTCAAAAGAACTCTCGGCAGAGGAAGGGAGGGAGGGAGGGGATATTTAATTTCTTCGGGTCGAAGAACAGTATAAATTCTGTGAAAACTTTAAGGCATTTTTCAGCCCCCAAGGCTCTCAATCGAAGAGGGATAAAGGAGTGTGGTTGGATGCATCCACCTGTTTTATGTGGCTTACATTATCCGCTCCATTGGGTACTCTGGGTGCCAAAGAGCTACAAGCATATGGTACATACATATGTGTGTATTTATGTATGTACCTGCAACTTAATCGTCACTCAACTACACATTCACACCGCTGCAGCACCGCTGATGCGAAACGGATATGAAATTTTGGCTCAATTCCTGTGGGTGGCACTCTCACTCTATGCATACACATGTATGTATGTATATACATATGTATATACACATGTATGTACATATGTATATACATATGTACATACATATCACTCCTTGGCTCTCGTTAAGTAGTGCCAAAAGCACTGGTGCCTGCCTGGTGCTCTGTTGCAGCTGCGATAAGTCTGCTGGCTGGCATCCAAATTGGGTTTAGTTTAGAGGAGAATTGGGGGGAAACTAGTGGTAAAGAAATGCTCATGACAGATGCATGAGGCAAATCGGGTAAATATTTGCCAGACGTCATGCGTTGGCCAACTCAGATATTCTCCCTGTGCTGGGGCGGCCGGCTTAAAGTCAATTAAATCCACTTTGTTGGCTAATTAAAATGTGGCCAAAAGAGACAGACAGATGGGGGACAGGCTCCCTACCGTCTGGGCCAGGCCTACACACGCACACGCTCACATATGTACATATGTATGTAAATATGCACACATAGGCAATGCGCATAATTGAATCATAGGCAGGCGGCCATTTCCTTCTCCCTTGCGCTCTCAATTATGCTGCAACGTCAACAGCAAGAGATTTACTTAATTATGTCGCAGACTGGCAAACACAGATGCCTACATGACAGGGGACACACACACACACACACACACACACAAACGCACTTGGCGCGAGAGGAAACGCTAAATAAACACGCGCCACGCTCCTCGCGCTAGTTGGGCGTTTTCTATGCAAAAAAAAAAAAAAGATACTGAGGGAGAGAGCGTTTTCAAAGAGGAGAAGAAGGTTGCACGGCAGTAAGAGGAAAGAGAAACCGAAGATTTAGATACCCTCAAAAGGTGCGATCAAGGCTTCCACTAGGGGACATGGACTGTTCACATGTCCCATTAGCAAAAGTCCCATAGTTCACCGCGAAACCTTTACTCAATGGGCGGGTGGGGGTCTCCTTCTTTACACATTTACAAATCATTATACCCTGCTGCAAGTAGATAAAATAGCGATGCGCCAAAGAAGGAATTATAATTACAAAATGTAAAGCAGGCACTTGAGACACGCGCCCCAGCCAGACAAGGAGCCATTCGAGGGATCGTCAGCCCCGTCCCGACATTCCAGTTGAATTTGTTTGCTGCAGCAGCGGCAGCAGCGGCATTGCTCCATCGGAAGGTGCAGCGTGGAATGTGGGCTGTGGGCTGTGGAATGTGTCTAACGAGCCGAGGCACAGCAGAGCGGCTGAGTTATGTGGCAGCTGATGAATGCAAACAAGCAGAAAAAAATCGAAAAAAAAAAAGAAAACTGAAGCGAGGGCGAAGGAAACAACTAAACTAATGACCCTTAGACCCATAAATTATAAAGAAGGACCAGTTTCTCATGTGCTTGTTAAAGTTAACTTACAATTTAGTACAACTTTATGTAGCAGCTAAATCTCATTTAATCTGTAATCAGCGGCAACCACTGGCCAGTTTTTTATGATTTCCGCGGGGCTGTAGAAGCTAAGAACGGAGGATAAACTCCGCCGAAAGACCCATGAGTAGGTCCTTTGCATAACACTTCCCTCGTTGCCAGCAGGGGTTGGGGGAAGCCTGGTGTTGAAGGTAACCTCTTAGTTTTGGGTCAGGCTTTGCAATTATAATTCCATTCAACCCCGGCCACAGGAAAGCCAAAGCGAAAGCCAAAGCCAATACAGACGTAGAAGAGGGAATGCGACTTCGACTTGCGGCTGGCTCCTGTGCATAACTAATTTGGCATGGCATACTTTAAGGCGTAGCCGCGCATTGAGCGACAAATTAACGCGCCATTAATGACACGCGATGGATGCTTGGGGAGAGATTGGCACTCCCTCGGAGCTCCTCCGCAGCACTGCGCCCTTCTTGGTCGAGCACTTGATGATGAGTGGCGAACGAACTTCCGCCCAACGAGGTTGCCGTGTTCCTTCCGTTGCGCAGCGGAAGCTGTGGAAACGCCTCCGCCATACACATCTATAGTATATCTGAGTGAGAATAAGGACGCGGAGACCCACCATCTGACCAAGCGGAAAATTAGGCAACAGCTCACAGGCCCATTGAATTATCGCACTCAAGTGGGGACCACAGGACAGACCGACAGACCGACAGACCAACAGACCGCCAGACTGACATAGACAAACAGAGGAGGAATAGAGTCATTTGGGCTTGGCAGTCGATAGGGGAGGGGGGAAGGGTGGGGGGACTATTCAAAACGCAATTTGCCCCCTCACATGGAGTGCACTCCACTCTGCCTGTGCACCTTCCTGCCTCCTGCCTTCTGTCTGTTGCCTTTGCCACTCCTCATTAGGCAATCAATTGGCAATCATCACTTGGGCATATCGAGAAGCCATTAAACAGCCATTAGCTCATCCACTCTCCCAATCTCTCTCTCTCTCTCTCTCTCTCTCTCTTGCAGATCATTCGCGAACGCTTGCCGGACTATCCGGTGCGCAGCAGTCTGGTGTGGAACAGCTCACCCGGCGCCCTGCTCACGCTGCCCACCTTCGCCGACAGTTCAAGGTAAGCCATTCCTTATGCCCACATTTACATACATATCCTTGCTTAACCCGCTTTCGATAATCCACAGATTCATGCCTTTTATGCTCAATTCGATGGGAGCGGAGCCGCGGCACAATTACACGGCCGTCATTTACGTGCAAATTGGAGCAGCCATGGGCCCAAATGCGGCCCTCTACAAGCTGGTCAAGACCATAACGAAGAGCCAATTTGTGGATCGTGTAAGTAATTCCAGTGCAAATCCCCAGATTGATCTTCACGCATATCCGATATCTTCTGCTCAGATTCTTGTGCTGTGGGCGGCTGACCGCCCGTTGCCATTGAAGAAACGTTGGCCCCCAACCTATCACATACCCCTGCATGTGGTTGCCCTGGGGGGAAACAGTCGGAGTGGCGCCGGGCCGACGGGCCAAACGACTGAGGAACGACCGAGCATATCACAACGATTCGTGCCCTACGATGAGATTCAAACAGACGCTGTTCTGTCGCTGGACGAGGATGCCATACTCAACACGGATGAACTGGACTTTGCCTACACCGTGTGGCGGGATTTCCCGGAGCGCATTGTGGGCTATCCGGCTAGGGCGCACTTCTGGGATGATTCCAAGGTGAGTCAACGCACTCATTGGTGTGCAATGAACGCGTTTCATCAATCCATCGATTGCAGAACGCTTGGGGTTACACGTCCAAGTGGACGAACTACTACTCGATTGTGCTGACGGGGGCGGCCTTCTACCACCGCTACTACAACTACTTGTACACCAACTGGCTGTCGTTGCTGCTACTAAAGACTGTACAGCAGTCCTCCAACTGTGAGGATATCCTAATGAACCTGCTGGTCTCGCATGTGACCAGAAAACCGCCGATTAAAGTGACGCAGCGCAAGGGCTACAAGGATAGGGAGACGGGCCGTTCACCCTGGAATGATCCAGATCATTTTATACAGCGCCAAAGCTGTCTGAATACCTTTGCAGCGGTCTTTGGGTGAGTTACAGCAGATGACCCATGGATCAAGCAAACTCATGTTAATGTTGAATTGTTTTTTTTATATTTTTTGTATTATTTCTAGCTATATGCCGCTGATACGTTCCAATTTGCGTATGGATCCCATGCTGTATCGTGATCCAGTTTCAAATTTGCGCAAAAAATATCGCCAGATTGAGTTGGTTGGCAGCTAGCGTTATGTGAATTCTGGCAATAGCTACAAGCGTTAATAGTACTGAATACATATACACCACACACATACACAGTAACACACACACATACACACACTCATAGCCATTTAGAAGAAATTAATGCTGTATGCAAGAAACTATGTTAATTATTATTAGTAGCGAAACGAGAGACGAGACGAGTTAGTTAGGATCCGCAGCAGCAGCAGTGTGTACGAGTATGTATTGTAAATGTACGCTTTTTGTGTACATCGATGTAAGCATTCGACGCTGCAGTTATGCAACAGCAGTGTGTGTATATATTATAGGACTCTAAATACGATACGAATAGCTATGTAGTTGTGCAGCTGCCACAGAAGGAGACGTAGCAAATAGCAGTCGATATTGCCATCATTTTTGTCGCTAATTTCAAATTAGCCAAAACTGCTAGACAAGAACTTTTTCTATATGTGTATTATGTGTATAACTCTATATGTATCTGTATCTGTATCTGTATATGTGTATATCTATCTATCTGTATGTATAGTTGCGTAAGTAGCCGACTTTTTTTGTACCGTGTGCGCGTTGAGTTTTTCTATTTGTATGTAAATGTTTGTATTGTCGCGTTGTTGCCACTCTCTGTACGTACGTATAGCTATAGCTATAGCTAGGGATTATCCATGTAAATGTGTCTCCAGTTTTAGTTTCAGTTGCAAACTCGAGGCTCCATCCAAATTCCTTAATGAATATAGTATCCAAAATCCAATGTAAATTCAATATCAACTATTATGAGCAGCCATTCAGCCAAGTGTGCACAAAAGCCAGAGGAGGAGCAGGAGGAGTACCAAATCAATTATTCGTACTCCTACTATACATATGTATGTATGTATTACTACTTTTTAGCAATATTAAGTTTAAGATATTTTGAATAGCTTTTTCATTTCCACTTTGTTATGTGCAATTTCTTACTTTGGACAACTCAGCTTTTAGTTTATAATTCGTGGCCATTTATTGATGTGAATCACTGCTATCAAGAGGCAATCAATTTTTTTAAACCCACTCGCATATCAGATGAGATCAGACGAGACGAGACGAGAGATTCTGTTAGTTTAAGCCAATCTATACTATATCAAAAGTATATCCCTATCTACAATATATAAACATATTTTTTAACACAAATATACACAATTGCAGCTGAACAATTTGTACAGTTTTTTGTTTTTTTTTTCTTTTAATTAAATTTTCATTTTATTTCCATTTTCTATTTCCACTTTTTAAGTGCGCAGGGCAATAATTATAATCGGAGTGGAGTGCAAGAAAAAATCCAGACAAAAAAATATAGCTGCAACATATCAAAACGAGTTGAGTTGGGCATGAGATGAGTACTACAATTCGGTGGGCAATTATTTGAAATAAATTCATTTTGAATTTCGAATGAACCAGTTCCAGGCAGTAGGACCTATAGCAAACAACTTCTACCCACTTGTTCTGTTTTCTATTCACATTAATATCTATCGTACTTGCTTGACTCGCTAATACACACTCTGAATAAATGTCCCCCCCATGCATCTTTGAGCTGCTGAGCTGGTTCTTCGCACTAAATTGAAACGAAAAATCGTACATAAAATGCCAAAATATAATAGAATGTTGCCCAAAACTCGCAAAACTCTTGACTGCCAAACAGCAAAATTGTTTAGCATTTATCAGTCAAATATGCTTATCGGCAATATGTATGTACTATACATATGTCACTGTATCTATGGATGTACATTTATGCGTGTGTTTGTGCATGTCAGAAACAGACAGAGAGACAGTCAGGCAGGCGGAGACGACAAATGCAATGAAATGTTCCCTATCCGCATGCACATAAATCAAACATTTTTGCCGTTGACTACGAATAACAATAATACTCAGAAATGCCAGATAAACGAATATATGCCAGAACCAGATATTTGTCTGTATGCATACTGAAATAAGTGTGTGTGAGAGTGGGCCCAAGGCGAAGAAGGATACACCCACGTGCATGCATAAATACACCCACACAATCAGACACATACAGAAATGTATGTGTGGCATACACAGCACAAAATGTGGAACTGAAGGGAAATCCAGAACTTTTGTACGGGTGTGTTTTATTTTTTGTATCTGCCTGTAACACACATACACATGTATTTGTATTACAACTCGTATATGTATGTATAATTGTATAATTGTATTTGTGAATTTTTGTATTTGACACAACAGCAAACACACAGAACAACAGACAACTCTGCACTTTTTATACAAATTTAAAAACTATAATACGAAATCAAAACGAAACTTTGGTGACGAAAAATAAACCTAAAAACCAAGACAAAAAAACACTTGACCAAAAATCTTCAAAAAAGGCTCCACGACCCGCCCCGCCCACACAAAGAAACAAAACCAAACTAAAAAAAAAAAAAGAAAACATAAATAAAAAACTGAGAAAAAGGCCAACAGCAACTAAAAACCATTGAAAAAAGGCGTCTATTAATAAAAATACAATTAACGTAAATAAAAGTAATTAAAGCCAACGGAACGGTAATCAAACTTATTGCATAAAAACATTAAACTTAAACCCAAAAGGAAATGGAAATACGAACATGAATGTTGTGATACGATTGATCGGACTATGCATGGCTTCCCCACTAATAGGATAAATACATGCATACATATATCGTGGCCCTGTCCATTCCCTCCACCAATCATCCGCCCCTCTCCCCTTTCCATTGTTCGTTCAATTTACGAATTTTCCCACACATATGTATGTATATGTTATGAGGATAATTGTGCATAATCAATTATTTTGCAGCATTTAACTGCGGACAAAAAGAATCCCATGTGTTTTTCAATAACACTCGTATGAAAAAAGTTCCTCTTTTTGTTTCGTTGGGCTCTTCATATGCAGATTTCCGCAGGCATGGGAATAAAGAGACGGCAGAGAGAGAAAGAGAGAGAGTGAAGCAGAGGAGGAGAGTTCGTAACGTTAATGACCATTTGAATGGGTACATTTGGAGCAGTCGGTCGTTGCAGGCAATCGCTTTATGAAATTGGAAAAGAAATGACGAATTTCCTATTCAAAAAAGCTGTCCACTCAAATAAAGCGAATGTATTTTTCAGCCCTCTCCCTGCAGAGCCCTCAAATGTAGGCTTCTGTAAACAAATTTGAAGATTAAATGAAACTCCTGGCGAACTAATCGATAAATAATCTAGCCTTGCCACGAGCAGAATATCCGCATTTTGATTTGCATTGCAAGGCCTTGGGCATGACAGAACTGACAATAAAGTAAGAAAATGAAGGGCAATGGAAACGAGCAATGATATGAACTGAACTAAATTCCCTTTGTTAGAAGTATACGTAAATATAATTATATCCCCAATATCGTTTCGTAGAAGAGCAATCAGCTGAGGTCCTACATACGTATATATCTTCGCAGGCATTGCATTGCCTCAATGAACACATATCTGAGCTTAAGAATGATACCCATACATCCTCAACATTCCCCCATCCCAGAGTCCATTGGCGACCCATCAATGCCATTATTTAAATTAAATCAGTTTAAATGCGCTGCTGGCGATTATCGAGTGTAAATTAATTAAATTTTGTTTTTGTTTATGTAAGTTCACATTTGAGATGAGACTCTCTTAGTATGTGCAACGATTTGTCTTCTATTTGTACAGGAAATAAAAACAAAACAATATTGATGCCTTCGACTTAAATGAAAGCATGCAAGACATAAATGAGTAAATACATATGTTTATGTATAATAAATGTGCTTAAACCTATTGCCTAGTGAAGATTGTTAAAGCTTCAAAGCCACAAACCCAGCCACAGCCACACCCATACAGAAACACAACCAAACACACACATGAATTAATGTAAATTACATAACGAGAAGGGAAATCCTATCAGCATATACCTACCATATAATATTGGCAAAGCATCGCAGCGGAAATATATATAAAAATACATACATACATACATATATATGTGTATATAATATATCTACCTACGTATTTATGGCAAAGAACAAATGTGATTTTTGAATAAAAATTTAAATGAAACTCAACCTTGTTATCCTTTACTTTCACACTATCTATCTCTATTTCTCTCTCTCTCCCCCCGTCTAAATGTCGCTCAATTAAGCAACTAATGTGTTTTCTATATGACAAGCTTCAGAAGCCCCGCCCCGCCCCGCCCGTGACGTACTCACTGGAATGCTGCCACTCCCGACACCTTGAGCACAAAGTTGGCCAACGAAAGTTTGCCAACCCAACAGAATTAGCGAGCAACTTTTGAGCGAGCACAAAATTTCATTGCCGTAAAATGCGTATCCATTTTTCTGTGTAGTTTTCTTAACTAACAGGAAATAGTTTTCTCCCCTGGCTGCTTCCACCCCGTGGTTTAGTTTTCCATAAAGTTTGTTTTGTTATACACGGGACTCGTATACATATAGCAAGAGCAAGTATATATAGTATTTTAGTACTATGTGATTTAGCAGGCAGAAATTCCTAATCAAAGGGTACGCTTCGCAAAAGAAGTGAGTGCTTCAACCCTTTGGGAGCTCAGCTATCCAGCGACAAGAAATTCAGAAATAATAAACAAATAAACTACAAACTGACTGCAGTCAGGACCTGCCAGGGCATTAACAAAATAAAGATTTCAATTTCCAGAAATTGTGAACAAAATTTGAATTTCCTCTGTTCTAAGTGTCGGGGCAAGCTGCTGCTGCTGTTGACCAAAGGCGGCTGCATATTGTTTCAACGTTAAACTTTCGTTGCAACTTTTTTTGCGATAGCTTCAATAAATTCGTCAGAAATTCGTGGCAAAGACCACAGGCTGTCATTGCAACATTTATTGCGAAACGCAAAGAGAATTTAAATGGAAACACAATTTTCAAAACAATTTATACAAATATTTTGTGAGTGCTGAGCCTGGCAGCTGCAGTACACACTGCCACAATGCAACAATATGTAACAAGAAGCTTTCTATATGTGCAGAAACGAGGACACTCTGTGCTCCAAAGCCTCCCAAGTCGACGAAAGTTTTTGGCTTTTGTTTCATTTTTGTAATGAAAATATTTATGATGTTTTTTTTTTTGAGCGAGTTTATTGTTTACATATTGCCAAAGCATATTGAAAACTTCTTTATTAAATTTCATTCCAGTAAAAGCCAATTGCTTGTTGCTGTTGCTGTTGGTGCTGCCGTTTCGATTATGCCCTGCTCTCCGCATATGAAATGCCTGGGAAAGTTTACATTTCTGTGCCAGGGGCCAACCCAGAGATGATGAAGCTGTGAGGACAGAGAAATGCACTCCTCCGGGGCTGGATGGTTTCCATGGCATCTGTGGCTGCTGCATCCATTTGTGTGCCTCCTGCAACTGATTCATATCCCAGTATGGCAATGGCATGTCCCTGATGTTTTTTGCACATATTGGCTGAATTCTTGCATAGACAGGAAATCGTATAGCAATTAGCAAGGATTGCTGACATATTTTTCAAATGGTTTTTTATTACCCAATTCATTCCAGCGGGTTGATTTACTCTCATTAGGATATTCAATCAGGGACGAGCGGCATTAATTTGATTAAATATGCATATGCAATCAAAGGATTCATCTTTATAAACTATGTATTTATTAAATCTGGTGACTTTATTTGTGTGGTTAATTGTCAATAAATTAAAATTAATGTATGATTTCACCCTCTAACCAACCAACACAAAGAGTGGGCGGCTGCAGCCAAGTACTAATGAGATTTAAATTTATGGGAACTACGCTTAAAAAGATTTTAAGCTGGATAATTGAGGTGATGGCCTACAAAAAGAAGGATCTACATAAATATATGAAAGGAACAAACATGGTCGGTGTAGCATGTATATATTTAATCAGCTAATGCAAAATACTCACAAATGTATGTATGTATAATTTGGGCAACTGGACACAGTTCTAAGTCTGATCTGCTTGGGTTTTTTTACTAGTTGCAGTGCCACGGATGCGGGTGCCTGCTGCTGTAATAACATAATTAGCAGAAACAACAGCAAAGGAGACGAGTCGGGCCAGCAGTTGTGCCTTTAGTATTTAACAAAACAATGCACAAAACTTGTTGCGGTTCTTGTGGCTTTTCGTTGTGTTTTGTTTTTTTGCTGTTTTGTTTTTTGTGCTGCTTTAAGCCTTATTTAACGGTTCTTTTCTGCAGGAAAACAGCGCGAAGGCAAACGCGAATGTCAGCAGCGGCAGTGGCAGCCATTTTGTTTATGCCTGCAACCACGCCACACACACAAGTTGCGAGCAGCACTTAACGGACTCGAGCATGTAAAAGGGGGAGGGGCTGTGGGGTGTGGGTAGTAGGCAGTGAACATGCTTGAACATGGCCCACTTTCTAATTAATGCAAAATATTGTAGCGCGAAATAAAACTGGAAACCATATGTGAAATACATAGTAAGGAGTACGGGGAAGTGGTACGGCGTAGACTGGAGAGTACTCTGGCGGTTGTTTTGTTTGCCTGTCCCGTTGTGAGTTTCGCTCTGCACCCCACAATGCATCAACCATCCTACAAAGGGGCCTGCTCCCCAAAAAAGCACCCAAAAACCTTGACAGTGTCAACGGGGTTCAACATGGCGGAAGCAGGCGACCGCCAGTGTGTGCTGCCCAAAGAAAAAAATACACCAAAAATGCATTCCCTATTTTAGAAATTAACCAATTTTTGATTACTTTAAAGCTGCCAGAGCTACGTTTGAGATTGTGAAAGAGTTTTCCAATTTTCATTCAATTTATAGAAATTTTTCATGTAGGAACAACTTTCTGAAGAGTTACAACTCCTTCACTGAGTGAAAAAGTACCCATTAAAAGAGCGATGGATAAGGATGGTTTGAGTTTCAATTGATCAGATATTCCACAAGAAAGCCACTTGAAGGAGTGATTTAAGCGAATCAATCAAGGAGAGGATACGCCTGTATCGATGACATACTATTTATGCAGTCATTGTTCTCGCATATCGGTGCTGTAATTAAATACTGTCATGTACCAGGACCCTCCCTCTGAACGCTGCACGAACCGACACAAAAATGCACCGAAGCGTCAAAATTTATTAATTTGCTAGCACAGGGGAATTACATTTAACATATTCGATTATTGGAGACAAATATGGAGTCTGTGGCAAAATGCAGACATTTGGTGGAAAGCATATGAAGATCGACCAGTTAAGGGCAGTAAAGGCTTGTATGGGTCCTGCAATGCTGATTGAGGCTTACTGTGTTATTGTTCACTTGATATTAATAGTAGAGAGAATACATGTCTATGTATATTCGGGTAGCACATAATTTAATAACCAACCACTCTGACCAAAGATGACCGAGTATTCTGCCCGCGGTCCATCAGCCTTTGACGGTGTTTTTATGGGCCGCCAGCAGCAACGTTAATTTGTTTATGGCCAACATGCAGGGACAAAAACAATGACCAAAGTAGGCCGTCACTGCCATTTGTTATAATTGAACATCGACCTGCCCAGAACCGCACTGAACCGCCCCGCCCGCCCCCACACATGGGCAAACATAAATTGATTAAGCCGCCAAAGGCGAACAGGCCGGGCAGAGGCAGCAGCAGATGGATACGGCAGTATGGGGCCACGGTGGAGCGACCATTTAAATGTGCATTTTGCAGCCCCGTAATTAACTGGAAATTATGCACATCGCTCTGGCAACAGAATGTTGGATAAAGGATATAGGGGTAAATGGCGGATTGGCTTCTGACAGAGGCGCGACCCGCTGCTGTTCGGTGCGGATGGTCGCTGCTGGTAGTCCGCGTAGGTCAAAAACAAAATTATATTTTAAACTAATTAAAATAGATACATAAATGCGCTGGTGGTAGGAGGGGAGGCGGATGGTGGTAATTCCAGCAGATGCTGGAATAGCCTCAGAGTCATGACTACATTGATGTTAATTATGAGCACTGCTACACAAATGATCGGCCGCTAAACTCCAGCGACCGGAACTCCGCCTCGGCGCACAGAGTCGCTTCGGTCGGGCCACATTCGAGAATCCACCACCAAAAGCAGCCACCATAGTGGACCAGACCAGAGCAGACCAGAACAGAACAGAGCTGGAATTGCTCCACCATTAATGGAAAATTAGCTGCTGCAGAGGCAGAGGCAGCAATACGAGAAATGCGAGAACTTCATCTGCCAACCGGGAATGCCGGGGCTGGGAAGCCCTCAAACATTTGTGTTGTGTTGGACATTAATAGTACGACTACAGTTCGAAAGTCGAACTCAATGAAAAACAAGAGCGAGGGCGGAACGAGAAGTTTCGTGGACTGTGTGGGCTGGCAAAGCAGTTGAAGAAGGAAATATTAACAATCGAGAACAGTCAAGAATATATTCCCAGTTAATGTTTGCCTGTTTTTAGGTGGTGTAAAGAATTCTCGTATATCTTACAGATCAAAAAGTTATTCTGAAGAATTTATCAACAATATTTCTACCACTTGGCAGTCAATATTTAATCTGTAATAGCAGAATCAGCCCTCGCAGCGACGACTCATTCGATGGTATGGTAGGGGGATACATTTTTGGTTTAGGCTCCAGCTCCATATTCAAGTACGAGTGGAGCCGTAACGTAACCATGACACTACTCCCTCCCGGCCCTGCCACATGCATACCCATACCAACCATACGAGAGGAGGGGAGGGTATTGTTGCTGCTGTTTCTGTTTCTGTTGTTGTGTGGTGGTGTCGCTGTTCACTTGTTGTGATCTATGGATGCATGAATGATTTGGTGCGGCAGCTGTAATGACACCAGAAAACCCATTGAAATAATTCTAGCAGAAATTTTTTGGTTAGCACAAAACTTTTTCCATGGCATGGCATGGTGGATGGATTCTTTTTTTTTTGCCGCTCAGTTTCCATTTAAGCGTCGAGCGAACAAATTCCAGCGTCGGTGTGTGAACAAAATATTCCCAAACGAAACATTTAAATATTTTCATAAAACATAAAGCGACATAATTAATAAATGCGCTTAAATGCGCCATGAACTATGCAAAAGTGTTGTGCCACAAGTGAAAGCTAAAAAGTGCTCGCTGCAATCATGCGGAACACATTAAGGATTCATTGCCTCCTGCTGCTGCTCCTCCTCCTTGATGCCGTTGCGGCCCAGCAAACCCACATAAAGCTGGAGCAGGGTGATCTTATTGGCGTGAGTAAAGGCGGAAGCGATCAACTGTGAAGTGGGACATTGACAGATCCATCGTTTTTCAGCTCAAGGTCTTTCCGGATGGGACACGTAGCGCTGTGTATGCCTTTCTGGGAATCCCCTATGCCCAGCCACCTGTGGCCGAACTCCGTTTTGCGGTAAATGCGAAAACTAATTTAATTTTAATGGATTTAATTGTTTGAATTCCCCTTAAAGCCCGCCAAACCGAGCCTCAACTGGAATCGCACTCTCCAGGCAATGGCCATGCGGCCCACTTGCCCGCAACTCTCCAACACCATCTACGATGAGAGCTCGGAGGGAGCAGGCATGCCCAGGGCCGCACCAACGGATGAGGATTGCCTGTACTTGAACATTTGGACACCGGAGACTGGGCTGCGGTATGGAAAACTGCCCATAGTGGTGATCATCACGGGCGAGGAGTTTGCCTACGATTGGCCGAGGAACCGCATCAATGGCCTGGACTTGGCCGGCGAGGGAATCGTCGTGATTGGTGTCCAGTATCGGAACAACATCTACGGCTGGCTGGGACTGGGCGAGGGGCATCGCCAGCTGCCTGGCAACTATGGACTCACCGATGTGAGGATGGCCATCAGGTGGGCTCAGAGGAACGCCGATGCGTTCGGTGGCAATCCGGATCAGATCACCCTGCTGGGCCATGGCAGTGGAGGAGCAGCTCTGGTTCTGGCCAGTGCCCTGGAAGAGTCCAATCTGGTGAAGCAATTGGTGCTCATGTCACCCGGTCCCGTGCTGCGTTCCTTGGGCTCGGGCCACGATCAGCGCATTGTGGAGACGGGCCGGGTGCTGATCCAGAAGCTGGGTTGCCAGTTCGAGGAAGCCCAGCGCCGGCAGCTGCTGGGCTGCTTGAGGCGAACGAGCCAGGAGGATTTGCTGCGAGCCTACGAGAGTGTCTACAACCATGGCAACGGCAGCTATCAGCTCGGTGTGATCCTGTGGAGGGGATTGGAGGAGCGACTTCGTAATCAGACGCTGCCTCCCGTGCTGCTGGGAATCACCTCGAATGAGGGCGCCTTCCTGCAGGACTACTGGCTGGATGTGGCCCGAGAGGGACAACTGGCACTGCAGGAGTACATCAATCACACTGTGATGCCCAATGTGCTGCGCTCTCTGGAGGCGGGGGGCGAGGACAGCGGCTCCCAGCTGGCAGCCATTAAGTGGCGTTACTTCAACGGCGTGCCCGAGAGGGGAGGAAGTGTCATCCAGCTGTTGAATGGGATGCAGCGATTGCTGTCGGAGTCCCTCTACGAGCTGCCATTCTTCCGTCTGCTGGACATGCTTAATGGTTCCACCAGCTACGCGTATGTCTTCGACCAGGCGCATTCGATGGACATGCGGGGCAGAAAGAATCTCTTTGCAGGAGCCTCGCACAGCTCCGACCTGCCGCTGCTCCTGGGGCCGAGTCTGTTCCAGCAGATAGCTCGACGTCGCTTCAGTGGCGAGGAGGAGCAGCTCTGCCGGAAGCTGAGGGGAGCCTTTGCCAACTTCGTTAAGAGCGGAAATCCCACGCCAGGCAGAATCTACGATGCATGGCTGCCGTACACTAGCCAGAGTCCCTTCATCTACAGCCTGGGCGAGCAACAGGCGAAGCCCATCCAGTCCGGAGGCTTGGACGAGGCCGAAATCGACAAGCTTCTGAGAGGCGAAACGGCAGCGGGCATCGATCGCAGCCTGTCACGAACGAATCGCCACGACACGTACAGAGCAGGCGCCTCCAACTCCTACACGGCCAGCAACCAACAGGACTCCGGGTTTGCCAATCATTTGCAGCGCGTCTATGGGTTCTGGCAGGTGCTGCTGCCCCTGGAAAAGGACAATGAATTCCGCGGCGGGGCACTGGGCCAGAGGGTGCGTCTCTTGGAGGCCCACGCCGATGCAGCGCGCTATCGGCAGGGCTTCTATGCGATGTTGGGTCTGGTCTGTCTGCTCCTGGCCTGCCTCTGTCTCTGCGTCTATCTGCTGAAACGCAATCCGGATACTCTGCGACGACGAAACGCATCGTCGGCGTCGGACTGCTATTGCTTATGACACAAGTGGTTTCGTTGGGCGACCATCTTTGGCGGTAGAAAGGATGGACAGACGACATCGGGCATTGCCAGTGTCGAGTCCTGGCGCAAAGGTGGTCGTGCAACGAAACGGGAGCGAGGCGAGGGCGAAGCTGAACGCGAGCGCAGGGAACAGCCGCAGCCTCTCAATCAACGCGGCCGACGTCCCAGACAATTGCAGCCGTACGATTTCAAAACTGCCCCCGCTGCTGGAGGAGCAGGAGCAGCCGGAAGAGCTGGAGCTCCAACTGGAGGTGGGACTGTTGAGGAACTGCTGGATCCTGTCGCCAGCAAATTCGAGCCGAATGTGGCTGTTAAGAACTGGCAATACCAGTTGACTTGTGATAAGTTCTAAAAGCAACCAACAAATCTTAGCCTGTAGTCCATCCATTTATATTTTCAATGTTTATATTTGTGAGTAATTAAATAAACATAAAATTTCAAATTTGAACGGAAATTGTGAACTGATTACAAGCCGCCAATAAGTGCTGTGAAATGCCGTTATATCAGCTGTTTTTCAATACAGCTGTGCTGCAAGCGATATATCGACTGACAATTCTCTCAAATTGAGGTGGTTTTTCAAAATTGGTTTTTTTTATTGGTTCCATTCTAGTTTTTACATTTTTCCTTTTATTTTACATTTTTGTCAGCGAACAATTATAATTTTTCGTTTCATATCAGTCAGCTTTTGTCAGCGAGCACTTTTATTTTTTTCTTTTCATATCAGTCAGCTTTTGTCAGCGAGCAATTAGAATTTTTGGATTGATATCAGTCAGATTTTGCCAGCGAGCATTTCCAATTTTTCATTTCACATCATTCAGCTTTTGTCAGCGAGCAATTATAAATATTCGTTTCATATTAGTCAGCTCTGTCAGCGAGCAATTAGAATTTTTCGTTTCATATCAGTCAGCTTTTGTCAGCGAGCATTAGTTTTCCGTTCATATGCAGCTTATGTCAGCGAGCATTTAAAATTTTCGATTCATATCAGTCAGCTTTTGTCAGCGAGCATTTACATTTGTCCTTTCAAATCTGTCAGCTTTTGTCATTGAGCAATAAAACATTTTTTGGTTTTTTTTTTAATATTTATTAAATTTTTTCTACTTTTCCAAAATTTTTAATTTTTTTTTAATTTTTCTTCAATTTTTACATTATTTTTAAATTTACAAATTTTTTAGACCCCCCTTAAAGTATCGACACTAACCAAACAGTATATAAATTTATTGACAGAGTTGCAAAGTCGAAGGCCGACGGTATTTGCACAATATGTAATTTAAAAAATGCAATTTCAAAGAAGACCTGGGAACCGTCTGTCCGTCTGTCTGTCTGTCCGTCTTGATGAGCGCCTAGATCTAAGAGACTATAAAAGCTAGAGCAACCAAATTTTGTTTCCAGACTCCTGTGATATCACAATGCTAAAAGTGTATTTCAAAATTTCGCAGTTCGGGCGAGCGGTGGAAAGTGGAGGCAGAAAATGCGAGAAATTAGTTCAAAAAACAAGCAAAAACAAAGAGAAACAAGAAAAACGAGAATTATTAAAAAACCAGCGACCTTCTGCTGATTTCTGTTCGCCTGGTATCTCAGATTTGAATTTAGCGGTTTTCTGCCACTTGAGCGGTGGAAAGTGGAGGCAGAAAATGAGAGAAATTAGATCGAAAAAAGAGAGCAACGAAATACAAAGAGAAACAAGAAAAAACGAGAAATTAAAAAACCAGCGACCTTCTGCTGATTTCTGTTCGCCTGGTATCTCAGATTTGAATTTAACGGTTTTCTGCCATTTGAGCGGTGGAAAGTGGAGGCAGAAAATTAGAGAAATTAGATCGAAAAAAGAGAGCAACGAAATACAAAGAGAAACAAGAAAAAAAGAGATATTAAAAAAACCAGCCACCTTTTGCTGATTTCTGTTCGCCTGGTATCGCAGATTTGAATTTAACGGTTTTCTGCCACTTGAGCGGTGGAAATTGGAGGCAGAAAATGAGAGAAATTAGATCGAAAAAAGAGAGCAACGAAATACAAAGAGAAACAAGAAAAAACGAGAAATGATAAAAAAAACAGCGACCTTCTGCTGATTTCTGTTCGCCTGGTATCTCAGATTTGAATTTAGCGGTTTTCTGCCACTTGAGCGGTGGAAAGTGGATGCAGAAAATGAGAGAAATTAGATCGAAAAAAGAGAGCAACGAAATACAAAGAGAAACAAGAAAAAACGAGAAATTAAAAAACCAGCGACCTTCTGCTGATTTCTGTTCGCCTGGTATCGCAGATTTGAATTTAACGGTTTTCTGCCATTTGAGCGGTGGAAAGTGGAGGCAGAAAATTAGAGAAATTAGATCGAAAAAAGAGAGCAACGAAATACAAAGAGAAACAAGAAAAAAAGAGATATTAAAAAAACCAGCCACCTTTTGCTGATTTCTGTTCGCCTGGTATCTCAGATTTGAATTTAACGGTTTTCTGCCATTTGAGCGGTGGAAAGTGGATGCAAAAAATGAGAGAAATTAGATCGAAAAAAGAGTGCAACGAAATACAAAGAGAAACAAGAAAAAACGAGAAATGATAAAAAAAACAGCGACCTTGTTCTGATTTCTGTTCGCCTGGTATCTCAGATTTGAATTTAGCGGTTTTCTGCCACTTGAGCGGTGGAAAGTGGAGGCAGAAAATGAGAGAAATTAGATCGAAAAAAGAGAGCAACGAAATACAAAGAGAAACAAGAAAAAACGAGAAATAATAAAAAAAAACCAGCGACCTTCTGCTGATTTCTGTTCGCCTGGTATCTCAGATTTGAATTTAGCGGTTTTCTGCCACTTGAGCGGTGGAAAGTGGAGGCAGAAAATGAGAGAAATTAGATCGAAAAAAGAGAGCAACGAAATACAAAGAGAAACAAGAAAAAACGAGAAATAATAAAAAAAAACCAGCGACCTTCTGCTGATTTCTGTTCGCCTGGTATCTCAGATTTGAATTTAGCGGTTTTCTGCCACTTGAGCGGTGGAAAGTGGAGGCAGAAAATGAGAGAAATTAGATCGAAAAAAGAGAGCAACGAAATACAAAGAGAAACAAGAAAAAACGAGAAATAATAAAAAAAAAACAGCGACCTTCTGCTGATTTCTGTTCGCCTGGTATCTCAGATTTGAATTTAGCGGTTTTCTGCCACTTGAGCGGTGGAAAGTGGAGGCAGAAAATGAGAGAAATTAGATCGAAAAAAGAGAGCAACGAAATACAAAGAGAAACAAGAAAAAACGAGAAATAATAAAAAAAAAACCAGCGACCTTCTGCTGATTTCTGTTCGCCTGGTATCTCAGATTTGAATTTAACGGTTTTCTGCCACTTGAGCGGTGGAAAGTGGAGGCAGAAAATGAGAGAAATTAGATCGAAAAAAGAGAGCAACGAAATACAAAGAGAAACAAGAAAAAACGAGAAATTAAAAAAACCAGCGACCTTCTGCTGATTTCTGTTCGCCTGGTATCTCAGATTTGAATTTAACGGTTTTCTGCCACTTGAGCGGTGGAAAGTGGAGGCAGAAAATGAGAGAAATTAGATCGAAAAAAGAGAGCAACGAAATACAAAGAGAAACAAGAAAAAACGAGAAATAATAAAAAAAAACCAGCGACCTTCTGCTGATTTCTGTTCGCCTGGTATCTCAGATTTGAATTTAACGGTTTTCTGCCACTTGAGCGGTGGAAAGTGGAGGCAGAAAATGAGAGAAATTAGATCGAAAAAAGAGAGCAACGAAATACAAAGAGAAACAAGAAAAAACGAGAAATTAAAAAAACCAGCCACCTTTTGCTGATTTCTGTTCGCCTGGTATCGCAGATTTGAATTTAACGGTTTTCTGCCACTTGAGCGGTGGAAAGTGGAGGCAGAAAATGAGAGAAATTAGATCGAAAAAAGAGAGCAACGAAATACAAAGAGAAACAAGAAAAAACGAGAAATTTAAAAAAACCAGCGACCTTCTGCTGATTTCTGTTCGCCTGGTATCTCAGATTTGAATTTAGCGGTTTTCTGCCACTTGAGCGGTGGAAAGTGGAGGCAGAAAATGAGAGAAATTAGATCGAAAAAAGAGAGCAACGAAATACAAAGAGAAACAAGAAAAAACGAGAAATTAAAAAAACCAGCGACCTTCTGCTGATTTCTGTTCGCCTGGTATCTCAGATTTGAATTTAACGGTTTTCTGCCACTTGAGCGGTGGAAAGTGGAGGCAGAAAATGAGAGAAATTAGATCGAAAAAAGAGAGCAACGAAATACAAAGAGAAACAAGAAAAAAAGAGAAATTAAAAAAACCAGCCACCTTTTGCTGATTTCTGTTCGCCTGGTATCTCAGATTTGAATTTAACGGTTTTCTGCCATTTCAGCGGTGGAAAGTGGAGGCAGAAAATGAGAGAAATTAGATCGAAAAAAGAGAGCAACGAAATACAAAGAGAAACAAGAAAAAACGAGAAATTAAAAAAACCAGCGACCTTCTGCTGATTTCTGTTCGCCTGGTATCTCAGATTTGAATTTAGCGGTTTTCTGCCACTTGAGCGGTGGAAAGTGGAGGCAGAAAATGAGAGAAATTAGATCGAAAAAAGAGAGCAACGAAATACAAAGAGAAACAAGAAAAAACGAGAAATAATAAAAAAAAACCAGCGACCTTCTGCTGATTTCTGTTCGCCTGGTATCTCAGATTTGAATTTAGCGGTTTTCTGCCACTTAGCGGTGGAAAGTGGAGGCAGAAAATGAGAGAAATTAGATCGAAAAAAGAGAGCAACGAAATACAAAGAGAAACAAAAAAAAACGAGAAATTAAAAAAACCAGCGACCTTCTGCTGATTTCTGCTCGCCTGGTAGCTTAGATTTGAATTTAACGGTTTTCTGCCACTTGAGCGGTGGAAAGTGGAGGCAGAAAATGAGAGAAATTAGATCGAAAAAAGAGAGCAACGAAATACAAAGAGAAACAAGAAAAAACGAGAAATTAAAAAAACCAGCGACCTTCTGCTGATTTCTGTTCGCCTGGTATCTCAGATTTGAATTTAACGGTTTTCTGCCACTTGAGCGGTGGAAAGTGGAGGCAGAAAATGAGAGAAATTAGATCGAAAAAAGAGAGCAACAAAATACAAAGAGAAACAAAAAAAAACGAGAAATTAAAAAAAACCAGCGACCTTCTGCTGATTTCTGTTCGCCTGGTATCTCAGATTTGAATTTAGCGGTTTTCTGCCACTTGAGCGGTGGAAAGTGGAGGCAGAAAATGAGAGAAATTAGATCGAAAAAAGAGAGCAACGAAATACAAAGAGAAACAAGAAAAAACGAGAAATTAAAAAAACCAGCGACCTTCTGCTGATTTCTGTTCGCCTGGTATCTCAGATTTGAATTTAACGGTTTTCTGCCATTTGAGCGGTGGAAAGTGGAGGCAGAAAATGAGAGAAATTAGATCGAAAAAAGAGAGCAACGAAATACAAAGAGAAACAAGAAAAAACGAGAAATAATAAAAAAAAACCAGCGACCTTCTGCTGATTTCTGTTCGCCTGGTATCTCAGATTTGAATTTAGCGGTTTTCTGCCACTTGAGCGGTGGAAAGTGGAGGCAGAAAATGAGAGAAATTAGATCGAAAAAAGAGAGCAACGAAATACAAAGAGAAACAAGAAAATACGAGAAATTAAAAAACCAGCGACCTTCTGCTGATTTCTGTTCGCCTGGTATCTCAGATTTGAATTTAACGGTTTTCTGCCATTTCAGCGGTGGAAAGTGGAGGCAGAAAATGAGAGAAATTAGATCGAAAAAAGAGAGCAACGAAATACAAAGAGAAACAAGAAAAAACGAGAAATTAAAAAAAAAACCAGCGACCTTCTGCTGATTTCTGTTCGCCTGGTATCTCAGATTTGAATTTAACGGTTTTCTGCCATTTGAGCGGTGGAAAGTGGAGGCAGAAAATGAGAGAAATTAGATCGAAAAAAGAGAGCAACGAAATACAAAGAGAAACAAGAAAAAACGAGAAATTAAAAAAAACAGCGACCTTCTGCTGATTTCTGTTCGCCTGGTATCTCAGATTTGAATTTAACGGTTTTCTGCCACTTGAGCGGTGGAAAGTGGAGGCAGAAAATGAGAGAAATTAGATCGAAAAAAGAGAGCAACGAAATACAAAGAGAAACAAGAAAAAACGAGAAATTAAAAAAACCAGCGACCTTCTGCTGATTTCTGTTCGCCTGGTATCTCAGATTTGAATTTAGCGGTTTTCTGCCACTTGAGCGGTGGAAAGTGGAGGCAGAAAATGAGAGAAATTAGATCGAAAAAAGAGAGCAACGAAATACAAAGAGAAACAAGAAAAAACGAGAAATTAAAAAAAAACCAGCGACCTTCTGCTGATTTCTGTTCGCCTGGTATCTCAGATTTGAATTTAGCGGTTTTCTGCCACTTGAGCGGTGGAAAGTGGAGGCAGAAAATGAGAGAAATTAGATCGAAAAAAGAGAGCAACGAAATACAAAGAGAAACAAGAAAAAACGAGAAATTAAAAAAACCAGCGACCTTCTGCTGATTTCTGTTCGCCTGGTATCTCAGATTTGAATTTAACGGTTTTCTGCCATTTGAGCGGTGGAAAGTGGAGGCAGAAAATGAGAGAAATTAGATCGAAAAAAGAGAGCAACGAAATACAAAGAGAAACAAGAAAAAACGAGAAATTAAAAAAACCAGCGACCTTCTGCTGATTTCTGTTCGCCTGGTATCTCAGATTTGAATTTAGCGGTTTTCTGCCACTTGAGCGGTGGAAAGTGGAGGCAGAAAATGAGAGAAATTAGATCGAAAAAAGAGAGCAACGAAATACAAAGAAAAACAAGAAAAAAACGAGAAATAATAAAAAAACCAGCGACCTTCTGCTGATTTCTGTTCGCCTGGTATCTCAGATTTGAATTTAGCGGTTTTCTGCCACTTTGAGCGGTGGAAAGTGGAGGCAGAAAATGAGAGAAATTAGATCGAAAAAAGAGAGCAACGAAATACAAAGAGAAACAAGAAAAAACGAGAAATTAAAAAAACCAGCGACCTTCTGCTGATTTCTGTTCGCCTGGTATCTCAGATTTGAATTTAACGGTTTTCTGCCACTTTAGCGGTGGAAAGTGGAGGCAGAAAATGAGAGAAATTAGATCGAAAAAAGAGAGCAACGAAATACAAAGAGAAACAAGAAAAAACGAGAAATTAAAAAAACCAGCGACCTTCTGCTGATTTCTGTTCGCCTGGTATCTCAGATTTGAATTTAACGGTTTTCTGCCATTTGAGCGGTGGAAAGTGGAGGCAGAAAATGAGAGAAATTAGATCGAAAAAAGAGAGCAACGAAATACAAAGAGAAACAAGAAAAAACGAGAAATTAAAAAAACCAGCGACCTTCTGCTGATTTCTGTTCGCCTGGTATCTCAGATTTGAATTTAACGGTTTTCTGCCACTTGAGCGGTGGAAAGTGGAGGCAGAAAATGAGAGAAATTAGATCGAAAAAAGAGAGCAACGAAATACAAAGAGAAACAAGAAAAAACGAGAAATTAAAAAAACCAGCGACCTTCTGCTGATTTCTGTTCGCCTGGTATCTCAGATTTGAATTTAACGGTTTTCTGCCATTTGAGCGGTGGAAAGTGGAGGCAGAAAATGAGAGAAATTAGATCGAAAAAAGAGAAAGAGAAACAAAAAAAAAACAGAAAAAAAAGAAAAAATAGAAAAAAAAAAAAACCAGCGACCTTCTGCTGATTTCTGTTCGCCTGGTATCTCAGATTTGAATTTATCTGTTTTCTGCCACTTGAGCGGTGGAAATTGGAGGCAGAAAATGAGAGAAATTAGATCGAAAAAAGAAAGCAAAGAAATACAAAGAGAAACAAGAAAAAACGAGAAATTAAAAAAACTAGCGACCTTCTGCTGATTTCTGTTCGCCTGGTATCTCAGATTTGAATTTAACGGTTTTCTGCCATTTCAGCGGTGGAAAGTGGAGGCAGAAAATGCGAGAAATTAGATCGAAAAAAGAGAGCAACGAAATACAAAGAGATATTAAAAAAACCAGCCACCTTTTGCCGATTTCTGTTCGCCTGGTATCGCAGATTTGAATTTAACGGTTTTCTGCCATTTGAGCGGTGGAAAGTGGATGCAGAAAATGAGAGAAATTAGATCGAAAAAAGAGAGCAACGAATTACAAAGAGAAACATGAAAAAACGAGAAATTAAAAAAACCAGCGACCTTCTGCTGATTTCTGTTCGCCTGGTATCTCAGATTTGAATTTAACGGTTGTCTGCCATTTGAGCGGTGGAAAGTTGTGTCAGAAAATGAGAGAATTTAGATCGAAACGAGAAGGAACGTGTGAGTCGCTTCTGGGAACGCGACTCTACTTATGCCCGTACTCAGTCAGTATATACATTTTTGAGCTTATGATTTTTAATAATTTTAGAATTCTTATAAAAAATTGTACATATTAAATTTTTTTGCTACATCTGTTATCTACATCTTCAATGTATATTCTACATCTAACATATAGATTCTACATGTACCATTTAGATTTTAGAGCGCCCCCATTAGAGGGCGCTCGCGTACATAACGAAGCAGAGTGGTCGAGCGAGAAAGAGAATGAGTACCGTGTCTCTTGCCGAATGAGGCGGGGGAAGTAACTGAAAATTAATTTCTACATTCTGGCAATAATTATGATCCGATCTAATTCAGATTCGGCAATCTGGTAGATATGGTCATTCTCTACGATACTTTTTTTTTTACTTTTTTGGTATCCTTAAAGTTGTGGCTGCCACAGATTTTCGTCCTTTGTGGTGTCGGAAGGGGGCGGGGCGAAATTTTGAAATACACTTGTAGCAGTGTGATATCCCATGAGTCTGGGAAATTTGGTTGCTCTAGCTTTTATAGTCTCTTAGATATAGGCGCTCATCAAGACGGACAGACAGACATGGCTATATCGACTCGGCTATTGATGCTGATCATGAATATATGTACTTTATGGGGTCGGAAACGTTTCCTTATCTGCAAAGACAACTTTTTTTGAGTAAGGGAATAAAAACCAATTTCGGTTCAAGCGGCAAAAAATTGTAGAGCCCACCCAAGCACAGTATGTGAGAATACATGGCACACACACATTTACGTAAACTGAAATCTCAAGCAAAGTCGCTTTCGGTTATGGTAAGGTATGGTTAGTGACTAGGCTTATGGTATGGTATTTTAATAGTATTTCTCGAAACTGAAATGGTATTTAATGGTATTTATTTTGGTCCGGATGGTATTTTTTATCGTTATCGTCACGGTCACGCTATACACGTGCGCGCTGTTGCGCGTATTTCTTTTTATATCAATTTTGAATAAAAAGCGTCAAGAAATTCCATTAAAATGGGTTCCAAAAGGCCGCTGGACGTCCACATGTTCCCCTCGGACCTGGAGTTTGCTGTTTTCACCGACCAAGAGATACAAAAGCTGAGCGTCGTAAAGGTGATAACTGGCATCGCTTTCGATGCCCTGGGACACCCAATGCCAGGCGGTCTGTATGACATACGCATGGGTTCGTATGGACGCTGCATAGACCCATGTGGAACGTGCCTAAAGATGCAAGATTGTCCCGGCCACATGGGCCACATAGAGTTGGGCTCTCTCGTCTACAACCCCTTCTTCATAAAGTTGGTTCAGCGTCTGCTCTGCATATTCTGTTTGCACTGTTTCAAGTTGCAGATGAAAGGTGAGAGACAGTATCCAGATTCAGTATCGTAACCATAACCGTTGTATTCGTTGTAGACCAAGAATGTGAGGTTATTATGCTTCAACTGCGACTCATCGATGCCGGATACATTATTGAGGCGCAGGAGCTGGAGATTTTCAAATCGGAGGTTGTCTGCCAGAAGGCCGAGGAGCTGGTCAAGCTGGATAATGGCGACGCCGTACATCCCCACATCGCTGCCATGTATGAGCTGCTGTTGAAAAGTCCAAAGGACGCTGGCCAGTCTACAAAGACCACCTGCTCCCTGCGCACGGCCGTCACACATTCTGCCCTGCAGCGGCCCGGCAAGAAGTGCAGACACTGCAAAAAGTCAATGCGCTATGTTCGGTACATGCATCGGCGATTGGTCTTCTACGTGACCATAGCTGACATCAAGGAGCGGTAGGTGCACAGAAATCTTAGAGTTACTAAGTCGCTAATCAATCAAATTCCCTTCCCGCAGCCTCGGTGATGGGGCTGATACCAGCGGCCAAAACAAGGTCATCTTCGCAGATGAGTGCCGTCGCTACCTGAGGCAGATCTACGCCAACTATCCGGAACTGCTCAGGCTTTTGATGCCCGTTCTGACTTTAAGCAACACGGATGCAGCAAATTCCGGCTATTCCCCGGTGGATATGTTCTTCATGGACACCATACCAGTGACGGCACCTCGCGCACGTCCCATGAGCATGGTCAACGGCATGGTAAAGGGGAACCCCCAGACGGACATCTACGTCAACATTATCGAGAACAACAACGTCTTGAATGTGGTGCTGAGGTATATGAGGGGCAAGCAGGAGAAGCTCACGGAGCAGGCGCTGGCCGCCTACCAGGATATGAAGGGATCGAATGCCCATGAGAAGCTGTACAATGCTTGGCTCTCCCTGCAGACTTCAGTCGATGTCCTGCTCGATGTGAATATGTCGAGGGAGGTGAAGTCTGCCGAGGGTCTGAAGCAGGTCCTGGAGAAGAAGGAAGGTCTCATCAGAAAGCATATGATGGGAAAGAGAGTCAACTATGCGGCACGCACGGTCATCACCCCCGATCCCAATATAGACGTAGACGAGATCGGCATACCCGACATCTTTGCCCGAAAGCTCTCCTATCCCATTCCCGTAACCGAGTGGAATGTATCCGATCTACGCAAAATGGTGATGAACGGACCGGACGTCCATCCCGGTGCAAACTACATACAGGATAGCAATGGGTTCACCACCTACATACCCGCGGACAATGCAGCCAAGCGCGCCAGCATGGCCAAGTTGCTGCTGTCCAATCCCAAGGATGGCGTTAAGATCGTCCATCGTCATGTGCTCAACGGAGATTGTCTGCTCCTCAATCGTCAGCCTTCGCTGCACAAGCCCTCTATCATGGCCCACAAGGCACGCATTTTGTGCGGCGAGAAGACCTTCCGCCTCCACTACTCGAACTGCAAAGCCTACAACGCCGATTTCGATGGCGACGAGATGAATGCCCACTATCCGCAAAGCGAGGTGGCCCGCGCGGAGGCCTACAACCTGGTGAATGTGGCCAGCAATTACCTGGTGCCAAAGGATGGCACCCCTCTGGGTGGCCTCATTCAGGATCACGTCATCTCGGGCGTGAAGCTGTCCATCCGCGGGCGATTCTTTAACCGCGAGGACTACCAGCAGCTGGTCTTCCAGGGGCTGTCGAACTTAAAGGGAGATGTCAAGCTGCTGCCCCCGGCCCTGATAAAACCGACCATGCTATGGTCTGGCAAGCAGGTCCTGTCCACAATTATTATAAACCTCATCCCCGACGGCTATGAGCTGATTAATTTGGATTCGTTTGCCAAGATAAGCGGCAAGGTAAGTGAATCAGTTTGAATGCACTGCTCAACGCTAAAATGATCTCCCAAAGAACTGGAACGTAGAACGCCCACGGCCGGCATGGCATGGAAGCAATCCACAGGAAAATGAGCTGAGCGAGAGTCAGGTGCAAATACGGAGAGGCGAGTTGCTGGTAGGTGTCCTGGACAAGCAGCAGTATGGCGCGACCACCTTCGGCCTCATCCACTGCATGTACGAGTTGTATGGCGGCGATGTGTCCACCCGCCTGCTCACAGCCTTCACCAAGGTCTTCACGTTCTTCCTGCAACTGGAGGGCTTCACTCTGGGTGTCAAGGACATTCTGGTCACTGGCACGGCAGATCAAAAGAGACGAGAGATCATACAGGAGTGTCGCAATGTGGGTAACAGTGCCGTTGCCGCAGCCCTAGAGCTGGACGATGTGCCGCCCCACGATGAGCTGGCCGAGCAAATGGAGGAGGCCTACGTGAAGGATCCGAAATTCCGAGTGCTGCTCGATCGCAAATACAAATCGCTCCTAGACGGCTTCACCAATGATATCAACAAGTATGCATGAAACATTCCTTTTCCACGGAAGCTCCTTCCATTGATAATTTGAATGTCGTTGCAGAACTTGCTTGCCTGGTGGTCTCATCACGAAGTTCCCCTCCAACAATCTGCAGCTTATGGTGCTGTCGGGTGCCAAGGGATCCATGGTCAACACCATGCAAATCTCCTGCCTTCTCGGGCAGATTGAGCTGGAAGGCAAAAGGCCGCCGTTGATGATATCGGGCAAATCCCTGCCCAGCTTCACTTCCTTTGAGACGTCACCCAAGTCGGGTGGCTTCATCGATGGGCGATTTATGACGGGCATACAGCCCCAGGACTTCTTCTTCCATTGCATGGCAGGTCGTGAGGTAAGATTTGGGTCTTTCCATGCCCCAGACTGTGGTTGTTAAATTTCTCTCCGATTTCAGGGTCTCATTGATACTGCTGTGAAAACATCTCGTTCCGGTTACCTGCAGCGCTGCCTCATCAAGCATCTGGAGGGCCTGAGCGTCCACTACGATCTAACTGTCCGCGACAGCGACAACAGTGTGGTGCAGTTCCTCTACGGCGAGGACGGTCTGGATATTCTCAAATCAAAGTTCTTCAACGAGAAGTTCTGTGCGGATTTCCTCACCCAAAATGCCTCGGCAATCTTGCGGCCCAGCCAGCTGCTGTTGATGAAGGATGAGGAGGGTCTGGCCAAAGTGCAGCGCCATGAGAAGCACATACGCAGCTGGGAGAAGAAGAAACCGGCCAAGTTGCGGGCTGCCTTCACTCATTTCTCTGCGGACCTGCGCGAGGAGGTGGAGGTCAAGCGACCCACAGAGGTCAGTGGGAAAACGGGTCGACGCCGCATGGACGAAGGTCTGCTCAAGTTGTGGAGGAAGGCCGATGACGAGGACAAGGCCTTGTATCAGAAGAAGTACGCTCGCTGTCCCGACCCATCAGTGGCCGTCTACAAGCAGGATCTCTACTACGGCAGCGTGTCGGAGAAGACGCGCAAACTGATCGACGACTATGCGCGCAAGCATCCAAGCCAGAAGGAGACGATAGCCGACATAATGCGTATGAAGAGCATTAGAGCACTGGCCGCCCCGGGAGAACCCGTGGGCCTAATTGCCGCCCAATCCATTGGTGAGCCGTCCACTCAGATGACGCTGAACACTTTCCATTTTGCCGGTCGTGGTGAGATGAACGTAACTCTGGGTATTCCCCGTCTGCGAGAGATTCTCATGTTGGCCTCCTCGAACATAAAGACGCCCTCCATGGACATACCCATCAAGCCCGGACAGCAAGTTCAAGCCGAAAAGTTGCGCATAGCCCTGAATTGTGTGACTCTGTCCAATATCTTGGAGTGTAAGACATCGAATTACCTGTCAAGTGTCATGCAGAACTATGTAATTAATCTGAAAATCTCCCATATGCAGCCGTCCACATCAGCACCAGTCTGAGCTTGCAGCCGGAACGAGCCTACGAGTATGAGCTGCGCTTCCAGTTCCTGCCCAGGGAGGTCTACAAAGAGGACTACGGTGTGCGGCCAAAGCGGATTATTAAGTACATGCATCAGACCTACTTCAAGCAGCTTATTCGGGCCATCCTCAAGGTATCCAATGCCAAAAAAACATCAAAAATGTAAGTAAAAGCGTAGCCGTGGCAGCGTAGCCCTTTGACTTTAATGAGATTCATTTTCTAGAATCGAAATCGATGACAAGAAGGAGGGCGACAACAATAAGGACGAGGATAACGATCTGGATAACGCAGATTATATGGGTCCAGGCAAAACTGCTGCCGACAACGATGACGATTCATCGGATGATGGCGTAAGCCTAAAGAACTTTTATATCAGCCATTTCAGTGCCCTACAAATGTCATACTCTCCTTTAGGGCGATGACGACACCACAGGACTGAAGTTGAAGCAACGCAAAAGCGATGACAGGGACTACGATGATCCAGATGATGTTGAAGAGCTGCGCGACGCTAACGGTATGTATTTCAGATGCAGATATATTTCTCGTTCAGTTGCTTACTCTGCCACTTCGCCCCCCACAAACAGAAGACGACGAGGAGCAAGAGGACCAAGATGACGAGGGCAACGTAGGAGAAAGCAACGAGAACGCCGATGCGGATGACAAGTTGGTGGAGAAGCTGCTTAGTAACGAAATGGTAAAGGACTACACATATGACAAGGAGAATCATCTGTGGTGCAAGGTTAAACTGCACCTTAGTGTTCGCTACCAGAAGCCCGATCTGACCTCTATTATACGAGAGCTGGCAGCCAAGAGTGTCGTCCACCAGGTGTCGCACATTAAGCGAGCCATCATCTACAAGGGAAACGACGATGAGCAACTGCTGAAGACGGATGGCATCAATATTGGTGAAATGTTCAGTCACGACAAGGTCTTGGACCTGAATCGGTTGTACTCCAATGACATTCATGCCATATCTCGCACTTACGGCATTGAGGCAGCGTCCCAAGTCATTGTCAAGGAGGTGAGCAACGTGTTCAAGGTGTACGGCATCACAGTGGATCGCCGGCATCTGTCGCTGATATCTGCTTACATGACCTTTGATGGCAGCTTCCAACCTCTGTCGCGCAAGGGCATGGAGCACTCCTCATCGCCTCTCCAGCAAATGTCCTTCGAGTCGAGTTTGCAATTCTTAAAGAGCGCCGCCGGCTTCGGCAGGTCGGATGACCTCAATTCCCCATCGAGTCGCTTGATGGTCGGTCTCCCTGTGCGCAATGGTACGGGAGCCTTTGACTTGTTAACGAGAATATGTTAATATAGTTTATTCTTTATATTAGACATTTTTCAAATAATAAACATGTTAATAAAAATTAATGAACAAAATTCAAATATTTGCGATAAAACAAAAATCGATAGAAGCCCACACAAATGCAATCGAAGGGAGGGCCCATCTCTAACAAACAGCTGTTTTCATTTGTTGACAAAAAATTGTTTTTAACGAAACTTGCGGAAAAATGCTGACTTCTATGGTTAAAGAGCATCATAAGGAGCAGGTGAAACGAAAACAGGAGCAAGGTTTGTGGTCATTTTATTGTCAAGCTGCATAATTGATTATAATATGTTACACGCAGAGGTGCGCAGAAAGGAGGCAATCGAAGCGTCCAACGAACTCACACAGTCCTTGGTGGACCATCTGAATGTGGGTGTGGCGCAGGCATACTTGAATCAAAAGCGCTTGGATGCTGAGGCTAAGCAGCTGCATGTGGGGGCGACAAACTTTGCCAAGCAGACTCATCAATGGCTGCAGTTGATAGACAACTTCAGCGGTGCCTTAAAAGAGCTGGGCGATGTAGAGAACTGGGCGCGCAGCATCGAGGGTGATATGCTAGTAATACAACAGACTCTGGAGGTGGCATACAAGGCCTCGCGCGCAACCCAAGCAACAGGAGCTCCTGCCGGAGTTGGGTCGGAGGCCTCCACGTCAGCGGCCGCCGCCGCAGCAGCCGTTAATCCTAATCCATAAGCAACATGAAGACTTGTTTTAAATCCTTATTCATTTATTTGTTTGCATAATATACAGTCACTCGGAAACTTTCAAGAACTGTGTAGACTATTTACAATCACAAGGTAAAGATTAGCGAGTTAGTTAAGCGCATCCGGTGCCCTCAGCATCGACCAGCGAGTACTTATGGGCCGAACGCTATGGATAACATTACTGGTTGGTTAATGCAACCATCAGATCTTCTATAATGGATAATTATTTACAATAATGCGATCGTATAAACCCTCACAATCGACCAGCGAGTGCTTATAGGGACGAACGCAATGAATAAAATGGTTAAAATTAAGAGAAAAAGTATCATATCCTATCACCAAGAGGCAATTCCTTAATATAAGCGAATATTTTGTACTTGCACATTTGAGATGATTACGATAAAAGTTAATTCTAATATGGATGGTTGTTAGTGTGTTAATTTTATTATTATTATTATCAGGTTGTTGCTGTTGCCTAAAATATCATATCACATTGAGTGTGTGGCACCTATAGCTGCGGTTGTGCATGGCCCGCATTTTGTGGCAGATTTCTATATGTAATGGTGTTAATTCTCGATCTTTACAAGCTAAGTTTTTCAACAGCAACAACGAAGTCAACGAATTAAAAGTTTTGATGATGTATGAATTATAAATTTGTCAGTTGCTCGCCAGGCCAGTGCTTTGATAAAAGTCAGTCAAATGTGCTCGTCTCTTCTGCATAGGCCCAACAAATAAACGCAATCCAGATGGGCCCTGACGACGAGCATGGTTTTGGCATATTGGCGTGTATTGTAAGGGATCTAATCATAACGAGATAAGGTGCGGTCTGGAATGAAAAGAAAATGTTGATTTATCCATCTATGTGGACTGCCTTGAGCTGCTTTTGCACTTACACTTGCGCACCGGCGAGCGAGAACGGGAAACGCTGCGACTGCGCCCATAACGATTGCCACCAGAGATCTTGGGATAATTGCGGTATTCACGTTCGTTGCGGTTGTCGCGGTTATCGCGTTGGTTGCGGTAGTCACGCTCGTAGCGGTAGTTACCGCCACCGCGATAGGAATCCTTGGTTGCTGCAGACCCGTGGTCGCGATAACGGGAGCCACGCGGTGAACCTGAGCGACCATTGTGGTTGCTGTAAGAAATGCAGTGTTTAATGTGGATACTCTAGACTAGTGTGAATAGTACGAACCGAGACGAACGTCCCATGTAGACTCCAGGAGTAGGAGTGTGGGCACGTTGGGTTATTGAAAAGTCAACGCGTATGCGACGATTGTCAATCTCCATGCCGCAGCAGGAATCCTTAGCCACACGGGCGTCGGCGACATTTTCAAAGTAAATAAAGCAGAAGCCACGCGAGCGGTTGGTCTGTTGAAGCGAGGGATTAGAAAATTAAGAAAATGCATGGCGAAACATGGAAAAATGGTAAGGAAATGTGTGAAGATGTGGAAACAAGCCTTTAGTGTTTTGCTATATGTTTTTTAGCAAGCACTCACAATTGTTACCTACTTTAATATAGCCAGACATCCAACCGGACAGGACAGCAAACACTTGAAGCTGTATTGCCATGTGTGGTGGAGTCTGGCAACTAATGGAGCAACTCTGTAATTTGAACCGAACTTACCTGGGCATCGATAATCATCTGAATGCGCTCAATGGGGCCGTATTTGCTGAAAAGCTCGCGCACCTTCTGCTGCGAAGTATTGGTGCTCAAGCCGAAGACGCCAATGCAGCGGTTCGTCTTGGTACGTTCCGAGCTTCCTTCAATCTATGAATTAGGCACGTTAAAAAGATCGAGAATAATGTATAGGCATCAATTACGAATACCTGACGTTCCTGTGAGTGGCGCTTAGAGTGGTGGCGTGCTCCTGCAGGCGATTTGGAACGGGACTGCGAGCGAGAACGAGAACGGCGACGTGAACCCGAGCTGCGGTTGTTTCCATAGCATTCCAAATTAGACCTTGATTTTGTGTTGGAATGGAATTCGATTAGAAAATCTTGAGTTGGTTCTGGGTGTCCTTCTTTCTTTCGTGTTGGGAAATTGAAACTGATTTTGACACTTGAAAAATTGTTGCGAATTGAGCTGTGTGGCTCTGAGTTCTGAATTCTGCTCGGTTTTTCAATAAATTTGTTTTTTTTTTGTTTTGTAGCTCTCAATTCTGTTTCGATGGCAAGAATGGCTGCTCTTTCTGGTGTGTTTGCAATTGAAACTGATTTGCACACTTGAAAAATGGTTGCGAATTGTGTTGTGTGTGACTCTGAATTCTGCTTCGACGGCAGAAAAATTTGCTTAGCTTTTCAATAAATTCAAATCAACTATGCGGCTGTTGGAAAATCAAACTTAATTAATGCACACTGTTTCCCTTACATGTCGTTTGGTTATTTTCTTTTAATTTGTTTTTCTTGCACAATTTTTTCGAGCAGCTAGAAGCACTTTTTTCACTTCTCACTTCGTTGAAACGAAAAAATAAAATGAAGGATTCCAAAATGACAATTCAGAATTGGAGTCTGTCGGAAGGAACGGCACGGCCTACTCGATGCCGATACCCGGGTGTACTCGATATCTATATATGTCATATTTACCTGAGGGATGGGCTATTTTCGTGTCTGGACGAGGCAGACGATGCGGAGCCAGACGATGACGACGACCCGGAACGCTTGTGCTTGTAGTTTCTGCAACTGCACTGTTAGAGACTCCGGGAAACCTTTTTCCTTTTTATTGCTTACCTGTCATAGTTGCGACGCGAATTGCTTCTATCTTTGGGAGAACGCGAGCACTGGAGATACGAGGTGTAATTTTACATTATTCTGAAAGATCCAGTCTGCAATGCTTGTAACTCACCATCTTTCTACGGTTTATTACAAATCTGATTATTTAAGTAAAAAATTTCACAGTGATGCACGCTTGTGTTTGGCCGAGCTGCCAACCTACGCCGGTCATCAGATTTCGATAGTAAATATCGTAAAGTATATCATCGATACATCGATATTGGCAATTCGTGAAAAATATGTCTGCTGCCAATAGTTGTATTCAGCTTTTTCTCCGTTCTATATGGCCGGTAAAATTTAAAAAAAGAGACGATTTATTAGAATAATATTTATTTATATATAATATATAATCATACCATTACTTATTTAAGGTTGAGCCTCGAGTGCCACTGATTTTTCACCATTACATAGTTATTAAATCAACCTGAGACTGTTGATATTTTTAAATTTCACAATGTGAAAGCTTTGCAGCTTGGTTACTGTACTAAACGCAATCCTTGGTATTGAGAAGAAATCAGCTATGTATAAACATGCATATGTAAATATGTATTGTGAAAATATCCTTACAAATAATCGGGGGATGTACTACATTTATCCAAAAAAAGAGGAATTTGTACGTTGCCTTAAAACTTTATTTCTATTGACTCTTAACTCATATGCCGACTCTCTGCAAAGTTTGTATTTATTAAACTTATTATGATTTTATTAAATACTCAGCTCTATGTTGCTATATTTGTTATACGAAGTATTATACGTCATTACAAAACCATAATACCTTTGCCGTTCGGCATAATACAAGTCTGTGATAGTGTTTATCACTTTCTCGTCATTGTAGAAGTTGTCTGGCGGCGCTTCCAATATATTCCCCTTGACATACCACTTCAGGGCCGCAAAGTGATTCTTTACTATAGATCTCATACCAGCGCCACTGAAGATGGGCTTTCGGAAGAGGTCGTACATATTTTTCTGGCCATATTTGCGATGGATGCGGTCCACAGTGCTGTCAATCCGATCGCCGGTGCAGTAATACATGTACCAGATCTTGCGTCGGGGAGAGCGTACATCAGTAAGGCTCATTACACCGAAGTATTCCACTGCGGCTGGATCACATTCATGTTCAGTCAGGGCATCCTTTCTCCAGAAAATGGTTCGCATGTACTGCTCTAGTCTCCTGTCCAGTTCTGGATATGAGCCTAAAAGAGAAGTAATCACGTCTTCATTTGAAATAATTAATTAAATATTGAGCATGAAACTTACCATTGGGAGTGTTTATTTCTTGTTCCGTGGCGGTGCTCATGTCGAGGTCTCTTTTTAATTATGTTCTGAATATTGTATTTCCCCTGAGCGGCCTTTATATGTAGCTTGATTTCGTACATGAATAAATAGCCAAATATATTTCGCCACGAAAGCTTGAAGCAAGAGAGCTTTAACTGAAAGCTTGCCTAAAGTGTCAGTGCTTATCGTGGGACCGGGGGGAACCTGCCTCCACATGTGGATTTTTGTTGCCTGTGACTCACGCCAGTGGAACTGCGGAGAGCACGAACACCCATACAGATATCACATCGTTTGCGTACGCCTTGAGCTTCACCGCCACGCAGAACTCCACCAGCGGATTGTTGTTTTAGTGGATGCAGGTGGATCGAATGCGATCCGATACGGCCGCCAGGTTGGTGTACGGAAAGTTGAGGGTAAAGCCGTACAGCTGTGGACACAAATCACATTTAATCAGTGATAATGATTGATAGGCGGTGGGGGCATGGATGATATCTATCTTATATCAATGTGCGTACCTTGGAGTTGGGATTCTCGCGTTCCAGCTGCTCGCTGTAGGCGATCTCTTCGTAGCGGCCCCTGGAGAAGGTGGCCAGGGCCTCCATGTAGCCTAGTATCTTCAGTAGCTGCGGTTGAAAAGCCCTGCAAGAAGAATCACTTGAATGAGGTCTCTCTCTCTATGAGTGCTATACCCAGTTGGTTCCAGTTGGTCTTGCGTGTGGTGCGCCAGCCACTGATCTTCTTCATGATCTTGCGCTCAATGTTCTTCTGCAGCTGGCTCAGCTCGTAGCTGCGCTTGTAGGCAGTCCAGCACCTGGACACCACCCTGGGGAGGACTGCGACGTTGAGAGCGGAAACCAGCAGGCGGATCCTCAGATTAAAGTGGGACATGCTGACGCGCGTCTCTGTCTGAATGTTGAAGTACATCTGCAGGAAGGCAATCGTAGATTAGAGGCATGTGATTGAGTAGCTGCGCCGACTTACGTTCTGATTTCCCACGAGGCAGTAGACGCGCCTCAGCGGGCAGTGGACATCCTGCAGCTGGTAGTGCCTGCCGCTGGCAGGAGCCACGAACAGGAGTTCGGCCGTATCCGGCTGGCGATGAGCACAAAGGAGCACTCGCCATGGGGACAGGCCTGGCCCGCACGACCACACGAGGCCCACCCAGCATATAGTTCAGAGCAGCACGCCCTGATCCTTGACAGAGCACCAAGTGCTGTCCAGCAGCGCTGGTTGCAGCCAAACGCCCGGAAGCCCAGGGGACGTAGCTGGCAGATGGCACCGGGCCACAAGGAGGCACCCCAGGACACCGTGGTGCCACCGCCGGCAGCGGCACCGCCCAGCACCGCGCACGCACACCCGCTGCCAGGCCGTGCAGACCAGAGGCTCCACAAAGCGCTGCGGCTGGGGCAGCAGCTGTTGCAGCTCCATGCGGCGCTCGTTCAGGTACGCCTGCAGCTCCACCGTCTCGGCACAGGCCAGCGCATTCGTGGGCAGGGGCGGCAGGTCACAGCGGTTCGGCTCGATGGTGAGGTAGAACCAGAGATGCACAGACTCCTTGAACTCGGGATACTGATCGGCGGGCATGTTCGTCACGGAGTCGATCAGGGGTCGCCTGTAGCCGATCAGCACCTTCGGCACGACCAGCTCAATGCATCCCTCAAACTGCAGATGAAAGTGGACTAGTTTTTGGATGGGAATATGGATATGGGTACCGCTTGTCACTCACCTTGCCGCTGGCCAGGAGACTGCTGATCGGCACCCGGTACTCGCCCAGCCAATTGCATTGGACGCGCTGGTACAGATCGGATGCCTCGTCGCCGGCCTGCTGCTCGATTAGCTCGTCGAACAGGCTGATCTTTAGATCCTCGCGCATATCCTTTTGGTAGCCGTGGAGCTGCAATTGCAGCTCCTCGTTCCAGGTGGGATTGCTGCCCTCGGCCGTGCGACTGCGGCTCAGCCGTTGCCCATAGCTCAACGAAACAAATGGACGCACATTGGAGTACATGAGAGCTGAGAGGGGGGTGGAGGGTGGGAAAAGGAAGCTTTACCTAATATTCGAATCTATAGAATCTATCTATCCATTAGCCAATACTTACTCTGCGTCACAAAGAGACTGTTGCACATATCTGTCCCGGAGTTGGGCAGTTCCTCGAGGTTCATGAGGTGGCGGCTGCGCACCGGGACCCCAGTGGCCCTCACCACATGCAGGGACACCACAAAGTGCTGGAACTGATCGTGGTCGGCCTGCGGCTGCCAGGCAGCTGGCTCGCGTATCATCGCCGTCGATTGTCCCTGGAAGAGCGAGCAGAAGGCACGCCAGAGCGAGGTCCATCCGGTGGCCAGTGAGAGATCGAAGCCCTCGGCCAGAAACAGCAGGGGATGCGCCGACTGCTGGGCCTTGGCACGACGGGCGCTCTGGTTTCCGATGACCTCGTAGAGCAGCTTCAGGAACTTGTAGCCGCGATGCTTGTGCAGATCGATGGGATTCCAGAAGGTGCCGGGATCCAGCAGCCGACTCGAGTCGCCAGTAGTGGAGAGAGCCTCCCCCTCGTCATCCAACATCCAACTCCTGCTCCAAAGCGGGCACAAAGCGCAGCTGCTTGGTGTGCAGGTTGCGCTGCTGGTGCCGCGAGCGGAGCAGCTGGAACCGCTTGTTGCTGAGCAGCGTGCTGATGGGACAGAACTGGAGCTGCTGCTCTGCAAACACCACAGCGGGCGCCTTGTTCTTCCTGTGCCTGTGGCATGGGCCTATGGGTGTGGCCGGCTCTGCGTTGGCAGCGATGGCAGCTACCGCAGGAAGTCTTGGGGGGATCAGAGTGCGGAGCAGTTCATTGGGCAGGGGTTGGATGTCATCCAAATCGTTGACTCCCTGACGCACCTCTGTGGGCGCATAGTCGTAGTACAAGCGGACATCTCCGGCCATCTGGGGCGAAGATGGGAAGGCCTGGAAGCTGAGCGTTAGGGGCACCGCTTTCTCCTTGCGGCTGAGATCCAACTTCGTCCTCAACACGGCCAGACGGCGACCCTGCTGGGTCAGCGTGGACTTCTCGTACAGCCAAATGTTGAGATTCTGCGGCAGCGTGCGCTCCAGGAGCACTCCGATGCTCTCGTTCATGTACAGATGCAGATCCTCCTCCAGGCGGTAGCTCCTGGTCTGGCCCACGTACAGATCGTCCAGGTAGAGCCTCATGAAGTAGCTGCGGTTGCGTCGCTTGGCCAGCTGCTCGCCTCGTCCGCATAAAGGCGCACAATGTCGACGTAGGGCTCCTCGGGATGCCTGAAGGCACGCTCGTAGTCCTTCTGGAGGCTGGCCATTAGCTTCTCGAAGCTCGGCTTGCGTGGCGGCTTCGATGGGGATTGGCCCTCGGCCATCGCTTCGCCCCACTGACGTCGTCGGCAGTAGAAGAGTTCCAGCTGCTCGCGATAGACCTCGGCAAGATCGTCCTCGAACTGCTGCTTCCATTCCGAGTGGGAGGACTCCAGGTTGGGGGGATGGCCAACGTGCAGCTTCAGCTGAAAGCGGGTGCACTGGAAGTTCTGCTCGCTGCGCAGCGCCTTCAGTTTGGCCCAGTCGCGGAGCAGGCGTAGCGAGAGTTTGCGCTCGGCGGTGGCTTCTGCGTAGTAGCGTTGGCGCAGATTTTGTGTGAGGCGCAGCTGACGCCGAATCTCGTCGGTCAGCTCGGGGCGAGGGGAGAGGAGGAGCTTGGCCGCCACCTGACGGGCAATGTCGAGCTGCTCCTTCAGCTTTTGGCAGACCTGACCGCTGCGATTTTCGGTATACTGATTGAAGAGATCGTCCAGCTGCTGCGCCATTCGCTGCTCCGTCTGCAGCAGGGGATGCGCACTGAAGCGGAGTTGCTTGAACGTCAGTGTGAGGCAGCGACGCGTGGGTATGCCCTTGAACTGGCCGATCGCTGCCAGTGCAAGGAAAATGCCGTGGAACTCCCTGTCGCTGAAAGTGCGGTACAGGCGGCTGTCCGTCACGAATTGGGAAACACTCTCATCGCACAGGTCCGACACTAGGTCGGAGTTAAGCTCGCTCGCATCGCCCTTCGCCTGCTCCTGGAAGCGGTTCAGCATGCGTATTTGGGCGGGCCTCGCACTGGAGTCACTCAGATGCAGTTGGAAGTGCGCGGCATTGGCGGGCCTGTACAGCAAGCTGTCGTCATAGTAGTGCACCTGCTTGTGCAGCCCTGGCCAGACCAGCGGCGGCTCCTGCAGCTCAATGTCTATGTATGTTTGGGCCGGCGAATCTTTGCGTTCTGTGGCCGCCTCGCCGTCACTCTCAGCCTCCTCCTCCTCCTCATCCTGTGTTGTTTCCTGGATGGATGTCTCCCGCTCTCCGACAGCCGCATCGTCTGCACCGTGAAAGAACTGCAGGCTTCGTGCCTCCAATTCGAGTTCCTGCCCGCCGCCATCTTCGTACTTGGTTTCCCTCAGCATTGATTCGACCTCCTGCTCACATCTGCGATATGCGCGTGTGGTGTGCGTTTTTCGCTTCTTTTTTCCGCGCCTTGGTGGAGAAGTCGTCTCCATAATTGACGTGTATATAATTAATTAAATGCAGGCGACTGTTTAAGAGAAAACCAATGATTCGTTTTGACAATTTGCTGGTGGGTTGGTTGGTTGCTAACGGCAACTGATTATCGATCAACTAATCGATAGTAAAGTAAGAGCAACTCTGCTTATTGAGAATTTAAAAATTCAAACATAATTCACCCCAAATACATTAATTTTTTTATAAATGCATTTCCATCCGAATTTTCAAACAAATACACGATTAAGAATGTTTTGTTTTCGTTTTCTTTTTGCTGTTTACATACAAATACATTGCAAATCTAGTTATGGGCATATTACGGTTGTGCTTGTTAACTGCTTAGTTAAATAATTTGAATAAGGTCTAAAGTTGTTCGCAAACGGGTTTTCTTATTTGCTTGGCTTGGGGACGTTACTTTCGGTCTTAGAATAAACGTGTAAGTGTATAATGTATGTATGGGCAAAGGTGTTCCGCTTGGTTTGATTACAGGAGACGCGCTACTTGGCCAGATAATAATAAGGAGCAGCCCTGGGTTATGGGCCAGGGCGTAGACGCGCCTCGGACACGCAAGTGTGAGACGACAGATTCACTTCGAAATTGTGGGGGCAAACGACGACAAGTGTTGTTATGTTGCTGGGGGGGTCGTTTACTCCAGAAGAGTGATTTCTTCCTTGACTAAAAATTCAACAACTTCCTCATCGACCTCTTCGGTTTCCAAGTTATCCGTGTCCACATCTGCAAGAAGAAAAAGATATTCCATTAAATATCCCATTATCAACGGAACTGGCGCTAGGATCCAAAACTTACGTCCTCGGAGCATGACGCGACGACTCTTCTGTTCCTTCCATTCGCCAATGCGCTTGTTGCGATACTCCATGAAGGTCTCGCGCAGCTGGGAGCGCTTCTCGAGCAGCTCCTTGGAGGCGCGGGTGAGGCGCAGACGATCCTTCTGCTCGAAGGCGGGATAGTACTTCTTCAAGTTCTTCTTGATATCCTTCTGCTTGTCCTCGCTTAGGAGGGTCGGAGGCCTGGGCCGCCACAGGAACTGCACAAAGTTCTTCAGAATGGTGCGCTTGATGATGCGCCCCTGGAACGTGTACATGTTGAAGCCCGTATCCTCCTTGACCTTCCACGAGGAAACGCCAGTGACCACATACCGGCCAGTGGGGTCCCACTCGACCTCGGAGGCACGGAAATGATCGGGCGACGCACTGATGATGTAGTCATTGGTCGAGTCCACAAACTCAAAGGTGCCCATGGTCAGATTGGCCATCACTAAGAACTGTCCTCGCGGCGACCAGAACAGATGCGTGCACGACTTCTTCTCCAGCCGCTTGACCAGACTGGGCTTGACACCTTTGTTCACCTCGTAGAAGCTCACATTGGCGGAGTTGGGCTCGCCGTGGATAATCGAGAACTTGTTGCCGATGGGCTCCCAGGCAAAGGCCAGGATGAGCTCCCGTATCTCCACCGAGTCCACTGGCACCTCCTTCTCCCGCATGTGGAAGATCTCAAAGTTGTAGAACATACCGAGGAACTTGACGTCCAGCTCCTTCTTGTCCTTCTTCAACTTGGAATAGCGATCCACTTTGACGCACAGATAGTCACCGGACTTCTGCCAGTGGAGCTTGCAATCGGCCACATGGAATAGGTTCTTGTTTCGAGTCTCCCGCTTCTTGGGTATCTCCATCAAGGTGACGCGGGCAGGAATTTGATTCTGCTCCTCCACCCAGTAGGCAATCACATTGTCCGTTGGCGACCACGAGAATCCTCGGATGCCGGGAATCCTGATGGACTTCAGGTCCAGCAGAAAGAAGGAGGGCGTCTCATAGATGTGGATCGAGTTGTCGCCCAACCTGCCGACATACTTATCGTCGTGCGACCAGCGGAACATGGATAGCACCGACATGCCATCGGCGACAAACGAGCGCTTCTCAGCGCCCGTGCGTATGTCCCAAATGATAATCTTCTGGCCGGTCGGGGTGGGGCCGTAGGTTACCAAATAGTTTTCGCAGGGCGAGAACTCCACGAACTGGGTGCCAGTGTGGGGGAACTTCTGGATCTTCTGGAAACTGCTGCCGCCCCAAATGGCCACGCCAGGCTTGTGGAACGTCACCACATAGGTGCCCAGGGGCGACCACTTGACAAAGGTGTCGGTAAACCGTTCGCGCGTCTCCAGCTCGTTGGGCTCCGGCAGCACATTCTGCCAGAAGCCAACCTGTACGCAGTTCTGGGAAGTTTCCGCTGCCACACAGTATTGGTCATACGTATCAGGGTCATTGATGAAGTTGTACAGATCGTTTTGCACCTTGAAGGACTGCACAGTGGGCGGTTCCCATTTCTCCGGGATGTTCTCGTACCTTGAATAGTAAAAGAGCCAGTTAATTTGCATACCATCTAGTGGGAGAGGGAGATCAGATCTTACTTCTGGAAATCCGTAAACAAGTTGACAGCAAACGTATGATTCTTGTCGAGGCGATGGTTGTTCAGCTTCTTGACAGCCTCCTCCGCCATACCGGCGTGCTTGTACTCCATGAACGCATAGCCCTTAGTCTTGCCCTCCTCGTCGACAGGATAGACAACATTCACGATATCGCCGCAGTGCGAGAAGAGCTTGTTGATGACCGATTTCAGTTTTTCCAGACGCACCGGCTCCACCTTGGGGATATTGTCCACCACGACAACGCTCTCGACACCGTCGGCCTCGGATGGCCGCTGCGCCAGCATGTCACCCAGAAGATCTGCAATACATTATATGAATTATTTATATTTCGCACATTCATCGCATCATTGAGGTTAGTTTTCCGCGTGTGCTGCGCTGGCAGGTCCAGAGCCGGAACTTGTACTTACCTTCATCGCTGATATTGTCCACAAAATTGGGCGTATCTTCGAAATTGGGCTCCTCGTTGTAGTCACTGTCGTTCGCATCGCCACCGGAATGGTCCTCACTCTTCTTTTTAGCCATATTCAAAAATCTATTCGCAATTTTCCGTCATCAAACACACAACGCACGAAGTGAAAAGAAGTGTGACCGCGGAATTATCAGCAAAATACACCGTCTGACCCGCAAAAATATACCTTTTCTTTTTCATAAAATACCGTAAATATACTCACGGACACGACGAGCTGTGATGCATTGATATTCCTCGATTTTAATATTCAGCTTAAAATTACTAGCAAGCTAAGACTCTCAACGCTGAACATATATTTTTCTACGATTAATTAATCAATTTCCCAAAAGATGTGCTAATTATAAGTACTAATTTTCATTTGAATTATTCATCAGAAGGGTTTAATAATGGAAGGCACAAATTAATCATATTCTATAGGAGGGACCTCTAACGATTGTACGTTTCAGAAAAAATTTGTCCGTTGGCTTCTTTGTGGCCAAGGTGAGAATTGTACGATGCCTTATAAAAAGCTTTGGCTTTTCTTCATATGGGCCATAAAAGAGATAGAGAGCAATCAAAAGTTTTCTCGACTCATTAATGCGCTGCAAAATGTAACAGTGTGGCAGCCCTTCTTTGAGTACGATTATATCGGCTGGAAGCGCGGTGGCAAGCACTTATTATAATAATTATTAATATTAAATATATATATATATATTTATACTCTGAAGTTTACACAGCAGGTATATTTTGCTGCGAGGATCATGCTTACAATGGGGCTGAAAAACGCCTACGAGACGAGATTACAATAAAATGGCAATTATCGACTAGTTATAAAATTCAGCACTATCACTAAATTAGCAACCTGTTATTTCAAAACATCAATTACAAAATAAGATGAATCAATATAATGAGATGTTACCGCCGAATTTTTCCAACTATCGACTCATACTTTAAACGTAAAAATGAGTCTGGATCGAGATATATATATAGAGGAATCTAATTAAATGCATGAATAGGTAAAAACATGTCAATATGAGATTATTATAACTTAGGGTTCAAAGTCGTTTTAAAACATAATTTAAACATTAATTTAAGAAAATAGGGTATAAAAAGGTCCATACTCTATAAATATGTTGTTTGTGTGTAGCAGATTTGTAGTTAACATGTAAAAAGGGGACCTTCTATGTTTATAATCCTATTTTATTAACAACCCAATAAAACAGAGTCCTTAAAATTATCGAGGTTGTAGAAAAATTGATTCATCTTTTGGATAAAAGTATATGTTTAGCGCCTAGGGTCTTAGTTGTAAAGTAATATTAAATCGAATATTAAAATTGAGGTGTATGATTTTCCTCAGTATACTTACGGTATATTCTGATAATGAGAAGGTATATTTCTATATATTTTTTCGAGGGTCAGGCCGTATATTTGATCCATAAGTCTGCGGTCACACTACTTCTCCAATCGGCGCTATCGCGCGTCGCGGCGCAATAAAATTTGGAAAATTTGTGTTAATTGTGTTACAACGCCCATTATAAAACAAAATAACTATTGTAAATACGTCGCGCGAGCTGCATCACCAAATGCCACTGGAAGGGGGGCCGTAGGAGTCGTGAGGCAGAACATGATTGTTAGGAAATTTCGTTTTTGTTGCCTTTTGCTCTATGGTTGTGTCTGCCTTGGTGTGTGCGTGTGTGGGTGCGTGCGAGTAGTCAAACAAAAGTATTAAGCAAAAGTTACATTTTGCAAAACGCTCATTTCGGTTCGTTTCGAAAGGCAAATCGCCCCGCTCCTGCGCCAGAGCTCGGACAAATAGCAACCTACGCAAAATGAAAATCAGAAACAAAAAGAAAAACAGTGCAAGAAAAGGCGATGCTGCAGCAAACAATTGAATTAACCATTGATGGAAAATCCGTGAAAATATGTAGCTATACTGCAATATTTTTGCATGAATGTATGTATATGTGTATTTAAATGTGAAATATGTAAAGGCAGCAACAGCAAGCATCATCAGCACCAGCAGCATAGGCGAAAATCTTTATATACACACATGGAGAAATCGCCCAAAAACTTTCTGCGCAAGCCAGCCTGAGTGGGCAGGCAAGAGCGAGAGAGAGAGTGTGATGGAGATGAAGGCAGAGGCGGATGGATACAGAGCAGAGCAAGTGTGTGGGAGAGCGAGCTGTGCTCCAGTGAGAGAGATAGAAAGAGAGAGAGAGCCCCAGCCTTGATGGAAATGTATGAATGAATTTTCACTTTTGCCAATTTTATGTTAATTATAGTCCGCGCTCAGCGAAGATAGCAGCAGCAGCACAAGCACCCAGCTTGCGTTGGATCAGAAAAGTGTTGGATTAGTTTTCCGCGAGTTTTAGTTTTTCCAATATCTTCAGCTGCTCGTCTCTCAAATTCCTTCCACACAGACTCCAGAGCCAGCTTTTGTTGGTTGCTCTCCTCTCAATTCTAGATGCCTCCAATGCCTGTTACATCTTTTGTTGCTTGGAAATATCCCCTCTCTCCGTGCGTGCTTTTGTGTGGCTGTGTGTGTGTGTGTGAAGTTTTCCAATGTGCCTGTCTACACGCCCACATAAGTGGCCCTGCTTGTGTATTTGGGAAAGTAGAAGTGATTCCGCAGTTGGCTCTGGTGGCTGGTGCTTTCTCGCTGCCCTCGTCGTCGCAGCCAAATAAATAGCCAATTTATTAATTATTAATGTTCTTTCAGTGACTAAACCACAACCAAACAGTTCTAACAACAAGTGTGCCAAAATCAAAACGAAAATAGTAAACGACAAATAGAACAACCGATTGCTAAAATCCCAATAGGAGAGGAGCGCTCCCCTTTTTCCCCATCCCGTCTACTGTGGCTGCTGTTGTTTTTGGTTTTTATTTTTAATTTTTGGAAGTTTGTGCAGCAGCAGCTCTGAATGTCTTTATGCTTTAATCATGGTGTATTTTGCCACCAACAACAACAACACCAACACAATACGCTGCTATATTAAAATCTTTCTGATTACGAACCATGACAGAAGGACATGAAAGGTAAGTGTTCCCCATACCCCATCCCATACATATCTAAAAATTCCATAGCAGCATCATCTGCTCTGCACCCACCCCACCCCCACCCCCACATCCTCATCCGACCCTCTCATGTGTTGGGCATTTACAGGCTTAAGTCGAGATTCCAGTGTTGCCAGACCGCTGGCGAGTGCAGGCTTGAATCGAGCCTGATCTGATGCGTATCCAATTGTATCCAATTAATTGCTGCAATTGAACGCAATTCGTAATGGAAACGCTTCTTAGTTGCAGTTTTTTCTCAATGAACAAGACACGACACGGCATGGCACGGCATCCACACGAATCGACTGTGTGTGTGGTGTGTGTGATTCATTGTTTGCCTGCCTGGGCTGCTTTCTGTTTGCTGCCTTCTGTTCCGCCGGATAAGTCTCCACATAGTCTGTCTGTCGCCACTTTTAATGAATGAAATGGAACGCCCCCGGACGACTGGCAATGGCATGTGCGGTGGTTTCCCTGTCGTATTATTGTCTTTTGCTTGCTTGCCACAGTTTAAAGTGTTGTCGGCGATATCCACAGATGATGTCATTGTGTCTCTGCTTATTATTGCTCTTTTATTGTGTGTTCTTAAGTACACATTATCGTTGCGGAAAGGGAAGCCTGCGCAACATGAACTACATCAACGATAGATACATCACACCCAAGGCTACTGCTAGTTTCATTCATGTCTTGCCTCCTATACCCGTTGCTACAAATGTAATGAATTAATTTGCAAGATTGCCACTCCAAACATGCATACATATACATATGTACGTATGTACAAATGCAACGGGTGCTCTAGCTGTATGTCCAAATTGTTATGGGTATTTTACAAGTATTTTTGCATTGGAAATAGATTTACCATTTGAATAAAGTTAACGTTAAAGGTATCGTCATGACTGACGACAACCACGCGACAACAACAACACTACACTATGCAAATAGATGCTGACGCAGTTGTTGTTGTCTGTCGAACTATTTAGCTGCAAACTGTATTGTGTGTTGTGCATTGGTGGGTTTTGGAAGGTTCTATTATTGTCGTCGAGCTCTGTGACCTGACTGAGTGGGTGGTCAAAGCACACAAACACATTGGGCGCACCCCCCGCCCTCCCCGCAATACTCGAATACATGCACACACGCACACTTGCGCCGTTGTTCATTCATCATTTGCTGGTCCTGCTGCAGCCCTGCTGTAGTCGTGTGTGTGTGTGTGTGCGCCGTTGTGTGGGTGTCGACGCAGAAAGCGCAGTTGGCAACACTGTTCGAGGCAAGCTTTTTGGCTTAGAATTTAACTAAAATAGATGTTCATTAATTAATGTTTGGAAAATAATGTGGCAAAGGTGAATAGAATTGCATTTTGTCTCATTTATTTATGCTAGAACATTTGTGGGCGACAACCCACACAGCCACACACATGCTATGGCTATCTCGCTTGCTCTATTTCCCACGCATGCGCCAATTGGAGAGGAGAGCTTCCAAATATTGATGGACTTTTAGTTTCAGCTTGAGGCAGGCTCCTCTTCATGGGTGTGCGTATGTGTGTACATGTCTTGCCTGCATACGTACATATGCATGTATGGGCTCATATTTTGGGGGGTGGGGGGAGTTTTAACTGTTTTTCGCTACACCTCAGGTGGCAACTCCTATTGCATTACAAGGCTTTCTTTCGTTCGAAGAATTCGTTGGGCTGGGTTGCTATGCAACCCCAGGTTGCATCCCATTTCATTCACACTCTTGGACATCCTTGGGCCTGCTGACGTCGTCGCCCACCTCCGCATTGCCGTGGGAGTGCAGCCTGAATGAAAGCTAGTGCATTGTCAGGCAGTCCTTGATATGTCCCTGGGTGCCGTGACGTCGACTCTATTCCGGGGATTCTATTCAATTCATTCTGTAAAACTAACGAAACTAGGACAAGTGTATGTATGTATGTATGTATGTATGTATGTGTATGCATGGCGACACAGACGACACATCAACGCGCGCACACAAACACGAACAGGCACGAACACTCTCACTCACCCACCATACCACCACCCATACAGGAGCTGAAACTTCGCTGAAGCTTTTTTCATTGAGAAGAACTCCAGAAGTAGGAACTCCATTCGGTTTCAACGGCAAAATGTATTCAAACTTGTGCGCAGGTCGCTGGACGAGTTTTTGTGGGGAGCCCATCCGTTGGAGCCATTCATAAGACTCGAATTGGAGTTGGTGCTGCGAGTTGCGAATGAATCTCAATCCCAAAACCGGAAGTTGTAATATGTACATGCCAATGCCATAGCCAGAGCTAGAGCGAGCACCAGAACCAGAACCTTCCCCCTCCCCGACCACTATCGAATATGGTTTTGCACTTTTGCTACCCTTAATTCACGCTCTTGTGCATCTCTCCACGGCTCTGTGCGATGTATTTTTAAACCGAAGGACTTGCAGTTATTTTTAGTTTCTGTGGGCTCTTGTTGGTCTCTTTTTTTTCGGTGCTGATGCCCATGACCATGCCTTTGCTCTTGCCCTTGCCCTTGCCCTTGCCCCTGCCCCTGCCCATGCCCATGGATGAGTCAGTCCTGCAAGCAGGTGCGCCATCTCGCTTTAGCTTCCTTGGCCTGTCCGAACAATTCAATTAGCCGAATTAAGGACACTTTTAGGTTATCCATACCGTCAGGGATATCTGTATGTGTGTACATATGCAGTTATAGAGGAAGCCTTGAGGGTCCGCTGGACAACATTCGTTGCCAGACATTGGTGGCTGCCACAATGGCTACGGTTTCCTATACCAAATTGAGCTCAAAGCGCAGGCCGAGCAGGTATCTGGGATACCAGAGATCTATCATTTGGTTTGATTGAATTGAACTGAACTGAAACTAACAATATTCTTGGGTTTATCTTTTGCAGCGAATTCTTAGTTACAGTACGCGCACAGGTAATGACCAGAGACGAGAGCACCGAGGGCTGGCTACCGCTGGCCGGGGGTGGTCTGGCCAATGTTTCCATACGGAAGCGGGCTAGACTATCCCCACTGGCATCGGGTCATGACTACATCATCTATGGGCAGAGGATCTCCGATCAAAGTGTGAGTACAGCCGACAAACACTGAACCCTTGGAGAGATATCTTCTATTTAAATTCATTTCCCTCTGTACTGCAGGTCATCTTGAGCTGTGTCATCAATCGTGATCTAAAGTATTACAAAGTAATGCCAACATTTCATCATTGGCGCGCCGGCAAGCAGCGCAACGGCCTCACATTTCAAACGGCCGCCGATGCGCGGGCCTTTGACAAGGGCGTGCTGCGCGCCTATAATGAACTAATTGATGGTAATATCCAGTCCCTGGACACTGAGCCGGACACACTTGTAGTTGCATGCTTTAATCCGGCACACGCCACGCTTCCGGCTTTCTGATTTTCCATCACGCTCTCACTTATGCTCTCTGAAATCCTAATTTAAACTTAAGCTTTGCCTGCTATGACTCCTATGCCTCTTTCCCATTGCCTCTTTGCCTCAGCTTTCTTTCCAATTTGCTTTCATTTACTAATACATATATATATATATCTTTTTTCGTATGTCTTATGCTCTAATTTTTGCCACAAACAAATCAAAAATTTGTAAAACAACAAAACACACAAATCATTGGAATTTTATCGATTTGTTTCAAAAATCACCAAAAACAAAAACTAAACGACAATCTAATCTTATTAAATGTATCATTTCAAACGAATTGGTAAGTGTTTAATGGGGCTTAACTCTAAATTAGTTTAATATTTGCTTCATTCACGGATATACATACATACCTACATACATATGTACACTTGGGCACCTGTCTGTCCATCTGTCCTGTTGGCTTCTTCATTTTCAAATCTCTCTATGCTTTATGCTCTCTGCTCTCTGCTCTATGCTCTCAATTCTCAATATTCATATTCTTCTGTAAACTGAACCTTTCAATTTAAAATGCTTCAACTATTCTTTGCTTTATGCCATCCATATGCTCACTAGTACAACTAATGTGCCTAGTGCTTAAAAATCGACTTACTTAGGAAGAGCTTAGCTTGTTGTTGTTTTATTGGCGACGATTGACTAAAGGTTCTTTGTTTTATTTAGGACTGGCCAAATCGAATCCGACTATTATATGCCCACCATTGACAAAATATGATTCGGTTGGTGAAGATGATGTATTCATGACCCTGGACTTACCTGTGGAGAGCGAGAGTTTACAAAAGATACATTCAAGCCCCGAGGGCAGCGAGAAAAGTCACAGTACGTACTTCCCCATCAATATACCGCAGACGCGGGCTGCCATTTCGAGGCGAGTGCTAAACCTTCCATTCGCAGAGAGCAAGGACAGCTACAGCAACAATTCCGATTCGGAGAAGCTGCCAGCAGCACCAATCCACTACATATCCACGGACAAGACATCAACCACAACCACGACCCAAGATGGACCACCATCGTCTACTGCACCGGCACCGGGCGCCGCCCAGATTGCGGCCAGCGAGAATTACTCGTATGTGACGCTGACCGCGGTCCACCACGACTACAACTATCCGGTGGTGGACCAGCCAGTGGGGGCGCAGGTGCTTAACGCTCGCCGCGAGTCGATCAGTGCACTGAAGAAGCGCAACGCACTGGAGGCGGCCCAGGCGATGGCAGCTGCCCAAACGGTGGGCACGGCCGGGGGCGGGAAGGCGCTACAGAAGCAAAACGTATCGGACATACTCAAGAAGGAGACGCGCCTGCGGTGTCGCTACTGTCACGAGCTATACAGCGAGGAGTTCAACCGGCGCGGGGCCTGCGAATACGCCCCGGACACCTTTCGCACCGGCTACGAGTGCATCTCGGGCATGGGCTGTGCCAGGTGCATGATCTACCACTGCATGAGCGATGCCGAGGGCGAGACGGCCCAGCATCCGTGCGAGTGCAGCGTGACGGAGGCCGGTTGTACCAAGCGCTGGCTGGGCCTGGCGGTGCTCTCTCTGTTCGTGCCCTGCCTCTGGTGTTATCCGCCGCTGCGGGCCTGCCACTGGATGGGCATTCAGTGCGGCCTCTGTGGCGCCCAGCACAAACCGCATGTCTGACATTTGGAGGCCAGATTGCAGGGACAATACGATGACGACCCCAGGCCCAGAAGCGAACTCCAGCAGCACAAAAACCAGCAGCCGAACCACCAAAACCAAAGCAAAAACCAGCTAAACCAGCAGCACCACCACCGCTGCCAGGCGGACGAGCAGGCCAGAGATACAAAAAGTCAGACGCTGTGGCGCCCCAAGCCGCGCCAGTCGCCCCAGCCCCAGTCGCAGCCCCAATCGCAGCGGCACTTTTACAACTGGGAACTGTCGCAGAGCCTGGGCGCACCACAGCATCAGCAACAGCAGCCGGCGTATCTGATGCAGCCGCGTACCAGCAAGGCGGCCCAAAACGACTACGGCCGCCTGCTGTTCTAAGAAGAAGTGAAGAAGTGTATCGCTTTTTGTGCGATTTTGGGAGTTGCGTATCCAATCTGGCGAATCCCTGTAAACTGTACTCCATATGATTTGCCATATTTTATTGTACATACAATAGCAAGCAAGCGAATTTACGCATGTGTTTTATATCATACGAGTATACATACATATATATAATTATTTTATAATTGTAATTGTAATTTATTATTAGTGTTTATCTCTCTCGCTTAATTATACTTTTGTAAAAACGGGCTCTTCTTTTAATTCGTAATTTTATCATTTACCACATACACACATACAGATATTGTATACCGTATACCGTATACCGTATCGTGTTGTTTTTCTACCATACCAATACACAAATATACTTTAAGTTTGTTAATTTTAGTTTTAGTTGATTAGGGATTACAGGAAACTCACAATTGTGCACAATTCGAGAACTTGGAGAACAGTATTAATGCCGAGGCAGCGGCAAAAACAAGGACTTACATATATTTTGATTGGTGAATGAGACTTTCACAATGTCCATCGCTCAAATTGCACGATAAGCATGAAAAATTCAACCTGATGCGTCTTGACACGACATGACATGCAACACAAAAAAAAAAGAAACACACAACCCCAAACCCTTTCGCATAGACTCCCCCTTTCCAACGGCTAAGAGAGAGAACTACAAATTGTTTTTGACTCTGTTAAAAGAACCAACGCTCAATGCTCAACCCTCGTGTCCCCTGGCTGCTCGACTAAATCTTCACTTAATCAAGATTTACTTTTTATACAAAACAAAACAAAAAGCATTAAATCAATTATTTACCTTCGAAAAAGAATGATTTTGACTCTTTCTAGGGCTCATGAAGATTCAAAATATTTCTTTTGCCAAAAACAAAAAATTATAATTTCCAACAAAATGTTATGTTGAAAACAAAACCAAAACAACAGCAAAAAAAAAAGCAAATCAATGAAAAAATGGGTATGGGAATACGAGAACAGCAGCATTGAACTATGTGAAATCTTTTGAAATCTAAAATCTTAATAGTTTGTAGAACGAAAAACAATTTGTAATTTTTAAGGAAACGCTGGAAGCTTTTGAGCCGTTTATAAAATGGCCAAAAGTAACGGCATTTTGTGGAAAGGCTGGACCCACGAAAGGGGGGGACAGAACACGGACACACACGCAAACATCATAAACCATAAACAATTGTAAGTGTTTTGAAACAAACAAAAAATTGAGGGGAAACTCTATATGCAGCTATATATGTATATGTATAATATAATAAAAAAGGAAAACTTAATTTATTTCTTACTATATAAATATTGTTGTACTAAGTCAGTGACGAAAAACAAAAGAGAACTTCATACAAACAAACAAAAACAAACAAAAAAACTATTTGAATGAACAAAGAAAACAAAAAAACGCATATTTATTCAAAAAAAATAAGCAAAGGTTGTGCAAAAAACACATTAAACAAAAGCAACAGAATATTATATTATAAAACAAAAAAACAAAACAAACAAATTAATCTATAAATGGGCAATTGTAAGTATGTATTGTAGGTATTGTAATCCATGTATGTACAACATTTAAAACGTTTACGAAACCTAAATATGTGTGACAAACTTTGAACATTTAAAATATTTGCGCAACTTGACGAAAGGAAAACTAAAAAGAAACTAATAACTTAAAGGAAATATACAAAACACACAGAACAAGAAGTACAAACTGTTAAATATATACTTTACGATTACCTTACCTTGTGTACATAAACTGTAATTACTTCGAAAATTGGTAACCTCTGAATGTGATCGCTGGCCACCAATACTCTTCAACTCTCCAACAAACTATTTCAAAACTTACACAAATCTGTATGTAGCTCAAACGAAAGAGAAGGTGTCAACTGTTGCAAAAAAAAACACACACACACACAACACATTATTTATTCAATCATTTTCTCATATCGAGATTGAAATGCCCTCTGCGAACTTCTCTGTATTTGAAGTTGTGAATTAAACGGATACCATGCCGAGACCACCACCACCACTACCCCCTCTATTTCTGAATTCATCAACGACGTTTGCCCAATTATCCGCATATACATACTCATATTTTAAACGAGAATGAAGCTATGAAGGGATTATGGTACACACACATGTGTGTATGGTATGTATGTATGTCGAAAAGAGATATCTAAAAGGCAAAGGGAAGGTCAAAGTAAAATAAACGATATATTTATTCATATAAATGTATTTGAAAAATGTGAACAAACCAGAAAAATACCAACAAATAAAAACACAATTTAATAAACAATGTAAAATAAATGTTTGTGTGTTTGATTTTGAGATTTGGGGGAACATCAGGCCTTGCCTATTCATTCTACAACCCACCCAGATCAAACACCAAGCCCAAAAAATAATAACAAGACAAAACTATGGACGAACTAATGCGGCAGTCGGCACAGAACCAGAAGAGTCGTTCGCCACAAATCAACGGCAACGTGGGCTTTGTCACGTGGGTTTACTCTCGCCTTCACATTGTATCCTTGAAAGCCACTAACCTGAGTCTCGTTCAGTCCTAGGTGCAACGCGGAAGCAGAAGAGACCTCCAATAAAGCTTCATGTTCCGCAGAGTGCCCGAATCGTTCGCTCATCGAGTTTGGCTACAATTTCGAGGATGTGGAGGGCTGGTCGATGATGAAACAGTGGCCCAAGGATAAGTTGGCCAACATTCTGCAGTACATGGTGGAGTCACACCTGAAGACCACCCTGGTGATTAAGATCAGGAACTCGTACTTCAACTGCCACTTGTCGGTGCTGCAGGTGTACTCGCAGTTCTTCATGGAGCTGGTGGAGTCACCGATGATGGTGACGCTGCCTGAGGATCTGGTAACGCCCAAGGCTTTTATGATCATTTACAAGTGGATGCTCACCAGTGAGCCCTGCTTGGACCGCACGCGCATTGTCGAATTATTCATCGCTGCCTCCTATCTGAGGATCAAACATCTGCTGGCCCATTGTTGGATGTATTTTGACGACAAGCAATTCTTCAATGAGGTCACGGCATGTATCCTTTATGTGGAGACGCGGTACCACCCGTCCCTGGACATTGTGCGCAATGTGATGCTCACGCGTATCCACCAGTTTGTGCTGATCTTTGCGGCCACAAAGGACTTTCTGGATCTACCACACAATCATTTGATTTACTTGCTCAGCTCGAGCAGGATCGCTTTGAATACGGAAGTTGAGGTTGGACTGGAAAATCGGAAAACTCGTATACATATTCAACATATTTATTTGATCCAACTGCAGGTCCTCTATATGGTGGTGCGTTGGATGTGTCACGACTGGAGCACTCGACGTGCGTACGCCGTACAGCTTGTGGATTGCATTCGATTCAATTGTATGCCACTCTGGTTTATGCTTTTTGTGCGCCGCGACGAAACCCATGCTCAGCTGTTGGAGTTCTTGAGTCTGGACGAAGTCAATGAGAAGGTTACTGATGCCATCACCAACATCACATCCGCCATGTACGACGACCAGATCTTTGGCACCAGTTTGGCTCATAAGGACACTCCGCATCAGCGCAACTGGATTCACGACAAATCCTGTGACTATCACCATCTGATTGGATGCCCCAATACCCGGGAGATCCGATACGAGAACTTTGAGGCATACATGTGTACGCTGCAGCAGAAGCCGGTTGACTATTGGACCAGATTCGAGTCCATCGAATTGAATGTTGTTGGACCCTGTCACTGCATGAGGGAGATCTTTTAGTGTTTCTTTGCAGTTTACAGAACAGTTTTACAGTTAAAAGAATTACAAATTTAAATTACGGTTACATAACGGCTACTTATTCCACCAGGTGGCAGCGCCTGTAGAGGTGGAAACATCGATGTTTTCGATTTTTTTCCATTAAAGTAAAACTAAATAAGTCAAGTGAAAATTAAAAAACTTTTAAAAAGTTCTACCAATGTTTGAATGTTAATAAATAAAAAAGGTTTTACGTTAAAATAAAACTTGCGTTATATTATTGTTTTCTTGCACAAAAAAATGTAATTAGTAATTAGAACCATTAGAACAAAAAGGTTCTAATTTCCGAAATTCGAGTGTTTTAAAATTTAATATAATAAATTTAGCATGGTTTACCTTACTAAAGTTTAGTGGGTAACAGTCTTTGGGCTCATAATGGTAATCAATATGCAATATTCAAAATATAAATATGTTTTTACCCATATAAATATACCTTCTGCGTTTCGATAGTCGCCACAGAACGTCGATGTTTGCAACAATTTTAAAAACATCGATGCTTCCACCTCTAAGCGCCAGCCAAATGTTTATCTGTGTTTTTTTGTCTGCCTACTTTGTTTATTGCAACAATGGAGAAACTAGAAGCTCTTAAAATATCATCGATGCGGCCGCGCAGTAATATACTGGACCGTCCGCTGTCCAAGGGCAAAACGGAGGTCTCCCAAAGCATCGTGGCTCTGCTTTTCAGCGAGATTGTCCAGTATTCCCAGAGTCGTGTCTTCACCGTGCCCGAGCTCCAGACCAGGTGAGCGTTGCTCCTGCTTTAAGCAATGAATCAACTAATGTGGATATGTGTGCAGGCTCCATGACCTCGGCCAGGATGTGGGGACTCGCATTATCGACTTGTACTTTGTGCGCGAGCGGAGCTCCAAGCGAGAGACTAAACTGACACAAATGCTGCTCTTCGTCAAGACGACAGTGTGGAAGAATCTGTTTGGCAAGGAGGCGGAGAAGCTGGAGCATGCCAACGATGATGAGCGCACCTATTACATTATAGAGAAGGAGCCGCTGGTGAACACGTTCATAAGTGTTCCCAAAGACAAGAGCTCCTTGAACTGTGCCAACTTTACGGCAGGAATTGTGGAGGCTGTGCTCACACACTGCGGCTTTGTAAGCAGAACCCATGATGAATATATATATATTTCCGCTAATGTGATTATATTTGTAGCCCTGCAAGGTCACCGCCCACTGGCACAAAGGCACCACCTACATGGTCAAGTTTGAGGACTTTGTCATAGCCCGCGACAAGCAAATGGAGGAGAAATAGTCGTAGTACTCGGCAAACTTATGAATAAATACAATTACAGTTAGTTAACAAATGGGTTCTTTTGTGTTTTGTTTTATTTCACTACAAATCCAACATTATCAGACGAATCACTTAAATAAACTTGAACTGGCGATCCTTGTAGGCCACCTGGCCGGATCGGTATTTCTCCTCGCGACCATCGCGTTCGCTCTTCAGGGCCCAAGCGTAAATGGCAATGGGCAGGGCCACGGCAAAGAGACCCGTGCGGAAAGACTTGCCGGTTGGCTTGAAGTGCTCGTAGTTGGACACACGCATGGCCTGGAAGCGGGCTAGACCGGCATCGAACTGCAAAACGAAGAAATTAATAATATTTATCCCAGCCTGATGACATAACCATTGACAGGAGAGATTGTTTTTTACATACCACAGTGCCGCCCTCACCAGTGGCATGGCGGAAGGGATTCGAGCTCTGTTTCAAATACTCGCTGCGCAGTTTTAGAGTATGCTCGTGCTTGCGGCGGATGAACGCCTCCTCTTCCTTGGTTAAAACCATTTTATTTATGTTGCAAACTCAATTTTTAGCTGTGAGCCAATCGTATCTGTGAATCTATCGCCAAATACAAAACGATAGAAATTGACTATCCCATCACTAGGTAAATCGCGAGCTTCGATATATCGAAGCTAATTCGCTTGTAAAGATGGCGTCTCTTTTCTCAAAATTAACCGGGGAATAAGATTTAAAAATAGCTCACTTAATATTCAGTTAATACGGGGCACCTTTATTGATTTTAATTGAACGTAGCATTTGATTGATTATAAGTAATTTTTCTTTGGTTAGCCAAAAGCTTTTTTCTTTTGTTCCTAAAATTTGCCGTTTTCCTCGAAACGTTTACGTTCTAGCTCACGAAAAGCGCGTTTCTCAGACGGGGTTTTGCCCTGCGGATTGCCGATAACGAATTTTTCGGCCCAGCTAGCTTTGGGGTCGTAGGTTCCCACCGGCGGTTCGTCGTCCCAATTCTCAGAGGACTTGCTTTTATATTTGAACGCTTGATCAATGGCGGCATGCGGAATATATGGCGAGCGATTTGGACATTCCTTGACATGAGTCTGGTCGAAATGCAAGCAAAAGTGATTTATATTTTGATTCAAAAAAGTCTCAGAGCTTACCTTCATTTCGTGTGTGGTGTATTTGTGCATTGCATTGAACGGGCAGCGGATCTTCCCGCAGCCGTGATTGGAGGCAACATCCGGCTTTTTGTCCATTTTTAAAAAATTTTCAAACGTTGAACGGTTTGGACAATTCTCGACATGATTCTAGCCGATATGCAAGCACAATTTATATATTGTCCAATTGAGTGACAAATGGCTCTTACCTTAATTTCGTTAGCATCAATCAGATGCGTCCCATTGAAGGGACAGGAGACCTTCTTGGAGTCGGTATTATTTCGGGCACAACGGATCAAGTGTACGGCCATGCGACTGCGCAAAATTATATGAGACTTGTCAAATGGACAAAATATAAGATCATTTTTTTCCGACATTTTCAAAAAGTAATTTTTATGCTTCACTTTTCACAATGACTTTGACTATTTTCTTAGGCAAACGTCCAGGTTTTATTTTCGACAGCTCGGTTTCTAGCTTCTAGACATCTATACCATATCGATGTGTTTATATCTATATTTATTAATCTTGAGAGAGGATATTATGTAATAGGTCGGCAGATATATGTAGCCGAGTCTATCGAATAGCGGCAAATTAACAGAGAACAGGTTTAAACTTACCTGCTGGCGCTACCGTATATCGAGCTATGTTAATATATATTTAACATCCCACTGCGCATGTCCGGCAAAGTGTAATGCGCAGATCTCGTGTCCCGGTTCTGCCTGGTGCTTTTAGCCGTAATTTGGATTACATTACCCACCCTAAAATCATAAATAGTCGGGCTATTATAATGAAGGATTTACGACCACATAAACCACAAAACTACAAACCTTAATCGTATATGTAGCGGCCATGGATACGTTTGTTCTGGCAGCCTCCGTTCTTCTTTTTCTTGGTTGAGATTGCGTGTTTTTCTTAGTTGCCGCAAAGTCTGCTGCTTCGTTGGTGGTTTTCCACCCCCGCCAGCACTGTATCCCTACACAGACTCACTACACTAGACTACCTACCCCCATTTCCCTGTCTACCACACTCCCCTCCCTCATGGCGCATGTCCTGTAAAGTTTTCTGCGCATATGTATCTGCTGTATCCCTGTATTCTTAATTAAGCAAAGGTACGTAAATATTTGTGTATATCCCAGGAGCACCCATTTGCAGACAGGTGACAGGTATTAATTGACCCTCCTGTTTTGGTGAACCGTCCGCAGGGATAGTGAGGCTCACAAGGTGCACAAATCAATGAGACAGACAGCTAGTGCGCATGACAATTGGAGTTGAGAGCGAGAGTGGAGTGTGATTTCAGTGCGCATGTGGCTGCTTCGTTGGGTGGTAATGCACTTGGCTTAGCCTCTTCCCTGTCCCCGGCCCAAGGGGTGTGGAGGGTTGTTAGGGGTTGCTTTCGATGGTTGCCCGCGGAGTTGCGCAGTGGCTTCCCTTTCGTTTTCACTGGCAGACGCTTTGCAGTGGTGAACGGACCCTGGACACGACTGAACAGAGGGAGGCAGAGCCTCGATTGAATTAGTTGTCAGACGCTGCGGAAATATTGATTTTCGTGTTGCTAAAAAGTGCATTTAATTGTCCAACAGCAGCCCCAGCATGAGCCTCAAGTCCAGTGCCCGCATCAAGAAGCGTCGCTCCGACGCGGCCGCTGCTACCTTCTCATCGGGAGCTGCTCCAGCGACCGGGAATGGCAATGGCAATGGCAGTGGCAGTGGGAATGGAAGTGGCAGTGGCAATGGCAATGGCAATGGTAACAGTAGCGGTAATGGTAATGCAAATCCCAGCACTGTTCCCCCCACAAGTAATTACAACTGCAACCAGAGCCTGTGCAGCTCCGAGAAGCACAAGAAGCACAGCTACGCGGGCCGCAATCCCAACTTTGATACGGACGAGACGAAGCTGCTGATTCAGCTGTGGGGGGATCCCAAGCTGCAGCGAACCCTCATCACCACGCACAAGAAGCACGCCGTGATCTGCCAGCTGGCGGCCAAGATGCAGGAGTACGGCTACCACCGCTCGCCGGAGGAGATAACCACGCGCATCAAGAATCTCAAGTGCTTCTACAATCGCCTCAAGAAGGACAAGGAGTGCGGCGCCACCTCCGATTCGGAGCCCAGCTGGAAGCATTTCGCCGAAATGGATGCCATCATGACGCGGCCCATCTTCAGTGTACGGCCCAATGAGGTGCCAGCCCCATCGCTGAAATATCAACTGGAGCAGGCCCTGGAGGAGCATGCCGAGCAGCGCAGCCGCCGGCTGGCCAACGGCGAGGAGTTGTCCGAGAGCGATAACGAGGAGGACGACATGTTGCTCTCCTCGCTGGTGTCCAAAAGCAAGGAGGACACGCCCCGCAAGGAAGTGGAGGCCGCCTGCCTTGGGGTGGACACGGACTTGAATGAGGAGGCCCTTGATCCTATTGCCTCCAAGCGGCGCAAACATTCAACCGAGCAGGATGTGGATATCGGCAGTGCGGTGTTGGCCTCTCCTAGCATCAAGACTGAGCCGGGCCACGAGCCAGTACCTGCTGCGGCTGCTGCACCGGTGGAGTCCGAACATGAGGAGGAGGACGACGACGATGACTGCATGCTGCTGCCCCAGACCAAGGAGGAGCCCATCGATGTGGATGCTGGCGATGATTCGCCCAGCGAGAAGTCACCCAGTCCCGTCATGTCCACACTGGCGAATATATTGCAGCGGCCGAGGAACCCTGCGAATCTGCAAATGTCCTACACGGCAGGCAATGTCATCATCTCAGCGAGCGGCACCACATCGACCAGCTGCTCGGTGCCCATTCAAAGCACCAGCACACTATGCAGTAACTCGGGCATGCTGCAGCCGGGAAAGATCTCTCTGGTGCCCACAAACTTCCTGATGCAGTCGAAGCTGCCCGCCGCTGTGGGACCAAGTCCCGTGCCAGCCAACGGATCTGGGCCACAGCTGCAGCTGCTGCAGAGCGCCATCAACCAGGGAGCCCGTTTGATGATCAGCGGATCGGCCTCTGCCCCGGCACAGCCAAGCAATGCCGGGCTGGTGGCCACGGCTCCCGGCGGTGTCAAGTTTGTCCTGGTGAATACCGAGCAGGCCAAGGCAGCGGCAGCCGTTGCTGCTGTGGGCAAATCAGCAGCAACGCTTCCCCTGGCCACCGCCCAGGCTCAGGCCATAGCACAGCAGCAGCAGCAGCAGCAACAGCAACAGCAACAACAACAGCAACAACATCAGCAACAACAACAGCAGAAGCTGCAACAGCAAAACCTCCGGCAGGAGCAACAGCTTCAACAGCGTCAGCAGCGACTGAAGGAGAAGAAGATTCAACAGGAGAAGGACGAGAATCGCCGCGAGAGGCAGCGAGAGGAATCGCAGTCCAGGCGACACATGACAAGTCAGTACAAAATAGTTCAATCACTTCGTTTCAGCCATGTACTAACTCACCATCCTCCACATTGCACCATTGCAGCTATGCGAATCCTGCTCCGGCAGCTGCTCAATGCCCAGAACGAGGCGAATGAGATTCAGCATAATCGCCTGTCATTGGAGCGCGAGCGTCTGGACTGGGAGCGGTCGATGGGCGATCGCCTGCTGACGTTGCTGCCGAACCTGGTGCAGCCTGCCGCTGCGGCGACTCAATCAGCTGCTGCCCAGCGCCTGCAGCCGCCCAAGCTTCTGTTCACCACAGCTCTGCCGATGGGCAATGGTACCGTCTCCATGCCCCACATACTCACAACCAATTCCTTGCCAAAGGTGATTACGGCTCCATCCTCCACGCCGGTCAGCTGCGGTACTAGCAGCAGCAGCGTCGCGGGAGGACTGGTACCACAGCCAGCCGCTGACGGTGATGTTCAATTAGTCACGCCAAAGCAGGAGAAGGAGGGCTGATGGATGGGCTCATTGGTATTGTAGGAGCGATCTCTGACTTCAAGAAACGATGATATTCCATTAACAGTCCATATCCGATCTTAAATGTAGTTTATTCTAACAGTAAGACTTCTATTCTAAAATAAAGCTTGAACTAATAACTGCTGCAGCTCCTGCCCCCTAGCGTATGTTGAGACGCTCCATATCGCGTATCTCCATTATATCTGTTTTGAGGCGCTGCTTGACAATCTCGCGCCAAATTGCCTCACGATCCCGATTGTCCGTCACTCCCATGCGCTGCAGCGAGGTGTCTGTAATGCGCAGCAGCGCTCGCCCTGTGATGTCGTGCTGCGATATAAAAAAAGATTTGGGATCAGTAGGCAGCCATTTGAATGCCAGGGGCACATATAATTTCGTAGTCGCCACGCGCTGGAGACAACCTTTAGAACCTTGAAAATATGGCAGCGGTGATACAGAAACACAGCCAGAAAGAGAAAAGGGACAAGGACAAACATTGGTAAGTGCCAGGGATCGGGATAACTTTTTACCTGGACAAATAGCTGGTCGTACTGCGAGTATTCGCCACAGTGGCGACGATACCATTTCACCACGTCGCTTACTGTCCACTGGTAGACGGCTTTCGGGCGCGTAGTCTTTGTCCGCGTTTTGTTTTGTGTGGAATTGATTGTTTCTTCGCCGGGCATTATTTAATACCTTTAATTGAATGTTTAGTTTGAATTTAATAATTGGAACAGCTGTTCGAAGGTGATGGCGTTTCTGAACACTAGAGAAATATCAAAAACAGTTGAAAAAAATACCAGGTTTTTTGTTACTTTCCAGCACTTACTTCAATACACACGATAGTTTGCGATATTTTGCATAATGGTATATTTTTTAGTCCTATATCGTAAATCGGTATTTAGTGGTATATTTCAGAGGGTAAGACGGCGTATTTCATAGATAAATTGACGGTAGAGCTGTCAGATTGTTTTGAAAAAAACAATCGATACTATCATGATAGTATCGCGCTAAAAAAAATATTAATTATTAATTTTTTTTTGTTTGTTGTTTACTGGTTACTGGTTACTGGTTCTCGGTTTCTGAGGTCACTCGACAAAACAAATCAAGTTATTTTTCCAAATATTAAGACACATTTCAAATTGACCGCCAAACTCAATTTAGCGCACCAAAAATACTGACATTTTTCGCTCTCAATTCGTGGAGAGTGCTCTCTTTTCAGTGGAGAATAGAGTGTTTTTGTGGAGACTTTCCCCTCATTTTCGTGGTGTGGCAGCATGCTACATGTTGATACATTAGATTTGAATGGGAAAAATTTCAGCAACATGGGGAAATGAAGTAGCAGCATTGTTGTGCAACTTTGGCACGCAATGAGCAACAATCTGCATACCTTGGGAAAATGGATATTATGGACTTGAGATATTGTTTGAATTTTCAGGCTCCAATTAATGCAAAAACTACTCAGTCTCTGTTGTAAAGATTTTAACAAAGTTTTGCAGCTCACGACTACCAATAATAGGTATCAGAACCGGGATAAATCTATTTATAACACACAAACATGTGCATTACTATGTAAAAAACATGTCAATCTAGGATCAAATCATAAATAATGTTTCAATGGAGCTTGGAACAAAACATTTAACACCAATTAAAAGAAATAAGGTATACAAAAGTACATACGCATAGAAGATACTTGGTTGACCAGCAACACTGACGTAACATTTAGTCAACATTTAAGTTTTATGCTTTGGCCGTTTTTGTTTGAACCTTAATATGTAAACAATCCAATGAAAAAGAGTTCTAAAAACTAACCAATCCTGAAAAAAATGTATGTATTTATCGGATAAAATTATTTGTTTACGGCTGAGAGGGCCAACTATCTAGTAATATTAAACTGAATATCAAAATTGACGAATTTCATATCACAAAATATCACGATAGTATCGATTGTTTTTTCAAAACATTCGACGTTGATATTCCTCGATATTGATATTCCGTTTATTGGCAGCCCGCAGCAACTACGAATTGCACGAGTCTGGCAGCGCCACAAAACGACGACATATTCGTTTTATGCTGTTTTTGTTTGAACCTTAATACGTAAATAATCCAATAAAAAGGACTTCTGAAAACTTGCCAATCTCTTAAAAAATTGATGTATCTATCGGATAAAATTATTTGTTTAGGGCTGAGAGTCCCAGCTAGCTGGTAATATTAAACGGAATATCAATATCGAGGAATATCAACGTCGAATGTTTTGAAAAAACAATCGATACTATCGTAATAGTATCGGGCTAAAAAAAATTATTAAAATTTTTTTGAAACCTTTTAGGAACTTGTCCATTGTAAAAATTAGATGCCACCTGTCGATTTTTTTACAAATTTGTCTTCGTATTTTATAGCAGCCAATCCAAACATATCAAAAGCGCAACGACTGTAGCTCGATACTATCATGATAGTCTCAAAACCGTCGATAGTAGAGGCCGTCAGTAAAATATCGATACTATCGATAGTGCCCTCGATGGTTTGACACCTCTAATCCGCCAATCGTGACTGGCGCTTAATAACAACGACGAAAAGTTGAAAAAAGTCCAAATAAATCACCTTAGTACGCATTAACTAGTAAATATACACACAAACACAAAGACAAAAGAGGCATACGTATAGTGCTAAAGTTGAAATACAGTTTGCTGTTTTATTGATTACAAAATTTTCTGGTAAATTCGTGCGCTGTCCTCCATATTTTAAGTCGCAAGATGGCCGGAGCAACACTTTTTGAGCGTGCACAGGCTTTGTCCAGTGTGAATCGCGAAGAGGACAGCTCGCTGCTGAATAAAATAGTGCGGGATCAGGAGGGTGCTGAGAACGATGAAGAACGCATACGCATCAAGGAGCAGGGCATCATGCAGCAGGGTGAGCTCTACAAACAGGAGGGGAAAGCCAAAGAGTTGGCCGACCTTATCAAAGTGACGCGTCCGTTCTTGAGTTCGATTAGCAAGGCCAAGGCAGCGAAATTGGTGCGCTCTTTGGTGGACATGTTCCTCGACATGGATGCTGGCACTGGAATTGAGGTGAGTCTTCTTGGGTTTCTCTATGAACACATCATTGCATTTATATGCGCTTCCTCCATTTACCCGAAGGTGCAACTTTGCAAAGATTGCATTGAGTGGGCCAAGCAGGAGAAGCGCACCTTCCTGCGGCAATCTCTGGAGGCCCGTCTGATTGCTTTGTACTTCGACACCGCATTGTACACAGAGGCTCTGGCATTGGGCTCGCAGCTGCTGAAGGAGCTGAAAAAGTTGGATGACAAGAATTTGCTGGTGGAGGTACAGCTGCTCGAGAGCAAAACCTACCATGCATTGAGTAATTTGCCCAAGGCCAGGGCTGCCCTCACCTCTGCCCGGACCACGGCCAATGCCATCTACTGTCCCCCCAAGGTGCAGGGAGCCCTCGATCTCCAGTCGGGCATTCTGCATGCGGCCGATGAGCGTGACTTCAAAACCGCCTTCTCCTACTTCTACGAGGCCTTCGAAGGCTTCGACAGCGTTGACAGCGTCAAGGCCCTGACCTCTTTAAAGTACATGTTGCTGTGCAAGATTATGCTAGGACACTCGGATGATGTAAATCAGATTGTCAGCGGCAAGCTGGTAAGCCACAAGATAACAAATATTTAAGACTAATCCATAAATAACTAAAATAAATGTTCTTGTTTGAACCAGGCCATTACCTACTCGGGCCGCGATGTGGATGCAATGAAATCTGTGGCAGAGGCCTCACACAAACGCTCCCTCGCAGACTTCCAAAACGCCCTCAAGGAGTACAAAAAGGAACTGGCCGAGGATGTGATTGTGCAGGCGCATTTGGGCACGCTCTACGACACCATGCTGGAGCAGAATTTGTGCCGCATCATTGAGCCCTACTCCCGTGTGCAGGTTGCCCACGTCGCCGAGAGCATTCACCTGCCCATGGCCCAGGTGGAGAAGAAGCTGTCGCAAATGATACTCGACAAGAAGTTCAGTGGCATTCTCGATCAGGGAGAGGGTGTGCTGATTGTGTTCGAGGAGACGGCCGTGGACAAGACCTACGAGCGTGTGCTGGAGACCATTCAGAGTATGGGCAAGGTGGTGGACACACTCTATCAAAAGGCCAAGAAGCTTTCGTAAGCTGGCTGGCTGGCTGGCTGGATGTGGAGAAATTATTCAGATTCAACATGATATCAGCAGATAACTAGCAGACATTTCATAATTTTTCTTTTGGTTTTCTTTTTCTGTTACAAAAAATTAACAATTCTCATGCCGATTCCAAGCCAAACAAATCTTCTGTTTCTGCGCAAACAATATAACAAATCAAACAACCAATTGGCAGCAATAGCAACAGGAACCACAAACTCCAACCGGAAAACGTAAAGCGGAAACCATTACCTAACTTAAGACAAATTTATTAATCATTTGTATGGGATCGAATTGTTTGCGCGCGTGCGGTATACTAAGCAAAAATATTCAATTAACTACTTAATAAAACAAATCGAAAAGGCAGCTCGAATAATATGCAAAAATAGATGTCCTATCGGTAAGATGAGGGTGTATCCTGATCCTGATCGTAGCTCTGTTGCTTCTCAGAGGGAACTATGCCGTACTCTTAATATACTGTAATAGTCCTGGCTGCAACAATTAAGCCTCCCTTTCTACGCTTTGAGGATTTCAAATATTTTAAAATAATTTTTTAATTTTTAAATAAATAATTGGATAATGGTTGAAGGCAGAAGGCAGCGGCAGACTCTAACCACGGAAGTGATGTGTCAGACCCAGACCAGCGCCAAAGTCTGTCCTCTGATTGGCGAATGGGCCGCTCATCCACTTGTTGGCCGATCCTGACAGATCCAAGTGTGTGTTACGATCGGCCGAGGACCAAAGGTTGGCACGAGCCTCGGCGCCCAGCTGACGACCAATGCCGGGGAAATTGCTGTGCGTCAGGCTGGCGCCATGACCGTTGACGTGCGAGTAATCCAGGGCGGCGCCATTGCGCTGGAATTCAAAGCCATTGGCCAGCTTGTTCTGCGAGGCGAAGGCCTTCGCATCGAGATTGTGTACGCCGTTATTAAACAGATTGGCATGCACCTCCTGCTGGAAGACGTCCTTCACGCCGGGGGTGTGGCTCTTGGTCAAAGAGGCACCATGTCCATGGCTACAAAAAAAAAGGGGTGAATTTCATTTAGTTTCTGTTCCCCTGCTTCATTATTCTGCTGATCGACTCACTTGTTGTAGGCCACAGTTCCACCTGTGGTGACTGGACCCGATTTCGTGTTGCCGGCGGCAAAGACCTGACCCACCACATTGTGTTCGGGATTGCCAATGCCTTTGGTCAGATCCAGACGGGCATCGGAGCCACCAGCCGGATTGGAGGCCACTGAACCGCCCAGAACCTGACGGCGTGCACGAATGAGCACTGGTGGAGGGCGCGGAGGTGGATAGTACGGCAGGGTCTGGTAATACTGAGGCACTGCCTCGGCAAGAGCGGCCAGGGTAACGATGGCCACCATAAGAATGCTTCCCTTCTGCATGTTGTATTGTATTGGCTTTGGAACGAACGAACGAACGAACGATTGCTGACTGATGCCTGATCGTGGCTCACCATTCGCATTTATAGCGAAATATTCTCGCGGCAAAACGTAAACGCGAGTGGGGAAGCACTCCTCTTGTGATTCACAAGACTCATCTCTCCGATTGCTTCCCCATCTGTCTTATCAGCTAGTAATTCCCCGCCTCAGCTCTCTTCGAATCGGTGATTTACTTTTGCATATTCTTTCGGCGGCCTGTTCTGACCTCTCCATGGCGCACACCTCCTCCTCCTCCTCCTCCTGCCTGTTCGCATCATTGACGCCACTTGTTGCTCCTTTTGTGTGTGCATTACAGCCGATTGGACAGCTTCAAGTGAATGCCTTTGTGGGCTTAATGGAGAAGCGCTTCATCTTGCGCAGGACAGATTCTGACAGTTATAAGCGATATGATATCCAATGACATTCCACACTTAATGTCCCGTTTTATCAATAGAACTCTTATCGCGGGTGATGTGATGGTGGGTGGAGGGTGGTGGGTGGTGGGTGGTGTTTCGTTATGAGTGAAAGAGAGTCGCAGGACTCGTGCTCGCTTGAGTGAAGTTTCAGCCAAATCCTAATTGAATTCTGTGCGCAGGAGCAGGCTGAAAGAATGCAAGCCGAGAGCGCGGCGATTGAAACTTTGACGCTTTGGATGTCAACGAAAAGTTTGCACTGAGAGAAAATCACTTCAACAGGTACTCGCCGTTGAATGGAGTATACAAAATATTTGGGCATACTTTTTGTACAGTGTAGATTCGAAAACAAATCATAGATAAGCCAGTTTATTCGCTGATAGTCAGTTCTTTATTAATTCAGCTTAAATTTCTTATAGTGTATAAGAAAACTCGGAATAGAGTCTCTAATAAATCCATAATGATCTCAATATCACTTGCGATTTTCTGTGATTCCCAAGCGTGACTTGCTCAGGGTGTCTGAGCATCCACGGGCACAGCTCTAATCAGCGTAGAGTAACTAGAATCTTTGCCATTTGAGAGATAACACACAGAAATCCCCTAGAATTCTTCTTTATTATAATTGTTTTTCGAAAAAATTCGTATATTTTGGGGGCACAATTTATTCAAACAAAAGCCAAGTTATTATAAAAAAATGGCATGCTTGGTTTTGCCCCCTTTTTGCGGCAAGAAGCCTACCATCAAGCCGGCAGAATTGGTGGACTCCTGGCAGCGACAGCGGGCTGGATGAGTTCCAAACGATCGACGATGGCCATTGCCTCGCGGCGCACGCGTATTGGGCGTGGATGGGAGGTGGGGCGAGGATTGCTGGGGCGCGGCTTTCCAGGAGTAGCTGCGGACAGGCACCAGATGCAGGCGAGCAGCAGGAATACGAGGCCGAACTTCATTTTGGCGTGTCTGAACAGATCAAACTGAATGCCGGATCGATGGAAATGCTTCCATCTTATATAGCGCTGCGCTGATTCGAATTTAGGCGCCAGCACGACGGGGGACTCCACAAGTTTATCAGCGTAAATTGCGTCTCACATTGCAAAAATGCCGATGGTGTACTCGAGATAGTGATCTGGTAAGAGAGTCAATTTAGTAATTTATTCTTTGTAGTTCCCTTGAACGATTTTCCAACAGGTACCTTTTCGACTTTTTCAAACTCATCTAATTTTGGCGCCTAGCTGTCACTTTCCCTTGGGCTCTCTCTCTCCCTCTATCTCTCTCTCTCTCTCTCTCTCAGTTTGAGGTCCTTCCTGTGTGAAACACCAAATCAAATCTCATTAGACAGAGCAGACACACACAGATACACACACATACGCACCAGAGACCAAAGCCAAACGAAACGCGCTTGAGCGAGCTTTTCCGCTTTGAGCGCAACATTTTCTTTTTGGGGGGCTCTTTTGGAAAATTCTTGGGCAGCAGCTCGTCAAACGTTCGTGTAGAGGCCAGACGCGAGGAAAACTCTGCTTATCGATTACGCACGTAACACACACACACACATTTCCCCCTGAAGCGAAAGGCCCAGTGTCGTCGTGTAAAAATTACAAACAATTAAAACCGTATTTTGGGTGTGTAATTCAATGATATTTACTTGCTTTAAAGACCCCAAAAAGTTTATATAATAGCAATATATGTGGAACAAAGCTCATATCAAGTGTCTCTGTCTCTGGCTTTGGCCTTCAAAGTGTGCGAAAATTGTATATATAAAAAGAGATATATATATATACATATAGACAGAGATACATCCTCACGTGTGTGCCATAGAAAATGGATAAAAGATTTGGAACATATACCCAGATCCTTTGTGCATTGTTGTATAAGTGTCCAAGGATTTTTAAACTGCGCAGAAATTCATTTAAATATTGAAAAAAATATTTATTTTTATGCACGGATTTTTCCTAATTCTGTTTTGAATCTAAAAAGATTTAAAAAAATTTTATTGCATGTTTTTTGGCATAAATCTCATCAGATTATGTAGGCGTCAAAGGCCCTTTTCTTCATAAATACATGCCTACACATGTATGTATGTACATACTTATGTATGCGCTTTACATAGAGCAACAACAAGTCTGTTCTATATATGGATGATGGAAGATACATATGTACATATGTACATACATATTACCACACACCATTTACCCACATTTGCAGCGTGCCAAGTGAACAAAAAAAAATTGAATAGAAATTACTCGCTCTCGCCGCGGTAGCAGGAAAAGCTCAAAGCTAATGCAATCCACTCAACTCAATTGAGCACTCTCTCTGGGCAGAGGGAGAGCGTGGGTTTGTTTAGCTTTCTCGGAGTGTCAACCTGTGCTTAGACGACACGTTTTGCACCGGCACTGCTTGAGAAAATATTCAAGGTAACAATCGTGGAAATAGAGGCACGTTTTCTATATGTTTCTCGTATATATTTCGGATGTTTTTCAATCGGTGTGCAGACGAAACATTTCCCCCTTTTGAATCCAGAGCATGCTCTGAGTCTCTTAGTCACTTATTAAATGGAAGGAGGATGAGGCTCTCGCTCAAAACCGAAGAGCGTAGGAGTGGGAATGGAAATGTCAAAAGGAAGCAGTTGACAATTGTAATTACAGACATCTCATGCATACAAAGATGAGGCCGGTGGAACATGACTTATTTCCGTTTGAGTTCCTCTAATCAAAAATTGGACAGAGAGAGAGAGAGAGAGAGACCATGATTACACTGCTCAACAAAGAAGAGTGTCAGAGTTATAGTTCCCGAAAATTCACAGAATTTTATCCCGTTCTGGATTTGTATATATTGATTCTAAGTGTATCTATTTGCGCAAGTTTAATAATGCCCTTATTTTGTACACCAGTGTAAAGTATATGCAAATGATTCCATGCTGCGGTTGGTTGGGAAAGAACAAAACGATTGACATCCGCCATTGTGTTCTGTATTCCACAGCTTGCCGAATGATAATGTTGGTGATGATGAGACTGTAAGTGGGCGACAAGAGCAAAGCAAGACACCCACTGGGACCGAGGAAGAGAGCGCCAAATAACCAACAGATAGAACGGTTGAGCGGTTAAGCGGAGGAAAGAGAGAGCGAGGGTATATACTATATAGCAAGGAGTCCAAGCAACTGAACCGCAATGAATCCCTACAATGCTGGAGGAGGAGGCGCACCCAATCCCTTTGGGGCGCCAGCAGCGGCAGCGGCAGCACCTGGCTACGGGCAGCAGGGTGCGGGCTACGGCTATGAGCAGCAGCAGCAGCATCCAACAGGTGGCTACGACCAAGGCAACTACGGGGAGCAGCCGCACCAGCAGCCGGCAGCCGGATACGGTCCTGCTGGGATCAGGCCTCGCGTGGATGTGGAGGCCACCGGCGAGGTGGATCCGAATTTGTAAGTACACCCCCCCCACCACCCACACCGACGCAGAGCATCTTCAAAAGAAATTGAACATTTTCGCCTCTGCAGATATCCAGAGGCCAAGGAATCAACGCACAAAATACGCGGACACTCGGACATCCTGGAAATGTTCTTTGGGGCGAGCACCGAACGGGAGTTGATACCAGTGAAGAGCTTCTACTTTTTCTTCTATGCAGCCTTCGGATCGCTCTTCCCCCTGATGGGCGTGTACTTCAAGCAGATGGGCATGAATCCGGGCCAGTGCGGCATCCTGGTGGGCATGCGGCCGTTCGTAGAGTTCCTGTCGGCCCCCTTCTGGGGATCCTATGCAGATCGCTGTCGCCAGGGCAAAAAGCTGCTGCTGGGCTCGCTGGCCTGCTGGGTTCTCTTCACCATCCCGCTGAGCTTCATCCGGCCAGAGGCGATCAACTGCATCGAGCGCCGCAATTCCACGGACTTTGTGCTGACCTACACGCGCACCAAGCGCGATCTCTCGGCCATGTATGACTGGGATCAGGGTAGGTGTCGTAGCTTAAATGTGTTCTGCCTCTTCTAATATCCAATCTCTTGGTTTCTGCAGCATCAGAACAACATCTTAGTATTTGTACGGTAATAATATCGATTGATTGTCCACAGATCAGGGCACTATGCCCGCGGAGGAGGCCCTGGAGGAGGCCGAGGCCGCTCACAGCCGGAGCAAGAGATCCCTGCTGCTGCCCCGAATCGATGCGGGCATCTCGCCGGTGCACATCAACTTTGTGAGCAACTACGACGACAAGTACCATCGTGACTATGTGACGCCCATCTTCAGTTCCATGGTCTACAGGACGCCGGTGGGGACAGAGACAGAGAGAATCAATCCAGCACGATGATACTCACCCGTTGATTTTCCCTTCTTTTAGGATATCCAAAAGGCCTTCTTCCTGCTGCTGCTGGTGATACTCATTGGGGAGTTCTTTAGTGCACCGGCAATTACGCTGGCGGACTCCGCGGTGATCACGCTGCTGGGCGAGGATGCGGACAAGTATGGACACCAGCGAATGTTCGGCTCACTGGGCTGGGGCATCTCCATGTTCCTGGTGGGCATTGCTCTCGATCACTCCACCTCGTTCTCCAACCATCCTTGCGGGGCGGGCAACAAGGAGAAGAACTACAACATCTGCTTCTCCATATTCTCCGTGCTGATGACCTGCGCCATCATCTCCGCCTCGAAGATCACCTTCAAGTACGATCCGCTGGACGAGCAGCAGCAGCAGGCCTCCGCACAATTTGTGGACCCCAACAAGAAGGCCGAGGAGGAGTCGATGAACCAGCTGGCCGCCCAGCTCAATCTACCATCACTGGCAGTGGGTAGCGGCAGCGCCGCCTCAGGGGGCGCCACTAGTTTCCTGGCCGCCGGCCATCAGCCACAGCCGCATATCGGAGCCGAGTCCAAGGTGTTCGCACAGACGGCCAAGGAGCTGCCCGAGTGGATGACGGTTCTCACGCACTTCAAGGACGTGAAGACGGCCTCGTTTCTGTTCGTTGCCTGGTTCATGGGCTTCGGCATTGGCCTGATCTTCACCTTTTTGTTCTGGCACCTGCAGGACTATGGCGGCACGCCCACCCTCTTCGGTGTGGCCTCCGTGATCAATCACGTGTCCGAGATCTTTGCCTACTTCTTCAGCTTCCGTCTGATCACACAGATCGGTCACGTCAAGGTCCTTTGCCTGGGCCTGATCGGCAATGTCCTGCGTTTCCTGTACATCTCGTACCTGACCAATCCCTGGATGGTGCTCCCCTTCGAGCTGATGCAGGGCATCACCCATGCCGCCGTCTGGGCTGCCTGCTGCTCCTACATTGCCCACAACACGCCAAAGCATCTGCGTGCCTCCGGCCAGGGCGTGCTCCAGGGCATCCATCATGGGCTCGGTCGCGGCTGTGGCGCCATTATTGGGGGAATGTTCGTCACCTACTACGGTACTACTGCTACCTTCCGTTGGTATGGTATTGCCTGCCTCCTGGTGCTTGGCCTTTTCATCTTTATCAACTTCTATCGCAAGGAGCAGGGCTTCATCTCGGACATTCCAGTCACCGAGGATCCGCATCAGGTGAGCTTAACCCACCCCACCCCACCCCACCCTACCCCACGAGTGTGACCGAGCTACTAACTCTCATTGTATCTTTCGACTAGGTGGCCGAGGAAACCTCGCATCTGGCACCGCATGGGGTGCCCAGCAATCCCATACCGCGTGCACTGTCTAACTCCCGTCTCAATGAGATGAATCCGAATGGTGGGCCGTACGGCACCTATCAGACCACTGGCGGCAATCTGGACATACCCGGCGCCAATCCGCACAATCCATTCGCGCAGTAAGGATCTCCCACCATCCTCATCCAGTACAGTTTCACAGTCTCACTCATTAAATCCGAAAATGAATGAACAAAATAACAAACAACAACAAAATATAACCGCAAACATATCTTGGACATTGGCCTGCAATATAAATTGCATAACGCATAACGCTTTATTTTGATTTGTTGTGCAATCAATATACGATCTGCAAATAGCATAGCATACAATATACAATA